TTTTACTGTTTTACTATCATCGGAGAGAAAAGACGCCAGCAGCGCGGACACTGAAAATTTTAAAATAGTAAGTTCTTATTCCAAACGTTTATCAAATAAGAAGCTTGTTGCGACATGTCAGTTCGCTCCATTACATTATATTCTAATTACAATCAGCAAATTGTAAAACAATATTGCTCTATTATATCGGCAGGAGTTTTGTGTTATTATTTATATACCCAACTTGTTAAGAAAAACACTTACACGCAAAAATTCCAGAAAATAAATGAAAACTGAATTCGCAGTTGTTTTCCAGAAGATAATTTATAATTTGAACAGAAGCAAATAAAGCGACGCGACCTCCCGATAGAACGAAAGATAATGCAAATGCCCTGAAAATAAATAAAGGATAATGAGAACTTGGTCAATGTTTTATTAAATCTAAAGCACACTGGTCTAGTTTGAATTGCCATTGTAATGTTCTAATGGAGCTGACAAATTTCCACATCAGTTTCATTGATCATATATTTTTTAAGTGGATGAGCGTAAAATTAGTCTTCGGACAGCCACGTTCCGTCGATAAAGATAGAAACAGGATATTTTTGCTTAATAATTACCTCAGGTGCGTAGGGAACAATGCGACAGCCATCGCCATATACAAGCTGATAACTATAAATCCAGCCATGAAGACCATAAACAAGATCCCACTAACAAATATATTGGGAACCAGGTTGACAACGATACCGCAGAGGCCGCACACTGTTGTTATTATTATCACCATGTTACGTCGTCCAACTTTGTTCACTACCTAGAAACATAGGTAATGTAAATTAAAAATATTTAATATTATTTACCGGGCTAAAATTAACTTCAAAGTACTTACGATGCTCACTAAACAAATGAGCATTGAATGTATCAGTCCCAATGTAAACAAAGTGAGCATAGCTGCGACATCGAGTGAACACGGGGATATGCCTGACTGAAAACAACAACAACATACATTTCATTACCAAATGTAACAAAAACCTAGTAGAAAAACGAAAAGCGCTACAACAAGATCAAGCTTGTTCTTCTCAAATGACCTTCATATGGATGTTCAGATTGGATCATTTCAAGAAAGCGATTAGGTTTCTGTCAAGTAGTATACACGCCTTTAGGTTAAAATTGCTAAAATATAGTGGTTTTAAAAGTGCACAAAGTAATTTCTTTTCATACATTAGTCTCCCATGTTCGGCTAGCATTGAGGACTCCGCACACGGTGAGCTCAGTTCCTTCTCCCTCCTTAACCAGTTTTAGAACTTGATTACTTATGGTTGGCAACCACATTATGAATGCTCCTGTTCTGAAATCACGCATATATCAATAATAAGACAGTTAGCTAAACTGAATTAATTTAGAACTCAACTGTTGAAAAATTAGAAGCAATGTCATTATAACAGTGCTTTTTAGGAGTGGCAGTCTGAACAAGGGGAAAATTTGTTCTTTAATTGTAAATGTCGGTGCCTTTTGCAGCTTTACAATTTCCACCACCTGGAAGCAAATTTCGTAAATTAATAAAATAAAAGACAGAGCTGTGCTACAACTTATTTCTGTTCATAAGATTGATATATATACCATATTAAATAGGTATCTACCTCGAATATTTCCCGGGTACCTCTATAATTTATGTTGTGAATTCTCTTTAGAATTTCCAATGATTCGTCGTGCATTCCTCTCGCATAAGCAAACTTGGGACTTTCCTCTAAATAATACATCCACCCTGCTGCCACAAGACTTGGTAAAGAGTATACAATTTGGAGAGTTCTCCATGAGTTCCAGTGAATGTTTAATATAGGAATGTAGTAAGAAAAAGTTAGTGGTATGATCGGTATTGCGAACACTAAAAAAATTAAAAAACGTCTTTAGCATAAACGTAATACTTTCATTGACATTATTATTTTAAAATTGTAGTAATTCAGTCAATTATAGTAGCTAGTTATCTGAAATCAAATTGTATTCGCTTTTGATTTTGGAACGAAGTTCCTTATCGCGCGTTGCGAAAGGGGGCTAGACGGAAAAATTAAGACCAAAAGTTGTAACGACACTTTTTCCTATAGTTGTTCTATTTTATATTTTTGATACTACTGTTGCCAACGTCCATACTACGTTGAATACACCGGTTCTCGTCCGATCACCGAAGTTAAGCAACGTCGGGCGAGGTCAGTACTTGGATGGGTGACCGCCTGGGAACACCTCGTGATGTTGGCTTTTTTTCTTTTCGTAGGGATAAGAAATGAATTTTTTTTTATTTTTTTTTTTATATACATTTATATTTTGTTCTCTTGTATTAGTTAAAATAAAGGCTTTGAATCTTGAATCCCTGCGTAGCACAACGACATCATCCCTCTTCGTCTTTTAGATTCCTGGTCTCTTAAAACTTTAATAGACGATGAAATATAATATTGGTGTCCAGAAAATCTATCATACCGTTATGATACCAATTAAAATATAAATTAATCGAAAGGAACTTCGTTCCATTCGGGTGATCCTTGACACCTCTCAAATGCCAAAGGAATAGGCTCGCCTTAGAACGTTGGATTTTTCAGATGAAAATAATAATTAATATTGCGACCAATTACGTGTGTGTAAATAAATTCCTTTTGTTAAACAAATCCTCAGTGTTAATAATGTTACATATAGAATAAAATAATGGTACATATGGTACTTAGACTAGGGAACCCTGTAGTACTCATATGAAACTACAAATATTAAAATATTTTAAGATCTATATTCCTCTCAACATGTTGTGTTTATGTTTGTTGTTCATTTATTTGTTTTACTTTTAAAATCTTCTCATTTTTTACCTGCCATCAATCCTTGCGCCAAGAATGAAATACTATTTGCCAACAACATCACTACATTGCGCTTAGCGACGGGGACACTCTCACTCAGCATCGACATCGATTGCGAAAACAGGCCCGATGCTCTAAAAAGGTCGCCGTTACTTAAGTACACATTTAAGTTAAGTTTGATTCTGCAGCAGTACTAGTCTTACAATAGAGCACTTAGGAATTGAAGGCATAAGAGCATAATCCAGTTGACTGAAAAACTGCTAAGGACGTTCACGAAAGCTGCTGATAAGATGGAGATGAGGAGGGTCCTCCGGCGCCCGAATAAGTCCGCCAATAGACCCCATAGTCCGCTGCCTAGAATTAAACCTGTAACAGCGCCCACTTTTTGCAACGGCCCGTATGAATTCCAATGAATATTTTTGTTTGAAAATTTAAATACCAATGATTGGTCCGGCAGCAAGTAATCCTCTCTGAGTGCTCGTCGTGTGAAGCTCACAGGCACTGGATGGAACAATTATTGTCGTGCCATATGTTATACAAGCATAAGCAATTGTGTTAACACCTATTGCGCCTATTACGGTGTAGCTGTATCGACCGAAGCCTGGAATAAAATTATTTAGAATACAACACCCATTTCAATTTTTTTTATTAAGTTATATATTATTTTTTCACAAAAATACATCCAAAGTTGTGTAATTAATTTACGTACCCGTCCGCCCCAGCGCTTCTTCAAAAGTGAATTTAAAACTCATTTTTCATATGTTCGATAAAACAACACAAATAAGCACTTATGTCACCTCAAAATAATTTAACGGCATCAATTAAAAATACTACTGAATCAACGAATTACCGATTAACCGATAAATAACAAGACCTTATCATTCGTGAACGTCTTCAAACTGAAATTGAAAAGTTGCCTTCTCAATACAGTTAATGATAGAACAATTATATAAAATTACAAGTAATTCCGGAAGGTTTAATGTATCGATCGACCAAAGCGTATTAAATATCTATGTATTTTATTCTTATTTTCACTATTTTCGTAATTCAAGGCTTCAAGGCTAATATGTATTTTTATATATCAATAATATAATGAAAGTATGTAAAGCTATCATGTAAGTAGTGAATTATGGATTCACTAGATTAGGCAGGATCTTCCATTGTATAGAATAAATATGAATAAAAAAGCCTTCTATTTCCTACTAGGATAATAATTATCAAAAATTACGTAGACAAAAAAACAAATACAAATATAAATATTTGTACAAAATTTGTTAATGTTGGTTACAATTTTAGTAGGAACCCCTTTCAATGCTATTTTTCCATACACAAGCCACCTGGAGCCAGTATGTGTCAGCAGGTCTCTCATCGCATTTGGGGTCGTCCTGTAATGGTTGTCTTGTTACAAAGAAAGATATGGTCGCTCTTACTGATCAGTATTAGTGTTACATAGACAGCTGAGGTTTAATACTTCTATGTTTTGGAACAAACCTAGTTTATTTTATAATATGAATGTTTATTTCATTGTTATAACGCCAGGTCCATTTATTAACAACTACAAATTTGAATAAAAAGGAAAGGATAATTATTTAGAAACGGATCGGGAGTAAACATATTTAAATATTAACGGTCTATTACAACCGGCGTTAATAATAATAAAAGATACTACGACGTTTACTTTAACAGACAGAAAAAGGGTGAAATAATAAAATACATATTAAATAAAACACTTATTTTTATTTTAAATTATAACCAGTCTCATGTTATAACTACAATAACTTAAAATCACTTAAATTAGTTTAAATATTCGTAAACCCTCTCTAAAAGAAGCGTCAAGAATTGCATTACCTTTATATTTTTTAAACGAGGTAAGCATTTATTATTTACTTAAGAAGATATTCTGTCTCCTATGAATGTTTTTAATAATAAAAGCCTAACTTAATTAATTTACGCTAGACCTAAACAGAGTACGGAGATAAAGAAATCAGGTACTATTACATGACTATCTCGTGGCTCTAGTACAAATGTATCAACTCCACAATTTAGAAAACGACTACTAACTACTAACAACTAAGTTTAAAATCAAAATACAAAATTCAGAAGACCCTCCATACATACTACACATTTTTTGTTTGAGGGCACGTAATTTCAGCACCTTCGTTTCTCTTCAATCGTAAACAACAATCAGTCTTATTGCCGTGGCTGTTTATCGTTTGGCAAGAACCAAGTAACGATTATGGCACCTGAAAAAATAGGTAATGTTATAGTATATAATTACCAAATATGTAACTTACTAATCAACCAACGAAGAGCTGTATAAAAATTAACTGTGTGTTGTTGTGTAAAAATATATTGAACTCTAAGATGTTACAACTATAATATTGATCAATGATCGTACTTAAAAGTAGAATGGCCCAGCCATAAAATGTTGCTTCACAATTGGCTGATATAAGGTATCCAATAGCGTTGACTCCAAGGAAAGCGCTCGATCTTCCCAGCATCACTGAAAGACATGACGCCATTCCTCTGTAAATAAAATAACAAAATATTTATAATACTCTCGTACATTTACTTTTCAATAGACACTCTTTAAAAATATGTACCTTAGTGATGTGGGATAAAGTTCCACAAAGTATACGCTTAAGATGCCCATAGACAGCGCACAGAGCAGGAACAGGAAAAAGAACACGCCCCCAGCAATCGGGATAGGGACCACATTTAACAGAACAGCTGATGTCGCAGATAGCAATACAATTCCCATCATAGCCAATCGCTTTCTGGAGCCACACGTAAGTGACAAAACCAGGTTAGATAAACTGGCTAAGGCACCATACGACATCGCAGAGATAAGTGTAGTTGGCTGTATTATATCATTACAAACTTCTTGAATTGTCTGAAAGGAAATACAATCGTACGTTTAGTGTTTACTCTCAGTCATTAAGTGTTTCAGATTACAATTATCTTTAAAATGACCATAGTTTGAATTCCTAAAGACTCACGTTGTTATTTGCCGCATTTGCAAAACTGTCAGTTGAGTATCGGATGACTGTGCAGAGATTCATTCCTGCGCCTTCTCCTGTCTCCAACACCGAAAAGAGATTGTTCATAATATAAGGCAACCAGAGGATGAAGCCACTGCCACTGGAGGAATAGCCAAAATTAGTGTGCATGATTTTTCACATTTTATTCAACTTTAATTAATAACAAATCTACTTACGTCATGTAGATTACAGTGACGATATAGAAGAGCTTTAGAGTGTCTTTTAGCAGTGGACGACGAAACAGAGCTGTTGTCTGCTGCCAAAGCGCGGAGAAGAAAGAGTCAGTCTCAGTCAGTGTGGTTGCGATTTCCTGTTCTTGCATAAGTTTTTTTACCTACAAACAGTTTAAACGACGTTAATTGATGAACCATATTTTTTGCAAAATTGATATCGAAAGAAAACTAACGGGAAATTGGTCTGCTTTGTGGCCCGTGTTACAAGTATAGATTCTTTGCAACACCTTCAACGCTCGATCTGGTTGACCTCTTGACACCAGAAATTTAGGGCTTTCCTCAAAGAATTGTAGCAAACAAGCGGTGGCTGCACATGGCAGTGCCATGACGAAAGCGAGTAGCCTCCAAGGTCTGTAGTAGATGCCGAGGAAGTCAATCCAGTAGGAGAACTTCATCGGTAGAATTGGATAGGCGAATACTAAAAACAAAAAAATATATTTAGATTGTCTTTGAAGCTAAAGTCTCAGAAATTTTATAACGGATTGCTTGATGAAGGTTTACTATATCTTTATATATATTATATTTTACTTACCCGCGACTACAGCCTGTGAGCACATAAGAGAGCAGGTGCAAAGCAACATACTTCGCCCTCGGGACCTCTCAGGGCAACTCTCACCGAGTAAGGTGTATGCGCCGGAATTAGTGGCTGATGTGCTGTAATTAAAAAAAGAAAGAAAAACTTATTACACGTAATAAAAAAAAATACTGTTGCATAGAATAAGACATTTTTAGAAGATGTTGCTTAAGATTGTTAGAATGTATAAAGTTTTCAATCGAGAGTGAAAATTTGATTTTTGAGAAAGTTGTTAGGTCACAGGGCCTCTGAAAGATAAAAAGCATTGGGTTGAAGAAGTTGGGTAGATTAGTTTCCTATAGGATATTTGAAGAACAGCGCGTTGGGTACGCTCAATTTTCAGCATTAAAATAAATAAAATAAAAATAAATTATGTTTATTATGGAACATAAGATACATGTATCACTTATTCCACGTCATTAAATTTGAATTTGTAGGCATCCCTACTCATCGGCAAAGAAGACAGAGGGTGTAGGCCGAGAGAAAAAGCCGGCGTAAAAAAACTCTCGGTACTCTTTTAAAATAGCAAATCATCAAACAACACTTATTTTAAAACAAATATCGCAAATAATTAGAAGTAGCCTGTCTAGCACTAGTCCCAGGCCCCTTTATCAACTAGATAATCGTTGACTTTATAGTAAGCCTTTTTACACAGCTTTTCTTTAATAAATTTATTAAAAGGCAGAGATAAAAGAGCCTCTGGGATTTTATTAAAGAAGAGTATCCCTTTTCCCAAAAAAGAATTACTAACTTTAGATAGTCTAGTACGGGGAAATTGCAGCCTGCGTTTGTTCCGTGTATTAACATTGTGCGTATGTTCTATTCTAGTAAACTTATCACTATTTTTGTATACATACATAATATTTTCATAAATATATTGCGAGGGAAAGGTAAGTATATTAATTTCCTTGAATTTATCTCTAAGAGATTCCCTACATTTTAAATTATAGATTGCACGAATAGCCCTCTTCTGCAGGATGAAAATAGTTTCGACATCAGCAGCATGACCCCATAATAATAAGCCATAAGTCATTAAGCTATGAAAGTAATTCACGGCATGGGGTGGAGCGGCATTGAAGACAAATTATATATGGTGGTTGTGTGGATTTGAAGTTTTTCTAAGGCATTTGATACAATATGTATCAATTTGCGATCACAAGAACAAAGATAATTTATTTGAGTACCCTTAAATCAATCATGAATCCCAGGTTGTTTTAGTGGATTCCAGATAAGGAAAGTTCCAGTGGTTGTGAAGGTTTACACATGAGTGCATGTTATTAGGCGGGATAATCCAGCAGTTGCATCTTCTGTAGATCTATTATTTCTTAATCCAAGTTGATTGTTTGCAAGGACAGGTTATTTTAAAGTAATTAAGTTAAATCTGAAGTTTATTATTTTGTCTGTAAATTTTTTAACGAGATTTGAAAGAAGAGAAATGGGTTAGTGGTTTGAAATTTCCATTTAATTAATAGTGCGATGTTACGTCTTCTATGTGCTGTTATGGTGAAGGATCTTGGATGCTGACAAAGGCTATTTCCAAAAAACGGAAGCTTTCGAGATCTGGGCAATGGTTTGGTCAAAGCACCAAGTATTGTTCAGACGCCCGGCATTCAAAATTTAAGAAGCCATGATGATTGCCTGTTTTATAGATGGGTACGATACTATTTTCCAAGATTCAGGGAAGATACCTGGCTGAATACTAAGATTGAAGACGTATGTTTTTTAATGAAAGGACCGGAAAGTGGTTTTGAAGAAAATACGGAAACGGATATTTTGATATTGCGTTTATTCGTTTTGGAGCCGTTCGTATATGGGTTTATAATTGTGAATAATTTTATTTGGGGCGAAAGTGGTATGACTACTATGAAGAAATTACAAGAGGCGCATACCGCAGCAATAAAAAATGAACCAATTTTTCGGTTCTGAAGGATTTCACAGTTTTTTTTTCATTTACACCAAATATTAAAATAGTAAAAAAAATAATGTTAATCGTTATAATTTAATAATATAGATCAGATAGGAAACGAAACCAGTAAAGAGTTTTATGTTGCGTTACTTTATTATAATAATATCAGTTATTATTAAATATTTCGAATTAACTGTAACAACTGCGCAGGATGAGAAATCGAGGAAAATCCAACGCAGTGTAAATATTGACGGTACGTAATGACTGTATTTACATAATTATTTGTTTGCAGTCATAAATTACGAGTATCGCTTATCTATTTACCTAAAAATAATTTTATTTGTGTAGTTAAAAGTGTTTAATTAATAAAAATATTGTTTTTCCATTGACGTCACCGTATTCGCAAATAATGTCACTGGTTTTCACAAACGCCCTCCATTTATTAATGTCGTGGTTGTTACTATAGTGCAAAAACAGCCTCGAATATTACTGAAAATAGTTTATCTCATAATATTATCAAAGCCATTAAAATTTATAGTTATCTTGAACCTGACCGTGTCGCTTAATCAGTGCTTAATCAGTGAGTCAGAAATACGTCAGTACTCTGATATCAGACTTCTATTATCAGTTAATTTCATAATCCCTTATCATTGGAATATTTTAAAAGCGCTTTTGTCAATATTGAGATACATCAGAGGTTATTAAAGACATAATGTGACTAGTTGTTTTTGGAAGTTCAGTGGAACCTAAGGTTTAACAAAGCATCTACTTTAATTACAACCTGTTTTCTTCTCTTATAAATTGTTCTTTTTACTTACAAGGTAGACGAAATGAGTTTCATAAAAGCCATAGTCTTCCAATCAGGTGCGAAGCTGCTGAGCGCTGCGAACACGAAGCCGACGGCCATGGACAGAACCAGTGTGAGGCGGCGACCCTTCGTGTCGGACACGTAGCCCCAAAGTTGGGCACCCAAGACCACACCTAAACCGAATATTTATTAAAACAAGAGTTATTACCCACAGCACACTCTTTATGATAAACATTAATAGTTTAGTCTAAGGTTTATTAGGAGTATTGCATGTGTATCATACTTAATTGACATGACAAAGAGAGTCTTCTCGAGTATACAAACTTACCCACTAAAGGTGTGGCTGTCAGAAGCGCCCTTTGCTGCAGTGATAACTCGAGATCACAGACGGCGGCTGCCACCACGAAGCTGGTGCCGAATAGGTCCATGCCCATCGCCTGAAGCGTCCAACTGCATATTAACAGGAGGCCGAAGTTGTATTTGCCGAAACCTACAAAATCTCACATGTACTTTCGCCAGAGAAATATAAATTTACGACACCCTTCAATCACTCTAAAATTAAACCTCGACTTTCAGTAATTAATGCCGGTAAATATTAAAGTTAAACATTATTTAAACTGGACAGTTTTTTATTTTTTACAAGAGTTGGAATTACCTGTCGCTGTCAGAGCTTCTTCAACCGTTGCCACGCTGAGTGGTCTTTTTTCCTCCAATTTCAAGTCTTTATTCGCTTTGATATGCATCACTGAAACAATAACGGTACATTAAATAAGACCAGTAAAAGTTTGTGTGATTAAGATACAATATTTAGATATCCTTTGAACATCTATTTTTAATATTGAATTTTCTTTTCAGTTACGTTTAAATGATACAGAACAGGAAGGTGCTGTAAGATTTAGAGCCCAGGGCACATTTTGATTCGCCAGAGGACTAAGCGAAATTACATTCATAATTTAATTAGTGAAATTGAACCATGGCAAGCTACCATGGATCTCTTTTATCTCTTGGAGCTGGTTGAACTATAGTATAAAGTGCTACTTGTGTGTATAAATGAGCTCCGTATTAACTCTCTTAAACAATCACAGGCTGGTGGCAGAGCAGATAGAAAACAATAGACGCCTAAAAATTGTCTTTCCTTTAAATTCGATTCAGTGGCGACATCTACATTTTTTTTCATCGGATACTACAAGTAGGAGTACATGAGTACCGGAAGGACCACACGTTGTATGTTTAATCAAAAAAAGGGCCGAAAAACCCAGTACGAAGTGCCGTCACACTTCAGTAGCGATTCAAATCATGAAAATACATCTGAAAATTTCATGTTGACTTTAGATTGGTTTTAGATTTTACAATAATTGAAAATAGATGACGCACATACGCCAAGATTACTAATGCTAAGTATTGAGGGCGCATTTTGTACCTATAACGAATTAAAGTTTCAACCTTTATAATTACATTAATTGATAATTGTGTCTAAAGAGATGGAATGACGACTATTAAGAGATACAGAAAATGGGCAGGCAGAGATATATTTTTTAGGGTTTTAGTTGTATGTAAGTAATTAGTGGAGAGTTTATTGCTAGTTCTTCTCTTCCGTTATACGCCTTCTACGCCTTGATTTAAGAACTGGTAGTAAATGTACAATTAGAAGAATTTAATGTATATTTCTTTTTTGACGTTCATAAGTGTACATTGTGTTACCTGCATGAATAAATGATTTTTGATATGATTTGATTTTTGTACAGCTTTAAGATTCTACTGAAAAATGTACGTTTATACCAGCGTTGCCATACGTCCCGATTTTTTAATGAAAATGAAATGCCCCGCGCGGGACAGACTTTTTCCCGCTTTTTGGGGTAAACTCAAGACACCACTGCCATGCTCAGAAATGGCACCAGCTCTTTTAACAGCTACCAAAAAAAGATACCAGGTATATCATATACTCATTCCTCCGTTCTGACAATTATTTGAAACGCCATAATTGTCTAATGAATACTTTTTTGGTTTAATTTTGTTTATTTTATTTTTTTTATTAAGAAGACAAGTATTTAACGATAGGGTAAATCTGATTTAAAATATCACCTTTAGTTACTATGTCCCGCTATCGACGAGAGATTCCCGCTTTTTTAACTCAAAAGGTCCAAAATCCCGCCTTGACAATAAAAAAATCTGGCAACGCTGGTTTATACCTATGATAACTTGTCAAAAATATGTATGGTTCAAATTAACAATTTATTAAGAAATTAAAATGAGTTTTTACTCGTAAAGTATTTAAAATATGCCTTATTCATACGAAATTTAGTCACCCCTGCCCGTTTACTTATTAAAAATAATAAATATTACTCTGTACTGCCACTAACTGTTTAGCAGGTTTAAATAAATATTATATCTACATATATATTATATTATTGCAACAGTCAATAACTACAAAAAGTATTTTTTTCACAATATTTAAACCCTGTATATCTCAGACTTTTATCTGTAGGTTTTGTGGCAAAATCTAGTTTCAATTACACATTTGTGTAAATTTTCTTGCATAAAGGCACGAAATCCTGGGAAAACTTAAATTCTTTAAAAAACATTCAAGAGGGGAACGAGCTTCTATTATTGCATTTAGTATATTTTTTAAAGTAATAATTTAACGATAATATGGTCTTATTACTCTTTCGAGTCGCTAGTTATATATTCAAGTGATGTTCAAGTGATGTGAACTAGTGGCTTGGGTGGATAGGATACACAAAACTGACGGTTCCATACTTTGCCTGATAAATTATTTTAATAAATTTCAATTTATGCCAGATTGGTCTTTGATTTACGCGAATTAAAACAGCTTTACAGCAGTCACGGTCAGCGAGAGGTTATGGGTAGAGATATATGGTTTGTCTTTGGAAATTTATTGTCATACTTTAAATTTATGTTTATTTTCTTTTGATTCTACTTCATTTGTTGTTCTAATAAGCTTTCTTCGCGTCTAGCGTAAAATTTGTTTAAATTAAATCAACCCTATCCCCGAGAGTTCTATAATAAGATTCAGAGTCGAGACTTTTCGCTAAGTATGACTTCCGGATGTCAAATCCAATACGTTTTTGACATTCGGAAGTCATAGTTCGTGCTGTCGAGTTTCTGAATCTTACCATGAAACCATTAATTCCGAGTGTAAATTTGATATTTACGCCTAATGCAAAATATAGTCACAATGAAGTGTTAGATTTTTGGTACTACCTGTACACCACTTACTTTACAATTAACAGCCGACTGATGTCTGGATCGCTAAAAATAAATGCTCAAAGAGCCATAATAATTGTTCAGCTTACCTCCTGACAAAAGAAACCCCAATAAAAACGAGATGAAAACTTTGATAAAGAATGTGGGAAAAAAATAAAGAGGTGTTATCTGAATCTTTTGGTACAATAGGTGAGGCTGTTGAGAAACGCGTCTTTTATATAAAATATTATCTTTTGAAGATAATATACAAATAAAGATTACAAAGAGTATTTATAACTATATTTCTCGATGTTCCTATTTATAGAAATTAAGCGTATATGGTGATGCTCCGGAGGCATGAGCAAGTGATAGGCTTTGGAAAGTTTTCACGATAAAAACATTCCGTCGTTACATTCTTTGATTTCTCGACACTTTAGTTAATGATAACAAAGATTTGTTGTCATTTTTAAAGCCTTTTTATTACACAATAAACGCCTTTAGACTTTTCCAGCTTGGGTTGAATTGAGTAATTAACCTTTTATGTTTTCTTTTTGACGGACTGATCTTTGCGTGTTGTTCTCACGAGAATGTAAGTGCGTGCTCCCATTTCACCATGCCTACTGCTGATAGAGGACACAAATCATTATTTTTTATTTTATTATTAATTACTTGAGATGTCATGTGGGACATGGTGTAATGGTTGCAGCTCCTTACAAACATTGTGTAAAACAAAAACTTGGCGATTAAAAGGAGTGGCGGAGAGTTTATTGCCAGTTCTTGTCGTCCGTTCTACGCCCTTGATTTGAGGACTGACAGTAAATGTAGAATTAGAAGCATTTAGCATTTAATATGTATTTCTTTATTGACGTTCATAAGTGTGCATTATGCTGCCTAATGAATAAATGATTTTGACTTTGTCTTTGCATTACATTTACGAGTCTCACGTTGACCAGGACTGCTTTAACGTACTAAATAATTAATAAACATATTTCTATTAAAAGTTATTGTTCCTCCGTAAAACAGTTTAGCCAGAAGGGAGTGCGCGGTGGTATTCCAGTGGTGCAGTGCACCGACCGCACACACAGTCCTAGCACATACAATGCTGATGTTGGACATTTCTTAATTGAGAACATTAATCAATTATTATTTCTCTGAGTATGGGATTTCGTTAATGAAGGTATCGACAAATTCGACAACTGAGGACATCATCATCGGTACCGGAAGTCATTTTCACAACTGCCCGACACTGCACTCAGCGTACTCCTAGGGACGAGATATATATATATGTATATGTCGCATCGAACTAGCTTAATAAGCCGTTCAATTAACAGTCTAGCCTTTTAACTAAACGATACAATATTCTTATATAATAATGTTACATTCTAATCAAACACAAATACCCTTTGAAGAGCAATATTTATACAGGAACAACAGAAATAGAAAGTAATCTCTCGGTAATAGTAATCTAAAATTATTGTTTGACAAATAACACGTATCTCGCGCATATTTACCAACGGTAGTTAAGCTGATGATGGAAGGAAATTCTAGTTTGAAAAGTGAATTGGCACAGATGACCACTTGAGGAGAATACTGAAGCAGTAAGTGAATTGTGGGACAGCATGAACATTTCTTCGAAGGCGATAATAAAAGGCGACCACACACATTGCGAACTAACATCAAAACAATTCAATTAATAATGACTCAGATCAGGATTTATTTGATTTTATTGTAAGAGTTTACGCTTTGTTGGTCTTGTGTGTCTACAGTATGTAATCTTGGAGTTGCACCCGAAATTATTTATGAAGTTATTTTTTACATAATTCTTTTGACGATCATAAGTGTACATTGTGTTACCATATAGGTAACACAATGAATGAATGAATGATTTTTGACTTTATATAATTATTTCTTATATATTAGGGTTAGCTATTATTACAAAGAAAAAACTAATTTGATTAAATGAGGATTGGTCTTGATCTATTTTGCGTATCATATTAAAGTAAAAATGTGTAAGTTTTAGTGAAACCAAGGTAAATAACTTAGCCTGAGGAATATTTGTAGTGAAATGGGTGTGTTTACACTTACGGTCGCTTATAGACCATAATTTACGATAATAAGTAATCAGAACTATCATAACTGCAATTAGTTATTAATTAATTAATAATTGATATAATTTTTCCTCTCCCCTGACAAAAGAAAAGATTTACAGTCTGTGTGTTGTCACCAACGGGAGACAATTATAAAATAATTCCAAGAATATTTCAGGTAAGGGTTCACGATAATTGAAAAGAATATTCTAGAAAACGAAATGCTTAGTTAATAAAAAATAATAAGACTTAAGACTCTTAGCAAATCTAATCTTAGAGAAAACATGAATCAAATTTGGGTACGATAAAGTCTAGTTAAATGTTAGGAACATTTAACTAGACTATTATTATAACTTATTTTTTAGGACCTAGGACAGGTCCAACGTGTGTTTAAATGATTAGAACTTGTTTAGCTGAGGATAATCAAGCAAATGTGAAAGTACCGCACTAAGACATAATATTTATTAGTCAGTTTTTCCACCGCTGGCGGTAACTTTGCACTTAATCGCAAAACGTTTATATTTCGCTAATTAATATATTTACGAAAACATGCGATTTCGGTTGTGTCCACTGCCCTTTATGTAAGATTATTACTTTTAATAACTAAATAAGACGTTTCGAACTTTACTATTAGGTATTAAAGATTTATTTAATTACTTGTAGAAGGGGTTCATCTCATTGCTATCATTTGGTTTCGATATCATCTATATTTTGATTATAAAATAGCGTAAATTTATTTATATATTAAATAAACAAATGCACTAATAATTCAACCGAAATATCCACATAATTAGCACATCTGTTCAAACATACATTACGCATAATGCAATTCCCAAAAGTATACTATTAGTTGTATTTTAACATTCGTAGGATGGGGTCAAGAGAAGAGAAAGAAAAAAAGAAATGTGAGATGGCGACTGACTTAGACACTGCGCTGGATTTCGCTGGTAAGTGCTTCTTATGTTTTCATAAATAACGAAATCATGTATTTAAAATAATTTGTGTTAGTGAAAGATATACCAAGTGAAATTTGTTTTATACAAGTACTTAAAGGATGGTCATATGTAAGCAGACTACTTGAAAACTAAATCATTTACATATAATTCCCATTTAAATCAATTTAATGTAAAATTGGATATGTGCGGTCTGAAAAAATATATTTACTATTATTGTAATAACTGTACGACTTAATGTACGATTTAGAAATTGTTTTTCGTGAGTGTTATTTTTAATACAAATTAAAGATGCCGAGAACATAATCCCCACGTGCTAGTTCAAGGGAATACCGAATTTTTAATTTATGCCACGAGTATTAAATCCTACGCCTGTCTATATTTTCACACAGTAATTGGCTCCGATGGCGTGAGAAATTGTTTCATATAAGTATGCAATACACTGATAATGTCAACAAAAGGAGTTCAAACAAATCTATACTTAGCGTGGAGGTTGATAAGTACAGAGAAGTCATCGCTACTCGATGGCATGGTTGATCTTTGCATAGATAGATATTTAGAGACCTCCATTTAAAACAGATACTATCTCTGGCCCCAGATCTGTTTTTTATCGAAAAAATGACTAAGGACTCTTTTTCATGTACCCACTAGTAAATGTTCAGTCTGTTGTGGCTCTAACGTTCTAAGGGTAAGTTCCAGAGTCAAGGCTTACCGTAGGTAAAAAACGTATTGGCTGTATCGACTTTGAATCTTATCGTAAGACATGTTGGGCTTCTCACAAGGCTTTCTTCGCCTCAGAGAAGTCCAAAGTGAGTTTTTACGAATGACTTCGAATAAAAACCTTTAAGGTCTTCTTTTAGGTCTGGGCCTCAAATTTTTGTATGTGTTTGGTGATCATTTGTTTCTTTCTCATCATCTATATCCTTGCCTGAGAAAAACCTTCTGTGCCTGACACACGCCATCGACTTTTTAGATCTAAGGCATGCCAATGCAAGTGGTTTTCATTTACCCCTCAAGTGTCAAATGAGCTCATAGACAAAAACTCCTTTGGTGCACACAGAGTAGCATTCTGAAGCCACTAGGCTAACACTTCTCAAGGGATTTGCCATTACATACTACGCGAATACCATATGCTTATTATAGGTATTTAATCAAGAAATAATGTTTTTTTAAATAAACTGATTTTTAAAATTTAAATCTATTTAAAGCAAGGTTATCCGACAAATTATTTAAAATTTACCGATAACCTGAAATTACGAATAAAACGCATTCGTAATTTCTTCATCGCTTATCAAGATCCTCTGAAGTGGAACTGCGTGTCAGAAATTAAGCGAACTAATAGTGTCAAAAATTAAGCGAACTAATAGTGTCAAATGTGAACCACTTTCTACGTTTTAAAGTGAAATAGAGTTTTCAGCCTCATTTAATTCGAATATTCGATACTAATTATTAAATAAAATGGAGAACTCGGGCTCTGGACTCGACTAGACTAGATTAGACCGTTAATCGGTTGAGTACTTCTGCGTATGCGCGGTTTGAATGAGTAAAGTGTTTTGTTAGTACACAATTCCTGACATTTTACATTTGTACACATATTGTGTCGTTGTTTGCATTGCCAATGCTTATAAAAGGTCGTTCCTTCCTTCGGGGGAAATTACAGGATCAAACATAGAAACGGAATGAAACTCGTGGAAGTGGCTGCTCGTTTGCATAAAACCCGTAAATCATCGAAAGACGCAGGAAGGAGCTGAATCTACAGCTACAAATAGCTAGTTGATTTGTATCTACAAAATACACGGCAGAAGTTCCTTTCCCCTTAGTTAAAGGCGGTAGGGGACTCCGAGGGTCGACGGAGGAATATTTTAAGACTCGGCAGATATTTTTTTTAAACGGCTTTTACCTAAACGTAAGTTCAAAAGGAGAGTTTGTGGTTATAACGTAGTATAGTGTTATAAACACGAGTCTGAGACTGGCCCTCCAGGCCCCACAAGCCAAATTGGCAGCAGTCAGCAGTCAGCAAGGAAAGGGTTTGCAGCGGAACTAACCAAAGCAAGAAAACGTGTGTAGCATTGTGTGAATTATACATATAAATATGAAACGGGCACCACTGGTGAGCGTTTAATTGTAGTAGTAGGATTGTCTAACAAATAAAGAGCGGATCTGCTCGCCGGTAAATAGGCGGAAGTGGCATGTCTTCGATCTAGAGATCTTGACGATACAGTTACCGTGGGTTGTTGAGTATATTGTAAAGGGATGATACTAGTTCTGATCTCTTTTGCTATTTGTGACAGAGAGAGGCTTAATGTATAAGGGTATAATAGCAAGTTCCACACTATGTGGAAGTGAAATAAGTATTAAGCAAATTACTTAGCCTCCGTGGCTTAGCTGGAAACTTTCTGTAAAATATATTAATCATAGTTAATAGGTTGGTGTACCTACCGATCAATTTCGCAACCTGATCTAACCTAACGAGTTCCATGATAATCTAGTAACAAATTTTCCGGTTTTTAGGTTGCCTATCAGGTGGCTATTTAGAATATATAAAATATTATAAAGATACATATGATTATGATTCGTTATGATTTCGTTTGTTTAATTTAAAATTATTAAGGTTTTCTTTTTTTATAAATGTTACTAATTAATTCTTATTTTTAATTTTATTTTATGTACTATATACTTTTACACAAGACTTGATTACATACACTGCCAACTTTTATTTACATTATTTTTTCTTTTCTTGCGACTGAGGCGCAAACTAGCTGCTATGGTCTCTGGCAGAATGACCAGCGCTGTGGAATAGTCAGTCTGCTCCTCAGTCCTCAGCATAATGCTGAGCCAGGGCCAATTACAGCCACAGCACACACGCGTTACACATTTAAAACGTACCGTGATGTTTAAAAAAATGTTTTCTTTCACTTTTTTATATTTTTGGATTATTGTTATTTTGTGTGTTTCTGTGTGTGTGTTTTGTTAGTAATAAATATTATGTCTATGTCTATGAGTCTAATTATAATTAGTGGACAAGTTTCACCTCCGACAGCGCTTTAGCATCCATTATAGAATAAGATGGTGCCGGTGGACAAACAACAATATATTATGTAGTTATTATTAATTGAAAAATACTTATTACATTGTAAATTAAACCCAAATATTTCCTTTATTGATCGAGATAGGGATGATCTGACAGCTGAACATAACATAGTACTTAATGTACTTACTTTGATAGGGCAATATGGTCGTTCCTCTAAGCCTTTTCAGTCGTCAAGATTTGAACTAATTCTGCCTCGGAAATGTCTGACATTAAAGTGTTTGAAGCCCATGACGCAGTACCCCGTGTAACACGATGCAAATCAATTTGCATGGACAAAGGCATGCATATGCAGTAATAAACGCAATTTAACGATCGTTTATTGTCAAATGGTTATTATCCAGACTGCTAAATGGCCTTGGCTAATGGCTAGCCTTGGTGTAGTGATGTAAATTTTGCAATAAATGTAATATGTAAGAGACCACCGAATAATTTTCTAGTATCGACATTGCATAAGTCGGAAACAACAATAGGTTAGTTTTATATTATGATTAGTGACAATTCATTCAAAAATAAAAACATGATTTTATTTATATTTTTAGGAGCTGGAAAATACCAGGTTTTCCATTGCGCACTCATGGTGTCCACCCTGGGAGCTTCCATCCTAGAGATGATCGGATGTTCCTTCTTACTCCCTCTGGCCGCCTGTGATCTTCAACTATCTGACCACTTAAGAGGAATAATCACTAGTATACCCAATATAGGTACAGTAAACTATAAGATGAAAGTTTCGAACCCATTCAGACATTTTGATTCTGAACAAGATAAACATGATTCTCTATCTCGTGCATTCACCTAATCATTTTCGCAGGTATAATTCTAACAGCACCATTTTGGGGTCCCATCGCAGATGCGATGGGCAGAAAACCAGTTCTTATTGTATCCACGTTGCTGTCAGGCGTCATTGGGCTAATGGCTGCCTTCATGCCCAACCTTACTTCTTTCGCTTTATGCAAGTTCGCTGGTTCGTTATTGTAAGTCTAACGCTACTTATTTTAATGAGACGTGATCTCTTAATTCAACTTCTAATTCATCTCTGTGTGATAATTTTTTCAGTTTATCCTGTCCCTCGTCCTTAGGGTTTGCTTTCGCTGGTGAGTTGATGCCGAGGAAACGTCGTGACATGGCCGTGTTAATCTGCAATGCATCGCTGATGTTAATAGCCTCTTTATGTCCCAGTAAGTTCTAATTAACCAATAGTAATAATAATCCAGTGACGCTACAAAAATTTAAGAATCATGAATCTTTGATTTCTGTCTCTGCCCGTTAACCATTTTTCTTGTTTTACATTTTTCGAGATATAAAAAAGATTTTTTCTCGTGAAAATTAAGAAAAAAAGCGCTTTAAATTAATCGATCTATCCCATCGGGATTCGAAGTGAGAATTGCAGGCTAAACCCCAATAAAATAACATTACTCTCTAAAATTACATACATTTATTAATATTATACAATTTGATTTCAATCTCATAAATACACGACGTATTTAAAGGCTCTAGATAACTTAAAATCAACTAAATATGTGTGTTATTAAATTAATGCTTTGTTATATTAAATATATCCTATCCCTAATACGGCTTGGCAAGATATTTATATCTTAAAATCAGAGGTAGTTGCTTCTTTTCAGTACTTGCCTGGATCGTGTTCACCATAGACTGGGAACACAACAACATCTTCATTAAGCCGTGGCGTATACTAACCGTAGCCTATGCTGTACCTCTCATCCTGTCAGCGTTGTGGATGACACAGACAAAAGAGAGTCCCAAATTTCTTATGATGAAGAGCAAGGAGAAGGAAGCTTTGAAGGTTTTAGCCCACGTTTATTCATTTAATACGGGAAGGAGGCCTGATGAATACAAGGTATACCTTTAGTTTATTATATATGTTACACATACCAATGAAACCTGTTATCCTCTCAGATACATATTACTATATTTTTATATTATTTATTTAGTTATATATGTAGTACTTTTTTAGTTATTTAAAATATAGTATTTTTGTAACATCACTGGATAGAGTTAATTATTAGAAACGTGTATTTATATATACTTTATATCATGAAATCTAAACTTATTGAACGAGGAAATATGCAAATAACATTTACATTGTATATTTTGTTTTTAGCGCCTGTAATAATATAACCAAGTAGTCGTTCGACAATGATTATTACTCAGAAATATATGTCAGGCCGAATTTAATTATATATTTGTAGTAATAACAATTATGAATTATAAAATAATAATACATATAACGTTTGGAATTACATAGAAGAGTCGTCCCCTTCTCTCATGTAGTCGCATGGATTTTTTTAATGTGGCACCGCGACGAATTTATTGAACTATATCGAAACATATTATGTATGTGAGTATTTTGTACAATTACAGGTAACATCTCTTAAAAAAGAGGACAATGCCGACCAGGTAGATGGCGAAGCTATCAAAGTAACAAAGACATCAGCTACTGCTCTGCTAAAGCCTCCACACGTCAAGTGGCTTCTGTTATTGGGCTTCCTCATGTTGGGATTATTTTCCTTGTGAGTTTTTTTATTATTTATTATTTTACCACAATTGTACTTGTAATGTTAGAAACAATACTACTTAAATTTGATACGACATTGGGGCACATACACGGGTAACACTGAAAATGTTTAGAAAATGAAAAACGGCTTAATGTAGAAAGTTGCCAATACTTTTATTGTTTTTCGAAGTAATCTCCGTTCCCCTCTACACATCATCGCATTCGATGGAACCACTGAGAAAAGCAGTATGCCCGTTCTTTCTAAGGGTCTCGTCTAAGGCATTTTCGTACGCTTTCACCGCATCTTCAGGGCTCGTAAGGCGATTGTCTTTTGGTTTCCGGTTCGTAGTAACATATCCAGCTTTCATCACCTGTGACGATGTCAAATACAGCATTTGAGTCACCGCCGTTGAACTTATCTAACATTTGGCGGCACTATCCGGTACAAAGCTTCCTGACGCCTAAATGATCGTGTAATATTTTTTGAACTTGACTCATACCAATGCCTAGGCTTGCCCGTATCTGCTGATAGGTCACTCTCTTATCTTTCTCTATCATGCGTCGCACAGCACTGATGTTATCTTCAGTAGTCGCTGTTAAAGGACGTCCCTCACGCGGATTATCATTGAGATTGCTATGTCCAGGCTTTAACTCGTTAAACCAATTGATGGGGCTTCATTAAAATACTAATCGCAGCCTATCATAGCCTTGTTGTTGATTAAGCCCACAACGAAAGTCATAATAAATCATTGGCGAAAATTTTCTCGCTTTAGTTTCATTTTCACGTGTAAAAAGAGTTTTAGATTTGCCGCCAATTCACAAAAACAAATGACAAATGAATGCAATATACTACATTAGGTTACCAAAGAGTTCTTAAGTTAAAATTAAAAAAAAAATTCATTAGCAATGTTTCTAACTGGCCCGTTCTAAACATTTTCAGTGTTACCCACGTATCAGTAGAAGTTAGAAACGTGATTAAATTTATTCATCTCTTCAATCAATAAATTTCTTTTTCTATATATATAAATACTAAATTCACTGTAAACGTGTTTCCCGAATTAGCGCAGGTCTTATTGGATACATTTCAGTTCTGTATCACGATCCAATCAGTCCCTACTTACCCGAAAAAAATACTATTTCCTCCGAGTCATAATGATTCGAAGTTTGGTCACGAAGGTGGTGGTCCCGAGTCATAGTGCTAATCTAATAAATATATTTCATGTGGGAACTGGGGTGGCATGTCGTTGCTCTAGAGTCTAGACCAAGTGTTATGCAAAGGACATTTAATGCAAGATTTTATTTAATTTTATTTGAGCCATATAATTGTGTTGGTGCCACCTTCTTATTTTCTGATACTTTTAATGAAAGGAAGAAGTTGCCCTTTAAGTTTATGCTGTAGCCTGTAGGCACAATTACAATGCCGTGGGTTCCTTGATCCAACATTGTCAATTCATTATCAATGACAAGGTTCAGTCAACCTCTCTTATCGATTTAATTCAAAATCAATAAGGTATTAAAGCCATGGTATATAATTTATATAATTTTATCCTATACTACATGAACATAAAGTAATATATATTTTCAGATTAAATGGATTATTTCTATTCACTCCACATACGATAAATAAGATGATGACAAAATTACCAAACGAGACCGTGTCTATTTGTTACTCTTTAAACCAGCCAGACAACGTCGTAAGTAGCTCTTTCATATTGCTTGTTCCTATAATGCTTTACGTATGTAACTGCAGTTTATGGTCCCTGGATCGAATCCCGGGTGGGACTGTTAAAAACTAGTGTAACAGTACGCAAGTGTATACAGTAGTCAAACAGTTTATGGACTTTGTTAGTCGTATATTTCAGTAATTGCAGTGAAATATCACATATATATACGTTGTAGGCAATATGAACTTATCTCGTGTTTATAAAAAATTCTAGCAAATGTTCAAGTATAAAACGATAGGAAGTAATTTTCTTTTAATTTCAGACGCACACTGTAACATGCATAGACAGTATTTCGTACGACACATTTAAAATAACTGTAATAACGGCCCTTTTCTACGGCGCTATAGTGATGGCAGTGAGTCTCAGTCCACTGTCGAAGAAGACATTATTGGTTGGAATGTATTCACTCGTTTCTGCTGCCTGCATAGTCAGTGTGATTACGCGCAATAGGTAAGAACTAAGACATCGCCAAACCTTACACTATGACTGTATGAGGTAATTCTATTAAATCATATTTTTTACAAAATTTCAACCAGATTCGTGGCTGGTGTGTCCATGTCTACTCTGGAACTGACTGCTCTCGGTATCGGACCTCTCAACGCTTATGCAGTACAAATATTTCCAACAAGTTTAAGGTAACTAAAAATCATAATAATTATCTACTAAGAACATTTAGTTATTAGACAATTCACTAAATATTTAGTGAAAACCTAGAATATAGATTTATTAGATAATTTGTATTATAAATATATAAAATAAGCTTGATAATTGATAAATATAAATGTAATATAGATTTAAATAAACTTTTGGATAGTAAATCCTTTGTAGACCATAATATATTTGTGTTATTCATTATCATTATACATTTTTTTGTCACTTGTTTATGAAACTACATAATTATATCAACTTAATTTACTATGTTGACGAAGATATGATGTTTTAATACCGCTTAATGCTGAACAAACAAGTGTTTGTTGGTCTTACAATAGGGAAAGCCCGAAAATGATATACGCTAAGGCTAACAGAGGCTGTTAGATTTCTAATATTATAATTAACTCAAATTATCATAAAAACAACGTTATGCTATGGGGTACCAGGACCCGGCTCATTTGTCAAAAATATCGACGGTAAATTATTAATTAAATATTAATAACACAAAACAATTATTCGTGAAATTAAATGTTTTATTTTCTTATTAAACGACTCTACATTGTGTTAATAATCCTATTAATGTTATGAAAAGCAGTTTTGTTAATATTAAGGCTTACTGAGACGAATGTTTCTCTTACGAGGTGAATGATTTCAGAGGTTCAGCTGTTGGTGCCGTGATGATGTTTGGGCGTGTGGGTTCGATGCTCGGCGCGAACATGGCTGGTATCTTCCTGGCTCGTGGTTGCGAATATACATTCTATGCGTTTGCTGCTCTTATTGCCTGTAAGTATTTATATGTTGGACTAGTTTTTAACTTTTCTTTTATCATCAGCCTTCTAACATTAAATTGACTTTGATGGGTTGAAATAGGTTTAAAATACAGTGCTTGTTTTCTTTCTCTGTTTATTTACATTAATAGATAAAGACATTTACTCAATAAAGGCGTTAATCACATAACAATATGTTATTTGTCTGAAATATCTACAATACATGTTTTTTTAATTAAAATTTCTCTTTAAAGACGCTATAGTGATAATTTGGATATATTTGAATTCCTTATTAATCCGGAAATATATCTTTTTAGTGATTATGTTGTTTCAAATTTGGTTTAACAATATATTAGAACACAACAAAATGTTACAACTGTACTATAATTAGAAAATAATTTTATTTAATTATTATTAAAAAACCTTTCAGTGTGTGCAGCGCTGAGCTTCCTACTTCCCAATGACAACAAACCGGCTTCAAAATCTGAAAAAACAAGTCTTTGATACTTGAGATAATGTCTATATGCTTTGCAAAATGACAATAAACCCGTTATAATATAGATTAAACAGCTTATCTTTTAAGACTCCGAGTCGGCTATTTAATTACCTTTGATGAAAAATGGTAATTACTAATTTAAGTGATTGAATTGAATGGTGATTTAAAGTAGCGTATAGTAAGAAACCTTTTTAGCTTCCAATCGAATCTATGGTGAACTTAATTACTTAAATTTTTTACTACAAAAAAAAATATTAAAAGATTTTTTTACGATAGTTATGATTATGTATATGTGAGTTCTCATAGAGTGATATTAGTCAAATTAAAAAAATATTGATTAATTATTGCAACAAGTAATCAATTTTTCCTCGTATAATTAGTTTACCTGATTGTTTTCCACTCAATAACACTTCCTTACTATAATCAACCGTAGAGCCTGCCACGGCAGCCTTTGACAATTGTTTATCGAGCCCTAAATATTGTCTATTTGTGTTTAATTATTAAACCTTTATGACTTTGGGTGTCCTGATTATATTTTCTTGTTACATCGGTAGGAAATGCTTTTTTATTAGACAGCTTGTCGGTGCCTGGTTTCCAATTACTAAATAAAGAATGTTGAGTGAATTAAATTAAATTACCTAGGTAGGAATGTTGTTTAATATTGCGCAACATTTTAGGCACCACAGGAAAGCACTTGCATTTATGTTACGTAGCATTCTCAAAACATAAAAGATTAAGAATATTTGTTTATTACATTTATATTTTTGAGAAGAATATCGATGATTATTGAACATTGACTGATTAGTTTTGATGATTCATATTTGAATGAATTTAATTGCAACTCATAATTTGTATTGTTTTTGGTTAAGCTTTAATAATGTCTATAAAGAAAAATAGTTGTATTAATTATAATTAATAAACAAATTTGCACAAAACTATGTAATTTCTCTTGGGACAGTTAACTCAAGTTTTTATATTTTGAAATAAAGCATTAAATCTTTTTTCTTTTTTTTATTGTTTAATTTAGCCGAATTAACGATGGCCCACAAATGTTGCAACACCATGAATTACCTTTTATATTAGACATTACCACGTTTGAAGGCCAAAACAATCGTATGAAACGTAGAAATAGTCTCTATTTCCTCAAGATGCTAAAGTCGCGCCCCTGGCTACAGTAATTGCCCTTGCTTAATAAGCCACAATTAAAAAGGCAATATCTTCAGCGAAACATGGTCGTTTTATTACATGTTCCTCCAATCACGAACTTGTACCATATAATTGACCTAAAAATGCCATCATGTTATCATGCGAAGTTTAAAATAAATAAAACAACCTCATTTTTACTATAAATTATAATCTTAATATTAGACGCGTTATACAACGAATGACAGTTGTGGGATCAGCTTGTGTGCGGTGGTTTAGCAGTGGGAAAAATTCAAAACAGCTATGGAAAAAGATGAAATGAAGGTAAGATTTTTATTTTATTTTGTTAGTGGATGATACTGATAAATAAAATTTAAATAATACAAATAATATAAAAATAATGAAAATAAATATTAAAAGTTAAAATGTACAAATACGAATAATATTAATATAAGAGGAGGATATTTAAACGGAGAATAATAAATTAATAGTAATAACTTCTGATAAAAAAAACATTCAATATAATATGTTGCATATCTCATAAACATAAGGCAAACCTAATGCAATGTAAAAGATATTTTTTTAAAGAGTTTATTATCTTATTATCCTTAGAAAAATATTTATGGAATATTAGATTTAGTTTAGTAAAAAACATCTTACTAAACCTAAGTACCCTTTAAACCGGATTATAGATAATCAGAATATTATCATTTAACAAATTTTTATCGAAATCATTATTTCGAAACTCCAAGTGGCGATTGACGGCCAAACCTAAATCCTGGTAACAGAACAATTATATCAGTTATTATTGATTTCGTTTTATGTTAAGTTCAGCTAAAATTAACTTATAAATATAGATAGAAATTTATTTGTCTGTTTGAGCTACCTCGCAATAATCAAATCGGTAATTTTGATGAAGCCAGTATTTATTAAATGTCGTGATACTGTGCAAAAAGTTTATAACGTACGTCGGCCAGTAAAAGTGAACACTCCAAATAATAATTCAGTAAAATAATAACATAAATAAAATTATCTAAAACGGGTTATGATAATCGGCCACGTGTACTTCTCTGATCTAAATTAAGGATCAGATCAAGCAATAATCTTTTGTGAGTAATAATGTCGCATAATAATTTTCTACAAAGATACCGATTTAATAATTCAATATATAGCAATAGAATCCTCAAGCCGTTGAACTTGCTAAAATCTAAATATAATTAAAAAGAGAGCAACAGTAAGCGTTAATTACGTGTTTGTGTATTTCAGTTATGATGCAAACAAATTATAATCTACTAGAGTACATAAGAAAAACAAGCTTACAATTCGTTAAATAATATATTTACGCAAGTCTATTGGACATAGTCGAACTAAAGGCCGAGCCTTACATTTATTTTAGGCAGAAAATTTTATAGAACCACCCCTTAGGGTTTCATGGCAATCTTAATTCAAAATGGCGACGAAATTGACCCCTACGTTAGATGATTTAAAGGTATTTCCATCAATGCTAAGTCAAATGCTAACCCGAATGGATGACGTCTATAATTCGCAGTAACAAGGGAAGAACTAAAAATAATGTTATAAAACTAGAATTTAAGTAAGAGCACTTACATACAACATAGAAAAACAATATTTAAACTGGCGCTGGGAATAGAAAAATAAAATAATTGTTAGTTATCATTCGATATCTGTGCCTCCTTACTATTTAACAATCGCAACATCATGAAATAGTTCTATATTTTTATATTCTGTCTCATGTGAACACGTGTCCCATGTTTTTATAAAGAGATTTAATTGATAAGGTGAGTGTCTAAGATAGATGCTAAAAATAATTAAAATTAAATTTATTAATTTAAAAAAAAATTACCCATTGCTAGGAATGACAATTTTATAACTGGTGTCTAACTAGTAGCCCTTTTAAAATGTACAAGCTAATTAAGGTATCCTAAAAAGGAGCCTACTTAATTGATTGAGCTCAATACGATAGATTTGTAAGTAATAGGATTCCACATTCTCTGAGCGAATCCAGTTTTGAAGTCTGGTTTAAATATGTCATCGGCGACGTAGACTTTTATAATATGCATTTCGATAGCCCTTGGATAACCTTTCTCAATCACTTGGGTCTTAGACAATTTACTTTAATTTTCTTTGCCTATTTATAATAATGATCGATGTATCGTAGACAAAAACGTGTATTTGCCCATTGCGTTAAAGGAGGTTGAAAAAGAGGGTTGTTAAGAAACATATTCTGTCCATTCGCAGTCAAAAATCAATTACTTGTATCTTTTGTTTTTTAACAGTTTTTGGATTGCACTACTTGCTGCATTTGTAATTTCAATTTGATAACAATTATCACTTTGTGCGATCAAGGAAAACATAATAATAAAATAATAGAATAATAATCTTGTCTTTTCCGCAGACAATAATTAAATATAATCAAGTCTTATCGATGTGGGCTTGTATTGCAAATATTAATTGCTACAAATCACTCGGAACTATTTATTTTTTTTATTTTTCAGGATAAGAATCTACCAGAGATTATAAAAATGGAGAAGAAAGAAGCGTACGACAATTCAACAACGCTTGACGAAGCGATGTTTGCTACAGGTATTAGTTTCAAACATATTCCACCTAAACACGATGAAATAAATGATTGAAAATTCATAAGTTCTATGAAATATAATCTTTCTTAAATTTAACTATGCCGCATAGATTTTTTTCCGTCCCGTCATGCCAAGATTTCCATTTAAAATTCAACATCATTATATGGGTGCTGCTGAATCTTTATTAGTAACCCGTTGTTAATAACTTTGCAGTGGAGTACAAACCTACAAGACGTATTTGTGTTTGAAACTCCCGAGCATTCTGTGTAGGTACCGCGACCGTCTACTACTTGTACTGTTATTACTTGAGAATGTCAATTGCCTATTCAATAGTTAAATTATCTTATCTCTTACAAGAGTTTGTGACCCTAATATGTAACCAATATTGATCAGTTGAGTCAAAAACACTTCAGGTTAAAAAAAATGTTTTTAATCAAACAACATCTACGTGAAATGCCAAACAAAAAGTCACATTTTCACTCAGCCACTCAAATAAAGGCCGTGACTTTATTACCTACTAGCAATGCCTCGTGGTTTCCCTCGCGTTGATACCGCTCTCGTGGTAGTGGAAAGTCTACTTAGTCGGACTATATATATATAATATATATGATATGATAAAAGTTTTATTTTACTTAGTTTTCTTAGTTTTTAAGACTTAATTACTTCCTTTCAGATTATTAGATACACTCTTACATTCATAATAATCTAATCAATATACAGATTTTACTGCCAACGAATATAATATATCTAATACATTTTGATATTCGTAACATCATTTACGTCGAATGTCCGACATTAGTACATTTAAAAATACTCTACAGGTATTGAAAAGTAGGTAATAAAAGAATATTTTTAAACCAGTCCAGGAATTTTTAGCTTGATTATTATAAATTATTAATAATAAAAACAAAAATTCAAAATACAAAAATTTCTTCTTTAATATTAAAAGAGATTTTTTTTATTAATTTTTTTTTTTTTGCACATGGGCAAAATTTTCTTTTTGTTGATATTGATACGTTCTATAATACTGTACAACATTTATTTGTTCTATCATCAATAGTTTTCACAGCGCTCGCGATAACAGATTTTTTATGGATAATTATTACACCTTGGGTTATATGATTGCATTTTTGTTAGGGATCCGAAAAAATTTTTTTAAAACGTTATATAGCCTATGTCAGTCAGTGAAGATGCAGCTTACTAATGGTGAAAGAATTTTTGAAATCGGTCCAGCAGTTTTTGTGTGAAAACATTACAAACTTACATACCTACAAAAACACAAAAGTTTCCTGTTGTATTAGTATAGATTTCAAATTAGTAATTATTTTAAATAATAATAAAAATTTAAAATTTTAATAAAATATTAAAAATTCCAATTAATTAAATCTCTTAAACGTCATCATCAATTCGTCAACATATAGGGTAATAAATCAGAAATTCTTTATCAGTTTCTGCTTATTTATTGCAGATTAAAAATAGATGTTTTTAATATAATCTTTATAATACCTACTATCCGATGGAAACTTTACTGAATCAATAGATTACCCGATAAATTTCTTGTCATTTGAACAAAACAATGAATTTATTGACTCATTAAAAAGTATTACCGATATCTAACATTAATATTCGTGGAGGGTTTGCCGCTTCGATTATGTCTACAGAAGCGCTTGATGATTAAAATTCAAGCCCGAATCTCAGAGATAGAGAATTCGTAAGAATATAAAAGACCGCTTATGCCTGAGACTGCTTGCTTGTAATGGAAAACCTTAACTATCATGGTAGAACGACGCGACGTCAGGTCAAGGTATCCATATCAATATTCTAATTATGTTTAAATCTAATCAACTCCTTAAAAGGTAATTGTCGAACGAGTTGAGAAGTTTGTCACGGTCAACGTATGAGTTAATCTATAATTCCTATTATTTTATTACTAGAATCTATAGGTATATATAATGCGATATAGGCTGTTCGGGGTATTTGTTGTTTCCCCAAGGGAGTTGGTACGGAATAAGTTTAACGAATTAAATATTATGACACTATCTGGTCAATGTATTCTTGAAGCCTTGTTGTATGTACAAAAAAATATAAGCGATTTTAAAACAAATGGTGACTTTCACCACTCGAAACAGAACCAATTTGAGTGTACGACCAACCAGACTCCAGAAGAAACCTCTTTAAAAATTAGAGAACTATCACTAAATAAATTCAAAGTCCTCGTTAAACGTAAATTAATAAATAAAGCTTTTTATAAATTTGACAAATATTTAAATGATCCTTGGGATGGATTTCCTCCAGTTCAAACATATTGTATGACTAAAACTTCGCTTATTAAAAAGAGTGGCGGAAAGTTTCTTGCCAGTTCTTCTTACCCGCTCTACGCCCTTGACTTGCGAACTGGTAGTACATGTAAATTTGCAATTAATTTTCAGTTAAATTAATTTAAATTTAAAGTTATTTTGACTTTGACTTTGATTTGACAATCCATCTCTATGTTTATGATTATGATAAATAATATTAGTATTTTTTTTTCAAAATCACGTCATCATCTTTACATTCGCTTTTTCTTTTTTATCTCTGTAGGTTTATAAGTTATTCGTTGGAACTTTCCGCATCCTAGTACCCACATAAGTTGTTACCCGAACTCAGAGTCGCTCTTGTACTTTTCTATTCTTATAGAAGAAGCTATAATATTCCGGTGGTAATTTAATATTATAAGAAATTTTGTTAGTCTGACCTGACCTGACCTTTCAATTGGTACATATCGTATTACGCAATATAATCTTTACTAAGACCTGACAGCTTCGAGATCGGGTTATCAACTCTCTATTGATAACACCAGTGTTGGGGGCAACTATTTTGATTTGTAGCTGAGAAATTCTAAATAGTTGCATTATAATATTCAATTAAAATACTTGCATAATTTTACATCATTATTTTAATAACCTTTCTACGATCATAAGTTTATTGTATTTATGAGGTTTATTGACTGTTTTTATAATCGCTCAATGTATAATATATTAAACATTTCGCAATGATTTATTACACTGTTATTCAGATACAATCATTAATATAGATTTGTGATAGTAAAATGTTGTCTTGGGAATAGTTGAATACTTTTGATGATAGAATTTAGTACGGTTTTCATCAATACAGCACATCCTAAGGAGCTGGTGTATAATTTATTATGGGTTTATGTTGATTGTATATATTATAATGAATTTATTTATTATCTGTATACATACTAAATACTGGGAAACTCCGTTTGTGCTCGCGGGAGATAATACATATTTGTTTATATTATTGGCAATGCGACAATATTTACATAGATAGGGTTCGTAATAGTGAAAACATGTCATAAAATCTAATTATTTTGTTATTACTCGCAAGTAGAGAATTAAAGATTTTTAACGTTAAACGAGCTAAACTTCTGTAGTCGTTTGGAAGAAACTCTTCAGAACAGTTAGAAGATTTAAAAAAATTGTAAAAAATGATGAATTCAAACGCCTTTGCGTCGTCCGTTCAGCTACAAACCCTATATAGACCAGTCAGTCAAGACAATTAATTCATAATAATTCCAAAAGTTTTCAAATTTTGATGTAAGGTCGGGAGTGGTATTAAAACAAACTATAAAATTTTGCAACCTGCTCTGCGGTCCGGAACATTGTTAAAAATAAGTTTTGCTCGTGAAAAAAATTCCAAAAGTTTATTTTATTTTCGATATATCTGTCAAATTTGCAGAACTTTTGGAACGTTTTCCTTCAGTTTAATAAAGAAAAACATTAATTTTTAATAACAAAAAATGTTCCGTACACTTAGGTTGGTTGCAAATTTTATACGTGATATGAAATATTATATCGAAAACTTCCCCAAGTTTGCAGAACTTTTGGAATTTTTTTCACGACCATACAGCAAAAATTAATTTAATTGCAATTTTAACAATGTTCCGGACTGCGGACAAGGTTGCAAAATGAGATTTATTGTCGTAATGTACCATTCACTTGACCGAAGTTTGAAAACTTTTGGAATTATTATCAAATTTTCGATTTCGAATGTCTATAATGACTGGCCTAATAAGTCATATAGGTATGTCATGATGTAAAACATGACTTTTGTAGCCAAATGGTATTTAATGATTATAATTATTTTTTTCTTTCAGAGAAAGAATGCTTTATCTTCTATTCCATTTACTATAACATACTTTATTCAATAAATATATTTTACTCAAGTGTACAGTATTTACAATTTTCTTAACCTACAAAGTAAAAATAAAAATTGTTAAATATTATTAAAAAGAAAATCAAAACAAATTTAAAAAGTTTGGTCCCTGTGGAAGTGTACCTTTAACGCTGGCAGCCTTTCCTCGCTGTATTGCGAGACTTATTCGTATAAGTATACTTATTCTAATTAATTATATCTATTAAACATGGTCGTCCTAAATTCGATTCCTAGGAAAACAATGGCTGTTTTTGTATGTGCTTACTCTATGTATTATCTAGTTACAGAACTAGAACTTCAAATACATTATTGTCAATAAGACACACAGATTGATAGCATAAACATTCCTTAATGCACGTATACGTAATGTTTAATTGATGACAGGTTTCGGAATCTACAACATCTTACATATGCTGCTCAGCGGACTTATCCTAATGGGGGTGATCATGCAAAGCTTAGCTTTGGGCTACGTGTTACCAGCCGCCCAATGCGACCTTGACCTGACGCTGCAGCAGCGCGGCTGGCTTGCTGCTATACCTTTCTCTGGTGGGTATTGTATGTGGTTGACGCGAGTATCGCTATTATAATACGACTACGATTAACGCACAGGGACCTTTCAAAATCCTATAGATTCCTTTGGTGGTGAAAGCTAGCTTACTTTTCTCCACTATTGTGTACTTCGTCAATAGGTCTGCCTGTTCGCGACAAACTCAAAAAATGCACGGAATTTAATGCGAATATCACCAATATCTATGACATGACGAAGGTTTAGGCATATCATTTTTGAAGTTCACGGTTGCCAGTGCGAAGCCGAGGCGGGTCCCTATTATAAAATATAGATTTAACAAGTCCAATATGAACATCAAATATAAATGTGTACATTAACTTTCCAGCCATAATCCTAACTTCGTACTTCTGGGGTTGGCTGGCCGACACCCGCGGGCGCCGCTTTGTCATGCTTTTCTCCATGCTTATCTCCACCGTGTTCGCGGTTCTCGCTAGCTTTTCACCAGAGATCATCTCCTTCGCCGTACTGTCCTTTACGTCAGCAGTCTTGTAAGTATTTTATGGATTAAATGGAGTAGAATCGCCACAAACACAGTTGTCTCGACACGGGCATCTAAACATTTCCACAATTGATATCGTACCTATTTGGATTTCAGCATGGCGGGTCCATCTTCAGTGGTGTACACTTATTTAGGAGAGTTTACAAACTTACGTCACAGAGATAAAATTGTCGCTTTTGGATCATCGTTTGTCGGAATCGGCACAATACTATTACCAGGTAAAACAACTGAGGCACTGTAGTGTGTATAGTACCTGAGTTTTATTTTAATATTTAACTCTACGACTTACACATTTTCTTTCATTTCACAGCTGTCAGCTGGCTGATTCTCCCTATAGACATCTCCCTACCTATCAATTTTCTAAAGATTACCTACCGGTCGTGGCGTCTCTTGGTCATCGCAGCCAACCTGCCCCTTGCTATTGGTTTTGTTCTACTACTCTTTGCGCCAGAGAGTCCCAAGTTTTTAAACGCATCTGGACAGCAAGAGGCTTGCTTGCGAGTTCTCAGACAGATGTATGCAGTCAATAAACGTTTACCGGAAGAGAATTATCCGGTAAGTTTTTATTGAAAATATTTCTTGTAACCTTTTGCTATTAGGCTTTACTAAAAGTAATACTAATTAATAACTAAAACCGGTAAAAATAATGTTTGTTCATCAATAAATAGAATATTCAGTTGCTTTACATAAAACTTAAAGAAAAGGAATCATAAATAAGCATACAATGATAAATTTCCAGATAAAATCCCTTGTCGAAGAATCACATACAATCAAAGCCCTCGAGAGTAGTGGACTTACAGCTGTGTTCAAATCGATGAAAGACCAGACTCTGCCTCTCTTCCAGGTTCCGTTGTTAAAGTGGACTTTACTTATTTGCTTCATTCAGTTCGGACTATTTGGCACGTACGTAGATTTTTAATTAGATGACTGGTACACCAACAATGGAAACACTACTTCTTAAGTTCTACTATGTAGGCAGTGGCGTAACAATAGGGTGGCAGGCCTGGCAAAATGCCTCGGGCCCCCGACTCAAGAGGGCCCCTGCCCAAGAGATATTATGTTCTATGGATGAATGTGAAGTCTCCAATACGCATTGGGCTAGCGTGGGGGCCTAAGAGAGGAGGCCTATGTCCATTAGTGGGACATATACAACGTGTAATTGAGTACGCAGAAAATAAAGAATTACGAAAGAAGATTCGCCACGGGCCTCAGATGGTTACGCCACTGTTTGTAGGTTAAAGAATTATTATTTTGTAGCCGAATTAAATGGCATATGTAAATAAATAAAAATACTTTCTTAGGACAAATGGTTACTACGTTTGGTTCCCGACAATTCTGAACTCAGTGGCCAACCACGACGGTGGGTCAGCTGGAATATGCGCAATTCTAGATGCTCACCAAAAATCGCCTGGAAATGGCACTGACGTAAGTTTTCAGTTGCTCTAAATTTTATGGCAGGCGATATTTTTCTCAATTTAATGATATTTAAAACATATCGGAAATATTCCGATCCTAAAAATTGCTACCATGACCGTTTGATTGTAATTGGACAAAGGGACGCAATATAGTGACGTCATGTCGCGTGTCTGCGCATGTTAGTCAGAAATGCTGTTGACTAATCAAAATCCCGTTGGATTGTCGTCACGTTTCGTGTTTAATTTCACATTAACAATGTCTCATTATCAGGTGGTTTGTGACGACACTATGAGCACGACAACCTTCGAGCTGTCCATTTACATTGGCCTGGTCTTCAGCTCAATGTACATCATCGTTGGTTTCTTGGTAGACTTTATGGGAAAGAAACTGATACTTCTGCTAGTTCTCTCCAGCACTGGGCTCAGCGGGATTGGCGCTCACCTCGCTCAAAACCAGAACATAGCTGTGGTTCTTTTCGCGGTATTCCAGATGTGTGGAGCCTGTATTGGTCTCACTAATGCGGTTACTGTAGAACTCTTTCCGACTAAGTACAGGTAGCTGAGAAAAAATATATTGATATAATCAAACTTATGCAATATTAGAGTACTTTAAGTTAGTTATATTTATCAGGGCGATGGCCATCTGCTTATCCATGATGATGGGTCGTGTGGGTTCCATGGCGGGCTCCAACCTGATCGGCATGTTCCTCTCCACCAACTGCGGACTCAGCTTTTACATTTTCGGGGGACTTATTTTAAGTAAGGATTTATTTTTTCTTTTTCCAATGGCTTAAAAAATTAACCTAAACCCTGAACAAGCCAGCTTTTCATTTGTCAGGGGCTATGTTTATAAGAAGATTGAATAACACTAAAACAACTTTATTCCCCATTTTTTTAGTGTTACAGCAAAATAGCTTTAATGAAAATGTCACTTTTGTTGCAGCGTGCGCTCTTCTTTGTTTCACACTACCCGGGAAAAGTGACAGTGCGCCGAAAAGTATAAAAACGGATCTCACACGGAATCAACCCCACGGTTCTGCTTGAAAACTATGAATATAAACCAAACGAATCATTCTGCGCCCGCGTCGATGCGAAAATTTTCGTTTGCATTTCGTCACGGATTTAATTTTCGTTTTGGTCATAATCACTAAATACTACAAAAAGTAATCTATCGATTCTTATACTGGTACTTAGTTATTTAATATGAAGATATTGCAGTTTCTTCGACTGACTGATATAACTGTGGCTGTGATTAAGTTTTAGACAATTTAAGATGGCGTCAGGGACTTAATTAAATACGTAAAGAAATAGCTTTTTCTTTAAATTTATACAGTAGCGGTGTTAATCAATGTTTTGATGAAAATCTATTTCAATAACATACTTCGACAATTGGCTCGATGCATGGTTGGACAAAGGTCGCTTCTCCAACCGCCAACTTCATAGGTAAAACCTCAAAAACGAGTTCTGCGCACCTAATGGCGCTAAATTATTTTCCCTAGACTATGAAATAATAGCGGAAAGCGCATACTTGCCGGGAGAAATTATGAGATTTTACGTTTCGGGGAATTGTCACCGCTGCCGTAACCATAAGCTTTTTGGTGTGTAATTTTACTTCGCCGGAGTAATTAGAAGGAGTAATAAATAGTGATTTAAAAATGTACTTAGAAAAGATTAATTAATAGATAGCAAAATTTTTCTGGTAATTTTATTAAAAATCACTTAATTGTATTTTATTTAACATTGTTTTAAAATGTTATAGTTAAACCATATAGGCTGTAAATAAATAAATAAATCTTATAAATTATGGTTATTATTGATATTTCCCACATACGCGATAGAAAGTTTTTGAATCTTTTTACTGACACTCCGTATTAGTCCAATTATTCATTTAAAAATCAGATACACTTTACAGATGCTAGCTAAACCGTTACCATAAAATAAATAAAACTGTTTTTTATCGTCGCGTCGTCATATCTAACAAAAACGTCACCAACAACCCCTCTTTGACATGCAAGGTACCAGAGCAACATAGATTAAATAGAGTAGAGAATTTATAAATTAATATTTTTTACCTTCACAAAAATGCCTAATAATAAATAGAGAGAGCAGCTATACCAAATCGAAAACCAAAATAAGAAAAATTCAAGTATAACAAACAAACCGGAGTTCTTGGGCGGTTGGTTACCTGCTTGGCCGCCCTACATCTATGAATTGCTAAGGTCTGATCCGGGAAAACCAGGAAGGAGGGCAAGAAAACGACAGAGTTGTGGGCGGTTGTACTAGGACAACAGCAAACTAAAGAAGATAGCTAAATGTATACCCATGTGTACGCCTGCGCGATTCTATTGATTTCTTACACCCCCTTCGTGAAGCTCTATGTTGGCTGTAGATGCGGCATATTAAATAGTTTAAAGTAAATAAAATGTATGATTAGAAAAACGTTATTAATTTATAAATAAATGAAATACTCTAATGAAATATTTCAATTATTAGCGTAGCTCTTACTATCTACAGCAACAATCACTGCGATGACTCAATATGATTATTTCAACGGCAAAGCCTATCGACCTAAGTCTCTGGGCTGACCAGTCTATGGTTAGACTGGTCCTGATCCTCCCTTTAGATCGGAGGAAGAGTAGCTTTGGTTTAGGTCAGTACACGTACCTATAACGTCACTAAAACACTGAAAACAATCGGGAATACAGGTAGACCTCTCTGAAACTAATAAAGTATTAAATCAATTAATTACCTGTATACTCAGGCAATACCTTATCCGAGTATACTCGAAAATTTCTAACTCTCTTTTAAATTTTCCTTTACCATTATATATCTTCGAAACTCATATCGCCCTAGTATTTAACATGTCAGGAAAACCCGTAGATGGGGGATTGATGGGAACATTTTTCTTACCCAATTTGGTCTAGTTTTTTTTAGATCTATTATAATAATTTATATATATGGCCTTAATTATTAAAAGGTTTAATTGCTTTGTCCTTTACGGAATTTTATTACTTTTTCAAATCATTAACGAAAAAAATCAAAACTTTCTAATAAGTCCGCGCCCTATAGAAAACGTCGCGCACCAGATCCGCCATTTTCATAGATTTCACTAGGAATACATGAAATGGTTGTAGATTTTGCTTACACCAGTAACGACCTATGTTATGTTATTTTATATTTTTATATTGCTCGCACGTACGTGATTCTTTAATTAGCTAGTTTTTTTTAATTTATACGAGTATAGGTTGAGTTTAGAACCCAGTGTGTCTCCGTAGCAAAACACCCACAATATGTAGAGGCGTATCGAATATCTTCTTTATTACGCTCAATTGATGACGGCGCCTATTGCGTGTTCGAAGTTCTAACTGAACAGTCTACAATCTACATAGATTTGCATTGCAGTGCAATATATAAAAATGATTTTACATCTCTCTCTAGAGGTTGTCCAGGACACAACACCACTTGCCACTGATTACAAAATGTCTTCAAGGACTGGAACGAAACAGAGTCTGAATCGTGGAGACGATGTGTTAGTGTTTTAGTAGAAATATAAAACTAACTTCTTTCTCAATGTAGACTTGATAAAGAAGTTAGAAGTTAGCGAACGATCAAGTAAAAAGCAATGTACTTATATTTTGGTAAATTATCGTCCTTAAAACTGCTCCAAATTTTTTTCTACATACTTTAATTACTCGGCAATGGTGTAGGTACCATGAAATAATGTGGCGCATGCTCTTTAACCCCATAGAAATTAATTAAAACATCAAGATTTGTGAAATGAATGAAAGAAGGTACAAAATTTTGGCTTTAACCTAACCTAATGTAAATCCCTGGGACCTGAGACAATATCATTTACATCATGTATGTAATATTATCAATATTAAAAAAAAATAAGGGGTCTAAAGCCATGCGCCACCACATTATTGCATGGTTCACCATTGCCGAGTGATGATAATATGTAGAAAAAAATTGAACACATTAACCTATATTTTTCCTTAGATATTAATAATGAGTATAGTTAGCAGAAACGGATAATAAATAATATTCTTTAAATGTATACGTCACATAAATAAATTTATCGACTTCTACTTGTTATAAGTGCACAAAGTCTGAATAAAACAAGTAGACTGATAGGAAAATCTACACCATGTATATACGTATGATTTGATTGTTTTTCTTTGCTTACGAGATATATTTATTATTTACACACACATACATATATATATGTATATTGATTGTTCATATGTTTTTACAAAGAGTTCAAGTTGAATTGAACAATAATTAAACTTAATATAAAAACATAAAAATAATAATAACAAATGATGCTCACGAATACTTATCAATCGATTCAATTATTGAACGGCACATGTTGACGAAAAAATAACATATACCTAAAATTAGCTATTTTCGATATAAAAGCGTGCTAAACATTTTTCAATAATAACAGTAACATTATCACTTTTTGATTATGTCGTTAGACAGAGGTAATTACCATTATTTGTTAATCAGGAATAGATAAAGTCAAGTCTAGAACACCATTACTATTTCTATTCTTTCGCAAAGAGAAAATCTACCTTCAATGTTATTTATTTAGTTATTACAGAAATACATACATTACCCTTACAGACTATGCCAATACGATAATGTCGAGAAAAAATAAACTATATAAAGTATATAATATTAAACACAAAATATACCCAATATCGCAGCTGTGAATTCACTGCGAATATATAAATATGTCGATAGTGTCGGACACAGCATTCAGTAGACGCAACGTCTTTGATAACGGGGATCTGTGCAACAGACTGGTTCTGGCCCTTGCTATCGCAATCAACCTCGGCCATCGCCGTCGCACATATCCCAGAGGTACAAAGAAACCGACTTCTTGGAGCAAACCAAGTGGGTTGCACACTACCCCCCGCAAGACATTCTAGTACATAGTAGGCCAATTATAAGTCCTGTCTGGTTCCCAACATATCATAATTATGTCAATATTTAATTGGAGCTTATGTTTTTGCTGTACTCACATACTCTATCTATATCTCCTTGCAAGCGTTCACACATACGTTCGTCCACATCTTGGATTGACAGGAGTAATTTCTGATCGTCTGCAAAAAGACGGCATCTTGCATGGTTTATTTATATTACCTCTGATAAATCGTTAACCATTATTGCAAAATGCAATGGCTCTAAATGGCCCTGACTCACATCAGAACTGTACCGACTGACCCTTTTTGTACTCTACATACTGCCGGCGATTCATATTATAATTAGCAAAAAAAATTAATAGTTATGGAGTGATTCCGGTACTGGCCAATTTATAACAGTTTGCCATTATCCACGACGTCAAACGCCTTCCTGCAATCAAAATATGTAGCCACCTTGCTTTCTTCCATACATACGATACCTCGCTGACACAATTTCCGCACTTTTAACAGAATCGTTACATCCTGTTTCTGTTATAGCCACTATATTTACGATCAGTGCTTCAATAACGATTATTTAACTTTATTTAACTTGGTTCGCAGGCCGCTGCTTAATAGTAATATGTTTTATTACCTTGACTCTCCTCTCTTTATTGGGTTGTGTGGGTAGCGGGCTTGCTACCTTTTTTAGAGTGGTATTAAAAATCTTCGGCATTTGCTAAGAGAGAGAAGAGATTGGAGAAGCACAACACGCACAGGTATATTGACGCTCATGGTGCGATACTGCTACGGTCTGTACCGAGATATTGTACTTTGAGTTCGCCTTGGTGACTTTGCTTGGGTATTCGATTGCTTTAGAACTTATAAAATCGCATTCTGGTCTCTCAAAAACGCAGACGAGGTCGTCTGTGTTTTTGGTCGGGCCCCTCTTTTTTTGTTTACGGTTATTAAGTCCGAAGATTTTGAATCGGAGATGTATCCTCCCTTTCTTCACCCCAACCAAGGCAACTTATGTCTAGATATTTTGAAAACTGAAAGAACAAAAAACGCGTGCGTAGGTACTGATCGGCGGATGACGTAATATTGTTATCTATTCCACATACTTAATTAAATATAGAGTACATAGTTTTGCGATTCAAATAAATAATTAGTCTTTATAAAGAGTCGCCTGTATCGGCCTCGTTTAGTCTCAGTATAAATTATTACAAGGAGACGTTCATAGTTCATCTGAGCAAATAAATTCGTAAAATGCCCACTGAAAAATATCGAGGCAGATTACAATTCGATGACGCTCTAGAGGCTAGTGGTGAGTCGTTTGCGATTAGAATTTAAAAGGCACCCCTTCTGTTATTTGCATTTTCAAACAAAAACTCCTTATAACGGAATCTGTTTTCTTCATCATTCATGTTACGACAAGTAGGTAACCGATGTTAAGCAAGTATAAATTGTGCACAAAGATAGGAGATGCATTGGTTGGTTGGGTACAGGCTGCGTTTTCACGGTAATGGGTTTTTCTATGTTAAATAAAACGTTTGTATATATATACTGCTCAAAACAATTAGCGGAACAAGATTTTTCTCCTTTCTATTGCTTAAACTAAAATTAGATTTAAATTAACTTGTACGCTATTTTTTACCTTATTAATTTGTTAATTACTACAATTAATAAAAAAATTCAATTTGTATTTTTTTTATTAAAAAAAATTAAAATGTGCATTGTAGACATAAGAAATGAATTTAAAAGTAATTTTGTTTAACATATTCACTTAGCTTCGATTTGAATGAATTGATAGAAGTAATATTTTTTTATATCTGTGGGTAGTTTATTATACAGCTGTGCGCCTTCGTAGGTAAACATTTTTTTGCCGTAGTTCGTACGTACTTTAGGTAATGCAAGATAACTCGTTCGACGCATACTTCGTACACGTGGCGGTTTAGAGAAAGCTAAACTAGTGTGGAATAACAAACAAATTAACAAGGTAAAAAATAGCGTACAAGTTAATTTAAATCTAATTTTAGTTTAAGCAATAGAAAGGAGAAAAATCTTGTTCCGCTAATTGTTTTGAGCAGTATAGTTACCGTATACTATACATACAAATGTTTAGTAAAGTAGGCAATAAAATTAACTTTAAAATATGTTCTATCGCAAAGCCATTATCTATTGGCGTGCGGTTTCTGTCTAGTATTTTTTTCAAGAGGTAAGTATTATAAATTCAACCTGAAAGACCGAGATTAGATCAACGTTCGATTGAATCGTATGGCCCTTTGTCGTTTACCAGAAATTCAAACAAATCAGACGATATGTTAAATACACGATAATAGCCGCTTTACATATGTTTTTAATTTAAAACAGGAAATAATTTTCTTTCAGGTTTCGGCAAGTACAATTACAGCTTGTTGGGGACATGTTGCGTCCTGATCCTCACGATGTTCGTGGATATTTTTGGCTTTTCTGTGCTGCTGCCCAGTATTTCCTGCGATTTAGCCCTCACTAATAACCAACAAGGGTTACTCTCAGCTCTACCACTTATCGGTAAAGTAAAAATTAAAGAGTTTTAGACCCAAATTTAGTCAATCTTTCCACGAAGATTGGTAACGATAACAGCTGTTGTAATTTCAAGGAAATTTAGTTTCGTACTCAAAAAGTATTTACTTTTATATTTGTTTTACTTACTAATCAAATAATCATTTAGACGAGAGAATACAAGCTACCGGGTGCCAAATCTTTTTATTAAATTGCTTTTAATGGTAGATTTATTGTCATTTTAAAAAACCTCACGCAGGTAATGGTTGTATTATAATAACCAATTATGTAATATGTTATAATGATTTAGTTATTTTATGAATGAGTACTTTTTTCTATTTTATTATTATTTATACACTGACTACTATTTATACAGTCAGTTCACAAACATACACAAATAACTCAATCAACAGAAATAATCTGTCAACTAACAACAACAATATACAGGGTAGCCAAAAAGTCGTGGATCAAACGCAAATAGGGGATAGATGAGGTCATCAGCTGCAAAAAATTGTTCTACGGGAGGTCTCTAAGCTCAACCCCTGCAGAGTTATAATTTATTTTGCGTTATTATAAGAAAGTTGACTTTTTTACTAATTCTTATTAAAATTCGAAAAAATCTACATTCTGTATCTTTTTCATAATTTCGACTAGATTGGTACTGATGAGTTCTTGCGTTTGACATAGTTTACTATTTATAGTTGTTTATTGAGTATATTGAAGATAATATTAAGTTATACGATATAAATATTTCTCAAATCATAACTTTTTGTTTACGTCGGACCCCACTGTGAAAAAAAAAATACTCTACCGAAAAGTGACCCTGTATTACAAGTTTTGGCGCATTTAATAGGGACTTTGAAAAGGTATTACACATGGCCATGAGTCGCTCTATAGTAAGGATACACTTATCCTTGTGAAAAAAAATATTTAAAAATATCACGTTTACACAAACCAATACACTAGTTTTTTTTTTGTTATTATATATCCGCTTACCCGATTATAGAAGTCATTTGAAATGAAGAAGGAAACCACAGCCCCAGGAACAGCTATACCATCAGTTGCAACAATTCAAAACAACTTATCGGTGAAAATATTTCTATGCACTTAACAAGCATTTCATTTCAGCCGAATTCGCCGACAGTAATAAAAAGAAACTTTTCGTTTTCTTTTCAGATTTTTGGCTATAAATATACTCGTACTTGTAATATAGGTCTCAGTAATTCAACAGTGAGCACTGTTGAGTTGGCCTAGTGGCTGTAGCACTCGCCTCTCAACACTGAGGCCGTGCCTTCGAATAACGGCTGGACCAATGGATTTTTCTTTCTCGGTGAATGAAAAACATCGTGAGGAAACCGGCATTTTTTAAATTTATTAACACTTCGTTGCATAAAAAAATATAATACAATTGACATAATTAAATGAAGAGGAGGGCAACTGGCCGTAAGGGCTGAAGTGATCAGTAAATATTAGTACGGGAGGTAGCAACGTTTTCGAGAAAGAATTTCAGGTCAGCTGATTTTGTGATATGTCTTCCTTCTTGCACTTTCGGTTAGAGTCTGGGCAATCTGGCTGACGGTAGCGGTTGCGTTCATTAGTGCGCATCCTATCTGTCCAGGTAATAATCCTGGATTTTAAAAGCATTTTAAGAAGCGTAATTTTAAATTTTTAGTTTTTAAATAAGTCTACCTGACATACTTTTTTATTGCCAGACATTTTTCACATTGCTAACTATGTGCCAGACGCGATTTTAAGTTTTATTTTTATAAAAATTTCAAAGTATTTTATAATGTCTGTAATTTTAATATTATGTTATTTAAATATAAGAAAAACTAAAAATGAATTTGCCAGACATTAATTCGATTGTTAAGCCTTGAATTAAAATTAAAAAGGTCATGAAATGTATTGCAGTCTATGATGAAGCATTGCATTTTAAGAAGCGTAATTTTTAATTTTTCGTTTTTAAATAAGTCTACCTGACATACTTTTTTTATTGCCAGACATTTTTCACATTGCTAACTATGTGCCAGACGCGATTTTAAGTTTTTTTTTATAAAAATTTCAAAGTATTTTAGAATGTCTGTAATTTTAATATTATGTTATTTAAATATAAGAAAAACTAAAAATGAATTTGCCAGACATGAATTCGATTGTTAAGCCTTGAATTAAAATGTAAAAGTAAAATGTACTATATATTTGGGCTTCGAAAATTTGACCATATTTCGGAGTTCCGAAGAAAGCTTAATTGGCAACCCATTCGATTGTCGCGTAAGATGCACATTTTACAACTTCTCTATAATGTTCTTTTTAATCCTAAAACTCCCAGTTACTTAAAGCAAAATTTTATGTTCTCTCTGGCGGTAGTTTTGACTTGCGTTCCTTAGACAATCTATTTCTTGAAACTCCTATTCATAAAACTGAATTCTATCACTCCTCCTTTACTGTGCAAAGTATCCTGCTATGGAATTCCTTACCTATTGATATCAGACGAGTTGTCTTTAAATTTATTTAAAAAGCTTCTTTTTGATCATTTTTTTTCTGCCTCGTAATTAGTTACTACTTATATATATTACTTGTGACTCAGTTAACCTTTTGATTACCTTTTAAATTTTGATTTATACATATTTTTATTTATTTTTATTTTACTTTAGATTTAACTTTATTCTATTTAAGTTATAGTTACATGTTATTTAGAGATTTTTTTTGTTAATTCTGTATGCACTTCTTGTACTTTATCCTCTGTAGGTGTTTCTTTTTTATTGTTCTATATTAGGGTTGCCTGGAAGAATTCGCTTGTTAGCGATAAGGCCGCCCTTTGCCTTATAACTTATGTAACCTGCTTTTTCATTTATTTTTATATACATATGTATAAGTTAACAAAGTGTAAATAAATAAATAAATATGATGAGCAGAGTAGACTAATAACATACTGCATTTTTAAAGCAACTACAATGAACTTCTACTACTTTTGGCTTTTTTATTTCTGAATAAAATTCGTAGCCGTGATAGTTAGGAATATTGTATACCATTATACACGCGTACTTTACTCTGTACACATAAAGTGGAGCAATCTATTGTACTGTGTGGAAATGATATCCTCTTGTGTGTGGGTTGGAATGTTTATCCTGTCCTTTGGAAAACATTGTAACATCTCTGTTCAGACTAAGAATGAACCATTTAACGCTGAATTCAACAGACCACAAATAATCGTTAAACGTTTGTTTTACAGGAACAATGATATCGTCGTACGTTTGGGGCTTATGCGCTGACACCCTGGGTCGCAGAAAGACAATTTTATTGACAATGCCTATTGGGTCCTGCATTAGTCTGCTCACCAGCCTGGCGCCGAACTTTATCGCACTTTGCATTTTAAGATTCTTTTCGGCTAGTTTGTGAGTCAGTTACTATTAATCAAACTTTTATTACATTTCATAAGAAACAGACTATGGATAGTTAAAAATATCATAGTAACCTAAACAATGGTAAGTAGAAAAAAATAGTGCACAAGAACAGAGTGTCTTCCGTTAATACAGACTGTACACTTTCTTTTGTTAAAAGTCCTTTTTATTTCATTAGGTTAGTTTTTAATTACTAATTAGTCTTAAGTTAGGCTAGATCGTAATACTCGTATGTAACGTTGCAAGACAATTTATTTAAAAAAATATAATATAAATGTTCCGTGCTTTTAACGAACCATCACTTGTCTTTTACTTCATATTTTAGACTAAAGTCTAAAGTCACTTTAGAAAAGTATCGAAAATAAATATGTCTTTAAAATTTACAAGGATCCCTCTATTTCTCAGTCATTTCTTTTTGACCCATTAATAATAAGAGGTAAGGGAAGAGTTAATATTTATAAAATAAATATTTCTAATTGGGCCCAGGCGCCTTTTGTCTTCACATACATGAAGGTGATATAGAATATTACAAGAATTAAGAAGTAAAGTCGGTTATTATTTTTAAATTGGTAAATGATAGTTGACGTCTTTTAATTACATTTTGCGTTGCTGTTTAAATAAAATATGTATTTGAAAATACTAAATAATCTTTAAAACTACAAACTAAGAAACCTGCCTTTTCCAGTCTCTCATCAGCGAATACAGCCGCGTTCGTTCTCATGGGGGAAAGCGTCCCGAGTCATCACAGAAGTCAGTTCATGTTCTTAATGGCATGTTCAACGATGATTGGGCAACTGAGCACATGTTGTAAGTATTTCAATTTATGTATACAAATTCAATAAGTTTTAAAACAGCTCAGTGTTGGCACATTAAATTAAAATTTATCAAACAACATATAATATAACATTCCAATTCTCCTAGTGCCGGCTCTCGGGATCTTCAGACTATCGTTTCACATTAAGGTCCCATGGCTTCACATGGTCTATCGTCCATGGAGACTGCTGCTACAAATTCTTTGCCTGCCTGGTTTCGTAATGATAATTGCCATGATCTTCTTCGAAGAGAGTCCTAAATTCCTTCTTAGTAAAGGAAGAGATGAAGAGGCGTTGGAGGTTCTAAAGAAAATATTTAAACGGAACACAGGAAGTGATACGGCGTTATATAAGGTTACAATTACATACATATATTACATAACACTTATACACACACATACGAATACATTTATTGAAATTTAAAATATGGTAGGTAAAGACCTAACCCCGTCTTCTCTGTTCATTATTTTTCTCCTATTTATTAATAAAAGCACGCGACTGCAAATTTATGTTTTAAAACATTTTGGAAATAAATATGACGCATTTGAATGGTGAAATAATTTTTGAATTCGGTTTAGTTTATTCATTACAAAGATACAAAACAAACACTATTTATAGTATTATTATAGACTTACTAGTCTAGTATACATACTATGAACACTTATTAATTTCTGATTAAATATACTACAGATACAGTTCACGTTCTTTCAGGTAACCTCGGTATACCTGGAGCAGTCGGAAATGACAAATAGCACGGAAAAGTCTATAATGAAGAAAGTCTGGAACCAAACGGCGCCTCTCTTCAAACCTCCTCTACTTAAAAACTCTTTAAAGCTCTACTTCATATTATTGTGCGCTTACATGACGTAAGTTTTTTAACGTTACGATAAATAACTATGTAAAATAATCTATATATATAAAAGAAAAATGGTCTTCGTTTGAGGCTCCTTCACGCCTAAACCACTGATCGTATCGACATGAAACTACCACCATTCGATGCGAAATTTTTCCTAGATGGTTTATGGCTATTTATTTATTCTATATAAATATATATAAATTCCAACGTTCCTTCATTTTTTTATTGCTGTTTTACTTTTATGAAAATTTATCCATACGGACTTCACCGCGGAAACATTCGGGGAGGCTTCCTAGAACCTCTAAACGTCAACATCTGTTAAAAACTCGATTTTCGAAATATTTCAATTTTCTTAGCGGGAAGTTAAAAAGAAGAATAATAAAAATATGAAAAAAAATAAAATAATGAAACATAAAATTTATTTTAATTCGTCCAGCAAAGCGGGCGCGAAACGGCTAGTTATATACATTTGGAGGATTTAACCTTAAAAACCCTTTATAAGAATTTAAAAACAAAATATATCATGACAAAGGTTATACTTATATATACTAAGACTAATACTATAACCTTTTTCTTTGCCTGACGCACGCCGTTGACTTTTTGGGTCTAAGGCAAGCCGGTTTCCTCACGATGTTTTCCTTCACTGTTCGAGGGAATGTTAAATGCGCACATAGAAAGAGAGTCCATTGGTGCACAGCCGGGGATCGAACCTACGGGATGAGAGTCGCACGCTGAAGCCACTAGGCCAACACTGCTATAAATAAATTAAATTTAAAAAAACTATTTTTTTAGGTCCACAGGCTTTACAATGTGGATTCCAACTGTCACCAACGCCTACTTCGGCAACGACAGCCCGACGACCGGCAAGACTTTCTGTGAAATCGCCAGTTCTGCGGCCCGACGCACTCTGTATAAGAACGGTGTAAGACTTTATAACTTTTTCTTCGTCTTTCAAGCATTAAAATTTAACAGCATTGGGTTTATGTACAATGTTATTGATTATTACATCTAACTTAAAAATAATAAGTTATACTTTAAGCGTTATGGTACATAATTATAGTGTAAAAATATGTTTAATTTACAGAGCTCGCTTATAATAGAAGATTGTGATAACATCATCAAGCCAAACACCTTGTATGCTGTAATGGTATATTCAGGTCTTTGCGGAGCTCTAAACCTTCTTCTTACCTTCTTAGTTGGGCCTATAGGAAAAAAGACCACGACGTTAATAATATTTATAATCACAATTTCTTGTGGGGTGTTCCTTCTCTTCGTCAGGATTCCAATGTTGAGCATTCTTCTGTTTTTCATCTTCCCCTATGTGGCCTTAATCTTGGGAAATATCAACACGTACTTGGTGGAACTAACTCCTACGTATTTAAGGTATGTATTTCAAATCCTTTATAAAATAATATTACTGAATCAAATGATTTATTACCTCTGAAAATATTCGAATGTTCTAATAAATTGATAGTAAACAATAGGATGTGGTTACAAAAATCGTCATTTGATAGCGCGCTTAACTTGGTTTCGACAAGACCTTACTTCAAAGGAGCATTTCTATAGTAAGCTCTTCACGCAACTTCTCACAATTTGTAGGAAATTGCCAGCCATGATGAAGAAACATGGCGAGGTACCCTGCACCTGCCACTTTTCCGCTTAATGGGAGAGCGTGGTGTATCGACGCCTTCTGAATGGCGTTTGTAACAATTATCATATAAACCACCTTATTTATTGTCTATATGTATAATTGATAATTTATGCAATGCTTTTGTCAAAGAACTAATCCTACTATTAAACTACAAATATTATGTATAATGATTTCGGCAGTCCACTAAGATTGACGTAAATATCGCCTGTAGCTTTTCATTTTATACATGTCTGCTAATTAATAAGCTTACTTCAAGAACGCAATAGGATACAATATATTTTACAATTTATTTGATATTTTCTTGTTTTTAATTTAATTTAGGCATTGTTATATATTTTTAGGGGCATGGCTACTTGTTTGTCAATTCTTGTTGCGCGAGGTTTCGGATTTATCAGCGTGCAAGTCATCGCCAGTCTCTTAGCAGATTACTGTGTACCCCTGATAATATCATACGTTCTACTCGGACTAAGTGAGTAAAATGCCTAAAAACATGTTACATACAAAATTGTTTCATTATCCGGCAATATTGTGAGTTAATTCTGAAAGAAAAAGTTGTACCTAGTTATTGTGTAAGTACTTAATATTGATGACAATATGTCATTCTTTTTTAATTATTTTTTGTGTTGAATTTTCTTTGTATATGGTTGAAATTAAATAGAGAATACCTATATTTCAGGTGGATTAATAGCGGCCTTTTTCCTGCCAGCGGACGTCAGAAAACCTGTAACTCAAGAGGAAGCTTGCAAAAAGTACACTGTCAGCTCGGAGTCTATTGAACGAAATAAATATTAAAGTATACAATGTGACTCCGGCATTTTATTCAGAAATAATATATAAAAATGTAGACTGAAAAGTAATTACCATTACCTTGATTTCGATAAACACCACTGCACTTATGACGGGAAGTGACCACTTAAAATTTGCAATCAAAGATTAATATCAAATATTTGTGAATTTGTAATTTACACTATTGAATTTAAAGAATTGCCATTTTCAACTGAAATGTATAACCAATTTATATGCATTTATAGCTTCCTTCCATCTCGACACAATATTTCTAAATTGTGATATGAAATACAACTTTTGCTCTCACTTACCGAATTAAGACGTTTTTTTATTGAAAGAATTTCGATACAAATTCATAAATCACTCATTTAAATATAGTTAATTTTCTAATTATATGTTACCGTAAATTAATACATTGTAGTGAATAATCAATAATAATTTATTAAGAGTGGAACGAAAGATATTACAACGAGGTGTCTGTGAACGTAGCAGAGCACTTACCAGAATAGCACAAAAATGGAGTTGTGTTAGAAAACGTAATACTTCTTCCGGGTTATTTTTAGAAAGAGTCTCACTGCAGAGCATGTCTTCTAGATTTCGAAAAGCAAGGTCTCAATAATACACAATATACCTACAATTTAAATCACTTTTTTAGTAGCGGGTATTTTCTACGAGAACGATGTTTGTACTTAGTTTATAACAACTACCTGAGCCCGGCGTAATTTCGGATGTTAGCGAAATAGTCGATAGCGGTGTAAACTTCCCTGATGGACCATCCAAAAACCAAAAGGTTTTAGGTAAATTCAACAGAATAAACTTTTCAGCTAGATAGCTAATATTAGTGTAGGTTTAGTGCGACTCTGTAGAAACGTTATTCTATGATCATAACAATCTTTAGTACTATATATTAGTATTACCTTTGTCATGAATTCTATATGTATCTTTATTATTAATATTTACATCACAACTATTCAGTGCGGGTTAAGAATAGTGAACAAGTTGTCTGAAGCGAGTAGCCATGGACGATATTACAGACGAAAAGCTAGATTTTGAGGAAGCCATTAATAAAACTGGTAAGAATAAAAATAAATCTCAACAAATAAGAACTCGTTAATAAATTTATGACCATATCGAATCTCAAATTAGTGCTGAATCTTTACCTACGCATAAATCGCGTCTTCGTCATAGAGATGATGATAGAGATGCCTATTTCTTAAAATATATGCGTGAGTAGGTACCTATCAATTTGGACAATTCAATTTTTATTTCAGGTTTCGGAAAATATAATATTTGTCTACTAATTGCTTGTTGCCTGTTGATTTTGGCGATGTACATAGACATATTTGGTTTCTCCATTGTGTTACCAGACGTGGCTTGTGATATGGGATTATCGACGACGCAACAGGGACTTCTCTCCGCGATACCATTGATTGGTAAGATATATATGTAACCCGTACCATCAGCGACTTAAAAAAATTAATATGTTATCACTGTACAATCGGCGAACTTTAGCCGGTGTTACCTTCTTGCATAAATTGCTCAATAACCATATACAGAGCAGTGACCTCTTACAGGATATTAAAATTGTCGTCCCTTACTCATTACCTAGGTTTAAAATCAAAAATATTTTCCAAATTCCTTCTGCCAAAACCAACCTAGGAGTTCAGGCACCTGTCGTTCAAATTCTTCGCGATTTTAATGGATTGAACACAGCTTATCCGGAGCTGGATATATTCGGTAGTGGGCTGATCGGTTTTGGAGAAAGCCTTTCTCGAACCTAATTTGCTGTTTTGCTGATGATGTTTCTTTTTTTTTCTGCTTTAAGTGCCAACAAATTTCTATAATTTTATTGTATTTTTTTAATTATTAATTTGTATTTTTTTTTTTGTGAAACTTATGTTTACTTTAATTGTCACACATTTTAGATGTAAGATTTTGTAAAATAATTAGTAGATTTAGTACTGTGTGTGACGTCGTAAGCTTAATAACTAAATAAATAAGTAACATAAGTATCTACAAAATATAGTGTAATGGTAACAATATTAATAAAATTAAACTTATAAACATAAACTAATAATAATAAAATAATATACATTGAAATAAATAACGAAACTTAACATAAACTAAAATATATCATTAAAAGGAGTCCCTTTAGGCAAGGTTCCGAAGATACTGGCAGCGTTCCCCCTTTGAATTGCTAGACTAATTCTTTGTCCGAGGTAGCTGCCAGATCTTCGGTCTCCTGTGATGTCGACTAACCTTTTTGAAATTTCTTTAAAAAGCCTTAAAGCGCTAGGACCCCACGGACCAAGGGTCTCGACACCGAATGGGACAAAATCATATTCAGAGCCCAGACCCCTGTATTTGCCTGCTTTATTTTTTTCAGCCGCTTCACAAGCCGCACCAGCTCTGTAGTTGGTTCCATGTAGATGGGAAGGGGCCAGCGTGTCTGAACAGGTTGCATCCCATACCAGTACCCGACCCATCTTCCATGGAATCAAACTCATACCGTCCGGTCTCTTGCCATCGTCTCTTGCAATACCACTTGGCTCAAGAAGACTTGGCACGTTGACGGTGGCAAGGGAACGGCGTATGATATCGTTAAGTGCGGCATGTCTCGAGAAGCGGCCTGCACTAGTATCTACATATATCTATAGCGCATGATATTGCGCCTAGGTTTTCATCGTACTTTTTGATATAGATATTAAGTTATAGTATTGGTCAGTACAATACATTATCCTCATTTAGGAGTCATGATTTCTTCATATGTCTGGGGTCTAAGTGCCGACACGATCGGACGTCAGAAGACATTGTTATTGGCCATGCCAGTGAGCATTATTTGGAGTTTAGCAGCTAGTATGACGCCGACGTACACTTCATTGGCAGTGCTCAAACTTATGTCAGCTTGTTTGTAAGTATTTGCAAGTATTTGCGCTCTCACGTCCAATCAGTACTCAACTAACACTGTGTGTTTTACGTTTTAAAGTTCATCATCAGCGAATGCTGCAGCATTTGTACTTCTAGGAGAAAGTGTTCCGTCTGATTACAGGAGCAAATTTATGTTCCTTATGGCCAGTGCTACTATGTTTGTGCAGCTTATTATAAGTAGTGAGTTAATTATATTAATAATATATTATATTACGTATATTATATTTACACATCTTCTGCAAACCACATCCTGCATCTGCACAGACTGCATCTTAGTGAATTATATGTTTTCTTAATAGATCATATTAGATACATTATGATATAATACGCGATATTTTGCATCACATTTCATACCTACATCTTACTTACTTGTAAATATTATGTAAGATACACTGTTGTAATATTATCAATGGTATTGTTTAAACGATAGTAGTTTATCGTATGGACGTGAACATGCGCGGCTTTGACTGCATTAAGAGCATAATTTTCTTATAGTCCAAGATCCCAGGGCCGCCAGACGTCACGTATTTTCTGACGGATGAAATGTGGACGATTGAGTAGTGTTAGTATGTACTATGATCGTATGCCTACCTGCTAGCTTGGTCAAACGGCCAATTTCCAGGTATCAGGTAATCAAGGTACACAAAAACATTACTTACTTCACGTAAATTCTCATGGCTGATTTTTATATATGTTTTCGAGTGTATAGTTAAAAATAAATTGTCAATACTCCCAGACACTTTCCGTCGGCCATATTGCTTGACAGACGCTTTAAGGGTCTCAAAATAATTAGTCAACTTCACGTAAATTCTGACGCTCCATTTTTATATATGTTCATCCGACAACTATTTTAAAAGCTTTGACAAGAAGACAGACCGATCCAAGGGGCCAATCATCCCCTAAACTAAATTTTAATATCTCTGTGAGTGGGAGCGCGAGAGCATTATCTACGCGCATGAGACTGAGTGAGACCGACTGCTCTGTTAAGGCCATGAAAATTACTTGAACAGATATTTTATAATTTTTAGAACTTTTGTTGACAAGTAAATTATAGCAACAAAAATAAGAAAAAAATTGACACATAATAAATAATACTAAAGTTAGCCGACATTTTTAATTTTTTTTTTCAATTTATTAATTAGAACTAAAAAATATTTTTTAAAAATACCACTTATATTTAAATAGCAGCAATTTTTTAAATTAATTATTTATTGGAAATTTGGAAACAAAGTGGAAAAATATTAATTCTTCAATATTTCTTAACAGTGGCTTTTAATCTTCATTATCATCATCGTTGAAATTAGATAATTCATCATCCAGCCAATCTTGAAATTGAATATCTAATTGATCTCCATCGAACCAATGAAAATCATATTTACCATCTTGTAGTGTCCAGCCATTGTTTTCGGGGTTGAAAATATTTATCATCTTCATACTTGCTTAGCCCGTCGAAACTGTTGCCAAAGCTCACTTTTACAAGGTGGTAAGTTACTGGCATCGAAGTTTCTTAAATTCTTTCAATTGAATTCTTCATTTATATCAGATACCATGTATGTATTAATAAACAACTGTAGTCTGGCAGCATCTACATCAATTATTCCAGGAACGTTGTAAACATCACAGATAAATTTTTGTATTATGTTGAATACACGTTCTTCTTCATCTACATCACCAACAAAATCCAACGTACCAAAACGGTGAAATGCTTGTTGGTACTCTTCATTTTTCTTCAAAATATTGAACGGCTTTTGCTTGCCCTTTTTGAATAATGCTGGATTAAAATCACATCCTGTGATAGCATGGAATGCTGGTAAACTTTGACACAACGACGGTCCTAATTGTTCGTAGATAGCATTAAAGTCAACATATCTCTGCTTGTTACCAGTGCCGGTCAAAATCCAAACTCGAGAATCATTATTTTTCAAAAGATGCATATTTCCCAGCATTATCGCTGCTATATCAGTATCTGAACATCGTATCACAAACTTAGCCTGAGCATCGATGTTGCAAACATGGTATACGATCTTTGTATCGGCTTCCTCATGCTCGGAACACGATAAATCTTCATGGATTTCAGACATAACTTTATTGTTAATTACGGTGAAATTTTTTATTATTACCAATGAATGGAATCATCTTATCAGTAGCCCAGTGTGTTGTAAAAAATTCAACAAGAGACTGTTTGAAATGGATGTTTTTCAACTCTTTCGTGAAATCTGATGGACAGTCGGTCTCACTCAGTCTCATGCGCGTAGATAATGCTCTCGCGCTCCCACTCACAGAGATATTAAAATTTAGTTTAGGGGATGATTGGCCCCTTGGATCGGTCTGTCTTCTTGTCAAAGCTTTTAAAATAGTTGTCAGATGAACATATATAAAAATGGAGCTTCAGAATTTACGTGAAGTTGACTAATTATTTTGAGACCCTTAAAGCGTCTGTCAAGCAATATGGCCGACGGAAAGTGTCTGGGAGTATTGACAATTTATTTTTAACTATACACTCGAAAACATATATAAAAATCAGCCATGAGAATTTACGTGAAGTAAGTAATGTTTTTGTTTACCTTGATTACCTGATACCTGGAAATTGGCCGTTTGACCAAGCTAGCAGGTAGGCATTCGATCATAGTACATACTAACACTACCCAATCGTCCACATTTCATCCGTCAGAAAATACGTGACGTCTGGCGGCCCTGGGATCTTGCTCTATTACTAAATCGGAGCATATAACAGTTTTTATTAACAGTCAAAATATTTAACTATACCTGTTTTAGTTGTCGCACTTCCCATTCTTCAGCTTACCTTCAGCATTAATATGCCCTTGATCAACCTGAACTACAGACCCTGGCGACTCCTCCTCCAGCTAATAACATTCCCAGGGATATTTGGGACTATTGGTATTATGTTGGTGCGAGAGAGTCCTAAATTCCTACTTAGTAAGGATCACGAAAAGGACGCGATCGACGTGTTGAAAACTATACATAAATGGAATAAGGGATCGAGTGAATTCAAAGTGAGTTTCAACACCCGTAAGTAATTTATATCATTCCAGCAAGTGCCTTATTGTTATTTTTCTTGAAGATATCATCAGTACACCTTAAGGAAACCATCACTACATATTCTGGAAATTCAGTTTGGAAAAAAATCTGGAATCAAACGGCACCTCTCTTCAAACCACCGCTTTTAAAAAACTCTCTGATACTTTACTATATTTTACTATGTGCATACATGACGTAAGTTATATTTGCTATAAGATTATTTTGTTTATTAAATTAAAAGGCAAGTGATAAAAATAATAACGTTACATAACTATTAATTGTTGTATCAGATCAACTGGCTACACAATGTGGGTGCCAACAATGACAAACGCATATTTTAATGGAGAAGATAACAATGGAAAAACTTTTTGTGAAGTGGCCAGTAAAGCTGCATCTCAAAATTTGGTATGTTCATACTTCAACATCACCTGACTCCTATGTTTCCTACCTATTTCTTATATAACTTAAATTTACCACATTATTTGAAATCAGTTTAAGCCGAGTAGTTTTGTTTAACAAAGAATTAGTTAATAATAATGAAATTAAGGTATAGGATCTTTAATATATACAATCACTTATGATAAACTTTAAGAACAAAGTTTCCATAAAAAAGCCAGCTCTGAACTAAGACTTCCGAACTTAGACAGTTGAGTTAATAGCTATTTGTTTATTTAAATTTGAAGAAAAGAAGGTCTTTATGGAAGATCCATCAAAACTTAAATGAAATCAAAATAAAGTATTCAATACTTATTGCTATATTAGTCTATACAAATTATCTCGAAGTGTCCAAGGGCAATAGTCAAATCGGGCTTAATTGCTACGTAGTTTGGCCTGTACGCAACAAGTGTTGGATGTAGACGCGGCTGACGTTCGCTACGACTCCGTAGCGGCTACATTAGGTCAGGAATCTGTATTACCTTCCCACCACTACGGCGTAGCTTTATTGTATCGAAGCACAGTTCTTCTTTGAATTAAAATGACTTTTATACTTGTTTCAGACCACTGATTGTAGTACCACGATTCAACCTATGACATTATATGCGGTCATGTGCTATTCTGGCATGTCGGGGACGCTAAATATACTCCTCACATTCATAGTCGGGCCACTGGGTAAAAAAAGGACAACGTTATTAGTCTTTATTATCGCAATCATAGCCGGTGTACTGCTTCTTTTCGTGAAGCAATCGATAGCCAGCATTGGACTGTTCTTCATATTTCTTTATGTGGCTTTAATATTGGGAAATGTAAATACGTATTTAGTGGAATTAAATCCGACACAATTAAGGTAAATTTTACATCTACTAATTCTGAATATTCTAAGAAGTACAGAATTCTGAGGTCATGGGTTCTAATGCCACTTCTTATAATTTAAAGATGTAGTAATGTGCTAATGCAGGGTCCTAGGGAATTCGCAACATGGTTTTTAACTCTCATTGAAATATTAAAGGATCATAATTTTTTATAGAGGAATGGCGACATGCTTGTCTGTGGTTGTGGCCAGAGGCTTTGGGTTCTTCAGCGTTCAGCTAATCGCGACGTTGTTGTCTGACCACTGCAGACCAATGATTGGAGGATACATCGCTCTCATTACAAGTGTGTATAGGATAATAAGATACCTCACGTAGTTTAATCCTGGTTAAATAGTAAGCTTTCGCCAGTCTGCCTTGAAGTCAAAAATATTTAGAACTCGCGGACATAATTAAAATAAAAAAATGAGATGTCTATCTAATCAAATAATTATGCGAAATTTTAATTATGTTGTTCTAATTAATTTATCATAGAAGTGATAATAAGTAGTTTCCACCGCGGGAGCCAAAGTAATTCAAGCTCGAGTGATGCACTTTGAACCCTTGGTTCAACTTTGGAATCAAAAATATTTTACTTTAAAAATAGAAGTGCTCCCTTGCTCCACTAATTCGCGTAAAATGAACAATTTCTAAACCTGGAGTGGTCAACGAAAGTGTTTTTATATATTGCAGGTGGATTACTGATTGCGATATGGTTACCGGCAGATAACTCTCCAAGTGGAAAAAGTTGAAACATACAATTTCGATAAAATTTTATTTAAACTAAACAATTAAACTTTACGAAATAACATGAAAGTTTTAGTCATTAACTTTATATTATCAGGGATGAAAGTTCTACTACCACAAAGAGAAAACTGTTACATTATAGCGAAATCGTCATTCTCTGAATGGCGCTTATAGTGTTTCCGGCTGCTAATATATTTGGATGGGGGAAAAGTCTTTTCGTATTATACTATGTATGAACTTGTAATAAAATCTCTTTGGCTATACTATATGTATTTGCCTGTTTTTGTTATCATTGAAAGTTGAGATTTTAAAGAAGATAATTCCAAATTCATATTAGGATAATGTGTGATTTTTATTTATTTTTCGTACCTTCAAGATAAGTGAATCTAATAAAGAAATTCGATACATTTTAAAATTTTACTACAAAACAGGTAAAAATGCCACGCAAGCCGCAAAAAAAATTTGCGATGTTTATGGACCTAGTGCAGTGTCTGTGAGAGTAGCACAAATTTGGTTTATGGGTATCAATTTTTTTTTTTTCAATTTTTTTTTTTTTTTTACCATCGATTCTGAACTCTACTGCGAAACACTGATGAGATTAAAGCAAGGAGTTGAGAGAAAGCGGCCGGAATTAATCAACAGAAGGGGTGTGGTTTTTCATCAAGATAACGCTAGAACTCACACATCTTTAGCCACTCAGCAAAAATTAAGAGAACTTGGCTGGGAGGTGTTAATGCATCCGACGTATAGACCTGACCTTGCACCTTCAGATTTCCACCTGTTTCGGTCTATTCAGAATTCTTTAGGCAGTGTCAGGTTAACATCACGAGAGGACTGCCAAAACCAATTGTCGCGGTATTTTGATCAGAAGCCCCAAAATTTCTATAGCAATGGGATCATATCCCTACCTACAAGATGGCAAAAACTTATCGAATAAAATGGTACCTACATACTTTAGTTAAATGTAAATAAACTATATTAAAAAATGTTGTGAATTTTCTTGAAAAATGCGAAGAAATTTTTTTCCCCAACCTATTATAATATCGATCTCGGCCCCCGGGATATCAGGACCATGCAGACTGTGGTTCGATGGTCGAGGATCGTCTCTCTAGGTCGGAGGAATAGTACACCTGTGCTTCCTCCAAATGATATTAATCAATGATGTGAGCGAATTTGCAGGGAGTTTAGATAAAAAAAACATATAAATGACTAAATTTTTATTGCGCAAAAAAAGTCACACCTAGAAACTCTTACAACGAAAAGTAAAACGGAAGAAACTTCGTTTCATAAATTTACCAAAGGTAATTAAAATAACAAGCATTTTTTCATAATCATACGAGTTGAGCGAAAAATACACAAAAGCTTAAAATTAAAGGTAAATCTATAAGATCTCATCTAGGGGTATTTAGAAATACGAACAATCACTGAACAATTGCGAATAAGTACACAGCGCTAAGTACACTCGGGAAAAGGCAATTTTAAAATCTCTTAAAATGTCTAAATATGTCTCCGGATGGAATTGCGTCCAGCCAGTTAGTAAAGTGAACAATGCGATCGGCCTTTCCAGTCTTCATCAATAAAATCTATAAATTATGTCTTTAAATGTCAAACTATCACAGCATCCAAATGGTCATTTAAGAATTTCGAAAAATACGTCTCAAAAGCAGCTTCGACGCTACCGCTACTTCGACAGACAGCACGGTAGCGCAGAAACGCGGGTCTCGTCATAGGTCTACGTCACGACACCTCGCGGTCATACGAGCAGCTCCTTCGGGAACAGGTTCATGGAAGCGTAGTCCTGCAACACCTGCAACAGTTTATCGATAAAATAATAAATTTTGTCTCGGACACACACGCACGCACACAAAGGAGAATCAAAAGAGTCTGGTCACCTCCAGCAGTCGGTCGACCGTGGGCTCGGGCGCTTCCAGCGGGAGCAGGTCCCGAAGCTTGGAGCCGTCGAGACACAGCTGCTTGTTGAGCAGCAGCTCGGTGCTGGCGAATGGCTCCAAGGGGGAGTGCTCCAGGTTGTACTTTCGGCAGATCTCCGCCCACGCCGTCAGATGCTTCACGTTGGCCTCTTCCGCCACCGAGGCTATGTCGTTCTGAAACGAGGTCTCAGCGTTAGAGCCGTTCCTCGGAGACATTACGTCGAGAGAGAATCATCGAAGCTCACCTTGGCCAGTGAAGATATGGCCTTTCCGTAATAATCGTGATTTATCTTGAATATCTCGGCGACCATCTCCGCCAATCTGCCTTGGGAGCTGTTGGCTTCGTCCACCACGTTGTACGTTTGCCCCTGGGCTTCGGGCGAGCTGGATAATTTCCATATTGCTCGACAGAGATCTCGGACGTGTACGGTGTTCATTTTGAGGTCAGCCGTCCATAGAAGCTTCATCGTTTCACCTAGGTGTTTGTAGATTCCACCGTATAATAGACGGGGTGCTGGAAATTATAGAAAACGTCTGTAGTGAAAAGGAGTGAACTAGAGGCTATTTACCTTAAACAAAATAAAAGCAAACAAAAGCCTTAGTCATATTATAATGGGGAAACTCTTACTGAGACTCCGCCTATCTCCTACGCCATAGACAATAGCAGGTCTTAGGATAGTGTAGTTGAGTTCGCTCTCCAATTTCTTTAATTCCTGCTCAACTTTGCTCTTCATTCGTCCTTCTACTGTCCATGGATCCACAGGGCCGTCTTCTTTGTGGGGCTGAAATTGTTGTAATTAAAAGTGTTATATAAATAAATTAATAATAAATGTTATATAAAAGCTATTCTTTATTTTCTTGTTTTACCATTTGCTTATTTTGTATGCATTGGATGTTGCATACAGCTTGATGACTCAGCTAAAGGAAGGAAAACCTAACCAATAACAATAGTTTATTGACATGCGGCTAAAACCTATTTCCACCATGTCCTATAGGCTAGACTAGGTTGAATTATATGCTAGTAAAATTGTGATGTGATTCAAATTCTCCATTATTCTTTAATCATTTATTTTTCTAATTGTAAAACTATTCATGGTTTTCACATTTTCCTAACATATATATCTTTATATCCACTAACCTTATCACTGCTGTACATTTGTCCACTAGATATTTCAATAAGGCGTTTGACTTTCACTTTCGCACACTGCTTGGCAACATTGACACTGAGGGTGAATATACCTTCCGAGTAGACTGCTTCAGTCTTTTCAACCCTTGTTTCACCTGCGCAGTTTACCACCAGATCCCATTGGCCCCCATCCGGTTCTAGAGCTGACGCGCATGATGCTGCATCACAAAACAGATAGTATATCAATTATAATGATAAAAACTTATATTCAAAATTGAGATCAAATTTATATATATATATATATGCCTTATAAATTTCTGCTTATTCAATAATAATAATAATAATATTAATTTCTGATAATTATTTAATTAATGAATAAATAAGAAAATCTTGGTAAAAATATTGTAATATCACTTGCAGTTTAAGAATGTAACAGCATTATAGAAGTAAAATTATTCTGGCATTTATTAATTATTGTGATATTGAGGCAGATCTGTAATGGAATGCTTGTATACAATATATTGTCGTAAACACATTTAAATTTTCGAACATTTTAGGTTCATTAACACATCATAACTCAATAGAGTATGAGGAAAACAAATTTTAGATGTCTGATTAAATGACATTTAATTTTATAATCGGAACCAAACCCAGAATGATACCCCGGAGTTACATAGCCAAATTTTGTATTTTCTATAGTTAGTGACATATTTTAAAAATTAAGGCAAGGTTTATGCTTCATTATGAGAAGTAGTATGTTTTTAAGAAAGTAAATGTAAAGAAGTAACAAAGATAGATTTTCTAATATTTATAAACTAAACTATATTTATTTACTTGCCTTGGAAATATGGCATATGGCAGTAGGAGCAGATAATGTGAATAGGCATTGTTTTAGGTTCACACAATTCAATAACTTATGTAGCCATATTGTCTAGCACCTATTGTTTGTTGACTAATGGAAGTGCTTAAGGAATAAAATTAAAAGTGATTTAATGGCATGTGCATACATACAGCGTTGACTAGAATTTGATAGGCCAACCAATTAATTAGCAATGTCATTATTGCCAAAAGATTTGGTTTTCCATAATATTGGCTGTAGTAGTTATGGACAATAATTTACGTTCACGTAAGCAATAATAATTTTAGATTTTAACAACCTTGTTTAAAAAAATAATGTTTGATTCTTTTTTAAACAGACCTTGTTTTATTTATTTTATTTTTAGTTTACAGCAATGACCGTGCAAATTACATATTGTAGAAAAATAATTTAATTTCCATGGTGTGTACACAATACACTATACTTACTACATATATATTTCTCATTGTACATTTCAAACTTTTCAAAAATTAAATTGTGTTGATAACATTTATTTCCTGTTTGTTATCATTTACTACTTCATTTTGGGTAATCAATAGAGATAAAGAGTAGACCACTCTGCTCGCCTTTACTACTCAAAATTATAATCCAAGGCTTTCCCAATTTAAATAATAAAATATCTTAAATAAGCCTTATAAGGCTTCAAAGGAAGGAAATGAAACTTACACTGGCAGGATTTAATTAATATCTATATGTAGTGTTAGCATAGATATTGGCGTATGAGATTAGTAACTTTTATTTAATCCATTTATGTACAGAAAAAACAGCAAGTTTATAGGGCATAAATAATTCTTACTCACATGGCTGAGGGAACAATCCCCTCAGTTTAGGGATGTATTGATTTTTCTCATAGCCCCTTGTTCATTCATGCAAATAATTCAATTGGGTGTTCAAAGTAACTTCAATAAGTATTCACTTCAGTAATCAATTAAAGAAGTACTGGATATTTATTACAATCTTTAGAACATTAATAATATATTATAAAACTGTATAAAATGTTTGTTTGGTGGCATAGCAGTATTTTCAATATTTTTATATTTTATTTTTCAAATATGGTTCTTTTAGTAAACAAGTAGCAATAAGTAATATAATTTGGTTTATTAATATTTATTCGGCTGTGAATCATAGTGATAAGCTGTTATCACTCATGCCAATGACACTTGTTTTATAAAATATACATTTTTAAACCTTACTAAACTGAAATAGCACTTACATTTGAAAAATTGATATAAGCGCAGATGTCTAGACACAAAAGTTATTTATATAAGTAAGCTGAAATGAGATACCTTTAATCGTATTACAACGCGCTAAATCTAAAAGAAAACTTTTAGACACGCGTATAATTTAAATAGAGCATTTTAAGTAAAAATGTTGAATGATAGGCATATAGAACGAGTATAATGTGAAATACTTACCGGGATTTATTAAATTAGCACTCTTATATTCGACACGAGGATCTTCAAAACATTTTGTGTGAGAGGGATTGAGGAAAGCAAGTTGCGGCGGAGTCTTGTCCACCACTCGTAGCACCGTGACAAGGTCATTATTTATGAGGTACTCCACCAAATTGCGGCCAATAAAGCCGCACCCTATTAAAACATTCACTTTACAAAAACACTGCAAAACTTAGGTCACCCGATGACTAACCGCGAGACCGTTACTGATTCAAAAACTTAAGACCAAAATTACAAAAAAAATATAACTTTTCTTAATTAAACTTGTATTCAATTTATCTTTATGGAATAGGGTGTTTAGAATAAGCTAAATTACCTCCTAAAACAACAGCTCGAATTTTTATATTATCATCGGCAGAAGACATTTCTCCGGCCCAAAACCCTCAGGTCACAGGTGACACTTGCACACAAACACAATCCACAACTAAAAATCAGGGATGCCAACTCCTACAAAATGTTCCCCCTAGGACCAACTTCAAATACCCCTAAATGTCGATCAAAAACCCCTAAAGTTTTTGTTGTACACTTGGTTTGATAGGTAATTTCAAATATGAATTAAAAATACGTTGAAGTAGTAAAAAATTGCTGTTGTACTGTGATGATGTGAGTACATATTTATATATTTTAATCAATAACCGAATAATATTAATGATAATAACAATGAGATGAAACGATTCTTATTTTTTATTTCTTAACTTTTCTTTCTTCGAATTCAGTTTTTTTTAACGTTTCTTGGCAGACAATTTTTTGCGTTTTCGTCATTGTTTTTTCATATGTTATTTTAAAGCGTTTTATACTTTCGTTTTTATCTGTTCTGTTACAGTTAAACGAGACAGAATTAAAATAAAAAACGAATTGCTTCAATGTCTCCTTTATTTCCTTCTAACACATTATTTTTAAATGTCAATGGCTAATATTTTGTCGAAGGCATCGGCCTGGATACAGCACTGCGTTTTATTGTTGCTGATATTTTTGAAATCGTACAAATTGACGTTAAATGATTTGATCATACGGTCAGAAGGAACAAATTTGACACATGAAATTATTCTTTTCGATATTTAAGCTTGCCAGGTTTGGAGTTTATGTTTGTTTTAGTTTGTTGATTGCGTTCGAAGCTTAATATAAATTGTAAAGAATCGTGTGTTTGTAGAGAATAAAAATCTTGAATAAAGTACCCCCTAAGATTCCTCTAAATAAATGTACCCCCTAAAAAACCCCCTTGATATCTTGATTACCCCTAAATTTGGGGGGGAAAACCCCAAGTTGGCATCACTGCTAAAAATATTAAATGTACAGTCAATGTTTAATTAGACTGAAATTTTGACAATGACATAAATCATTTTTGATGGTGAAGACTTGACATTTCTACAACGATTGACATAACATAAAACTATTCCATAATATTAAAAAAACTGACATTTGCTTGACACATTTGAAACGGGTATATAAAATAAATGTGTATCTAGTCAAGTAGTGGGTCCGCGAAAAAGGGTTTTTAAAAACTTAAAGTTAAAATGAATACAACCGGTCCGATTTGAGGTCCGTTTAATACTGAATATTACAAGTGTTCTATTATATTTATATCCTATTCTTAAAGGCCTACGTGACCGTTGTGCTGACACATTGTTCTCACGCTCTACAAGGAAACGTTACTTAGTAAGAACTAAGAGTGGTTCGTAAATCATGTAAGAGTGGTTCGTAAATCATGTAACAGCATTTCGGCTATTGAAATATAAAGGATCTTTGTACTACTATGTTGCAATGGTTTTGTTTATATAAAATATAATTATCCTATGGTGGTGACACACGGGATTATATAACTCCTCCCTCCTTAAGAGCAAAATTATCAGGGGATTGCACATGCAAATTCTGATTATTTCGCCACTGCAACATATTAATAATCTTATTTTTTATAAAAACACAACAATTAGCAAAATACAATAAAAGAGTGCCTAAACTAACGCTTTTCACTTTCACTGAATTGCCCATTTCACTATCACTATCTCTGTTAAGTTGTTACAGCATGTAAGACATGTGTTGCAGGTCACTGAGCTCCATTTCTTGTAAGTTTACTGGATTCTGATTTTCCTTAGAGTTCACTGTTGACTGTAATTGCAGCAGCTTAATGGATGGGATACGTTCTGATGACATATTTTCTGTATATGAACGCTGATGATGTAATTGGATGTTATTGATGTTGAGATCGCAGGGTTAATCTATAGTAATGATTAATTATGTTCCCTTTATAGAGTTTCGGCTTATCTCATTTTTGCAATTATTTTGAATAATGATTTGATTACGGCTGTATAATATTCATCTATTAGTTGATATTTTTGTACCTTTACCTCTTCTATAATTACTGTATTCTGGTCACAGTTGGATGGGTTTTCCTTGAAGGTCATCAGCTCCTCAATGCATGTCGTTTCAGGATACGGTGCCCCTGTTTTCTTGTGTGCAGAGATAATTTTCCTCAGAGACTTGTTGGCAAGGCTGTATAAGTAAGTAAGTTACACCTTTCACCAGGATATAGGGATATTTAGGAATGATTATTAAGGTTAGGTTTTTAGGGTCATGAAAGATAGGTAAGGGATACATTCTATTATAACTATAAGTTGAATTGGCTATTAAAGCTACCTCTAATACAAAGGTTATTTTCCTGTCTATCATGTATGATTTAACATTAATCGTATCTTTCTAATTCGCTTATTTTTATATAAAGCGTTCTAAAATTACTTACAAAAAGATTATATAAACTTATAACATATGTTAGAGTATACTGCATTATTTTCTTTAGTACTTATGTCTTTTAACATTTTTTTTTCTACACGTTTTAGTCTTTCGTCCATAATTTTGAGTTATTGTGTAATATTTCTGATGAATAAAAGAGTCCATCTAACATTTTGGAAACAACTATTAAACGCATGTTTGTGGAAATTTTGTTGACTAAGTACCTAATTGATTTATTAACTGTTCATATCGTTGAGCATCTTCCTGATCTAAGTTTCCAGTTATAATTTTAATAATAGGGTTCAATATTCCTCTTCGTCCTAGGTGTGAAGGGATTATTTGCCTAATCTTTTCAGTCGTTATTCTTTGCAAATACTCTACTTGTTCCCTAATTCCTAAAAATTCTTTAAACTAAGGCTTATCATCACTTACTATCTTACTAAAATTACTATATTTCCTATTGTTATATTCTAATTCCATTAGTAGGCCATTTAAATCTAATACCTTAAAAATAAGCCAGTTATCCTGTTTGATGAAGGATGTTCCCTGTCTTACGGATCCCTGAATTGTTTTCAACCTTTTGAAGTTGAAGGCCCAAGCTGGGGCTCGTGAGTGTCATCGTGATCACTAAGCACCACCTTTGGAGGTCGTTTTATTTTTTTAATTGGTACCTTTTTGTGTTTACCTCTAATTTTAATAGGGATGGTGTTTCTTTCAGGTTTTCCTGTACCTATGGCCTTTTCAAAACAAGGTTTGTACTTACTTCTACGAGTGTTTATTAATTTTGTGAAAATTGTTTTCCCTTCTGGTAACGGGACGTCGGACTCGCCACCGCGTTTTTCTCTAGAGTTTTCCTTAAACGTTAACATTTTATCAGATATGATTTTGTATAAAACTTTTATTCTTTTGGCGTGATCTTTAATTAATTTTTGCAAGTATCGTTTCTCGAAGTCTATATTGAATGCGTTTTCAGAATCTACATGGCCAAACACTACTTCAAACGGTGTTAAAGTTGTTACAGTATGAGTCGCATTATTATATGCCATGATGAGTGATATAATAGATGCGGCGTCGGTACATTGTTGTTCGTATTTTGTCAGTCTGTAAATTTCAATTAAGGTGGAATGAAAACGTTTAACTATTCCCATTGAATTAGGGTTCCTAGGTGTGTCGATATGTATTTGGATTTTATAGAGTGACATCATTTCTTTCAATAGATCGTTGTTGAATTCAGTACCAGAGTCGCAGCTTATTTTCTTAGGTATGCCGTAAAATGAAAAGTATTTTATTAGTGCGCGGATAACGTCAGGTGTGCCTTTGATAGTAATTTCAATTGCCTGTCTTAGTTTGCTAAAAGCGTAAACTAAGGTGAGGTATGTTTTTCCTTCGATACTAAATATATCTATAAATAATTCCTGGAATGGGGCATGTTGCTTTTGAGTTAACTGTAAATATGGTTTCAAAGGCTTTCGGTCATATTTCATATGTTTACAGGCTTCACAAGAATTAATTACTGCTGATATAGTTTCTTTCATGTTATTCCAAAAGAAGTGTCGCCTGATGCGAGTAAAAGTTTCTTGAATACCTCTGTGACAGGTTTTTCCGAGATGAAATTTCAGAATAACGGCTTTCTGTTCATTTTCATCGTCAATAAAAACTATTCTTTCCGTACACTCATAAAATTGAATTGATCCACCTTTAAAAAGCCTAATTACCATGTTGCTGAATTGTTTGCGATGTTCCGTATTTCCGAAATATATAAAATATATCTTTTTGGGTTTTATGTATTCTTTCAGGAATTATTTGATTAAATAATTACACAATTACTCAATAATTTTAGCTCACAGAATTTGATGTGAATCTAAACTTATACTTACTTTAGGGGTTGCAGAATTTCATGCACTAACCTACTTACTTCTATGTTTCTTTAAATTAACTTATTACAATTTACGTTTATATCAATTTAACTCTAACAAAGTCTTAAAACTATCGTTAAGATGAGAGATGTCGATCTCAAAATAACAAAAGAAAAGTGGAGAGGGCTGGATTTGAAAGGTGAAAAGGTGACTTACCAGTACATCGCTGCCTCAACACTCGCACAAAATACCCTTAACGCTTTTGGATTTGCGTTCTTGACAAATTTATTTGTTCTTTTGAATAGCCGTTTTTAGCAATCGCGACGTAGTTTCCCCTTTTTAGGTAAGCAGAATTTGATGCTCGAACCGATAATTGAGAAGTACGTGCAGCTAGAGCGACTATCCTGTCCTCAGCGCCAGTCAAGTAGTGGGTCCGCGAAAAAGGGTTTTTAAAAACTTAAAGTTAAAATGAATACAACCGGTCCGATTTGAGGTCCGTTTAATACTGAATATTACAAGTGTTCTATTATATTTATATCCTATTCTTAAAGGCCTACGTGACCTATGTGCTGACACATTGTTCTCACGCTCTACAAGGAAACGTTACTTAGTAAGAACTAAGAGTGGTTCGTAAATCATGTAAGAGTGGTTCGTAAATCATGTAACAGCATTTCGGCTATTGAAATATAAAGGATCTTTGTACTACTATGTTGCAATGGTTTTGTTTATATAAAATATAATTATCCTATGGTGGTGACACACGGGATTATATAACTATCTACAATACTTGTTTATAAACAACATTTTTCATTTTATTGTCCGGAGTATATATACATAAATTTTTCGGATTTCCTACTCTTGAGCAAGCTACATATAGCTGACCGTGAGAGAAGCAGGATTCTTTGAGGTTAATGCCACAATATTTTAAAGTTTGTCCTTGCGCTTTGTTAATTGTAAAACTAAAGGCTTATTTTATTGGAAACTGCAGTCTTTTAAATTGAAATGGCAATTCCGAAGAGATCAGAGGTATTCTAGGTATAAATACTGTCTGTCCTTTGGTCTTTCCAGAAATAAGTTCAGCTTCAATGATATTATTCGATAGGTGTTTTACGATCATTCTAGTTCCATTACATAATTTTGGGGAGTTGAGATTTCTGAGTAGTATGATTGGAGTTCCAATTTTCAGACGAAGGCAGTGTAATGGCATTCCTGGTACTTGTAAAGAGTTAAGAAATTCAGTGGGGAAGTTGACACTTTCTTCAATGGATACCATCGTGTCGATCGATTTATATAATATTTTCTCTTCACCAGGTATTTTCTTTAGAATATTAAAATTGATATCGTCAACAATATTATTTTTAGTGGCCAAAATTGCTCTTTGAAATAACCACTTTTTTTAATGTTTTGAGAACTAATTTGGATAACTAAAATTATGTCGCTTTAACTCCAAAATATAAGTTAGCTAATGACGTATAAATACACAAAATTTAATAACTTTATTATAGCAACAAATTAAATGTAAGACTATTGAAATTGGAATTTTAAATTTCGTGTCACTACTACACATGCTACAATTGCTCGCAACGCTTTTGGAAATGCAACCCAAACAATCGTTGTCCTGAATGAAGTTCAAATATTCGATAACAGATGGCGCCACTATACTTAATTTCCAAGTTGTAGGGTTGGAAAGTTCCTTATATCTTTAGAAACACGCCCTTTAGATTAAAACGGGAACTTTCTAGCTTCTGTAGCGGTAGCGTATGTAGTAAAGGCGCGAAATTTAAAAACCTAAATTTTTAAATATTTTGAGAACTAATTTGGATAACTAAAATTATGTCGCTTTAACTCCAAAATATACGTTAAATAATGACGTATAAATACACAAAATTTAACAACTTTATTATAGTAACAAATGAAATTTAAGATTTTATTGAAATTGGAATTAGTTGTTAGTTGTCTTGAACGAAGTTCAAATATTCGATAACAGATGGCGTCACTGCACTTAATTTCTAAGTTGAAGGGTCGGAAAGTCCCTTATATCTTTAAAAACATGCCCTTTAGATTAAAACGGGAACTTTCTTGTTCGAGGGGGGATAAAGGGCTATCACACCACATAAGTCCCTTTATCGTGTCGGGACTCCTTTTTAAGTTTTATCGGCACGCACATTTTATCGACTTAGTTTTATTATATATATATATATATATATAGATATAGATAATTAAACTTTTCTCTAAATATTTGTGCAGGTACGGAAGTAGCTGACTTTTAGCAGCTTAGAACTATACAGTTTGTTTTTACTTTATCAGGAATAGTAAAAATTGGTCTTTCATAGGTAATAGGTATATTGCGGCGGTGGCAAATAACAATTGTATTGAATAAAGACACCAATTAAAATGTATTTTTTAATGTTAAAATTACAATCGTATAATTAGTTATTGCACATAATAATCCTAAGCGTCGCGTGACTCGCTTGTCAATTATGTATTCAGAATAAGTCCGAAATTGTCTTTGCCTTTGGCACAAATTTATTCTTCATCAGGGGTTCAATCACTGTCGCTATATGTATCGAACGTAGGAATCCAAGTCAACTTCCACAGTCAATTTCACTAATAAGATGCAACCGTAACTGTGTAAATGTTTTGAACTAACTTTTTCATAGAACATTGTTTCGCTCCCGGTAACAAAATTTCAAAAGTAAAAACAAAATAGCAGAATCTTCTAAGTGATTAACGCCGTGGCATTACAATCGTTCGACGCGGATATGGCTATCTCTTTCGCTCGACATATGTGCGAGCGAGACGGAGCTCGCGGTCATCCATCCGGCGCAGAGACGTGACAGAAGTCGGTCAGCGGCACGATCACCACTTGGATCTGAGAAATGGTTAAAGGGTATTCGTTCTTATTAACATGTTTTAGATATCTATCTATTTAAGTATCGTTTTAGAAAAGTTTAACACGATTTATATACGATTTTTTAATTAATTTCAATGACTGACAGTTTTTGCTATTTCAGACTACTAAATCCAATAGTCCAAATGAATATTTGTTTAAAGATTATATTCGGTTAAAAGAAATAATTTATCTCACCCGCAGTTGATCTCTATTCGGGCCCAACAAATGTTTGGGCTCCGGTGCGTCACAATTTTCTGTGCATTTCAAACACCGCCTACGAAAATACAGAATTATATTCTCTTTGACATTTAAAATCCGATATCGATTTCCTACATAGACGTTTAATAAACTCTCGTTACCCCGATGGTTTGTCAAGAGGTGAGGCGGCCACGGCCGGCGTGTAGAGGGGCGTGTTCAATTCGTCGAAATCCAAAGCGCCATCTACGTTCAGCACCCTGCAACCCGAAATGTCTTTATTCACTGTTCACGTTTAACAATATCCCATCACCTTCAGCAAACGTGAATCGAGACCTGTTTTGTGATGAGAAGCGATGAATCCTCTCGACCACGGACGCGACGTGTTCGACGCCATTTTGTACGCCCCACACGAGCACGCCCACCTGCAAAGCACTTTCGGTTTTAACCACTGTGTCTTCGGACGAAGGGCCGAACCGAGTGAGACGAAGAGAGATACCTTCACCCTGACGTCTTCCTCGCAGTCGAAGTCGCAGGTCACGGGGTCGGGGCAGCTCTGACACGTGATGGAGATGCGCACCGTGCGGAGGACCACTTCCGGGACCTGGAACCGTTTTCATTTAAAAAAGTTTACAAAATTATTTATCATTAATTATTATTAGTAAAGGAATACTTACATCGTAAGTCCCGGACCAGGCGATGAGCATACTCTTCTTGAACCAGACCCCCTTCGGGTACAGATCCACCGTCCACTCGCTCAGGCGCTCGGGTGCTACATCCACCTTCGAACGAATGTTCTAATCAATTTTATGTTCGCTTTCAGTTAATAAATAGATGAAAAGGAGCATACGTGCGGAAAACGCGTACACTCATACGGCGACATTAATATATTATTAATCATATCTATGAAAGATTGGCGATATTTAAAATAATACCTTCATTTACCAGCAGACTGAGTGAGCTGGAGCCTAGAGCGGCGACTATTTTTCACAATAGAAGTAGAAAAAATAACTAATAGCAGAGGCCTCCTGTTTTGATACAAATTCTAATTGATGAGTGAAAACGATAGACTACAATCACATACCACGCTGGGCCGTGTCGAGAATATGAACGTGCGCGTGTGATAGCAGGGCAGCGAATGAAAATTGTCCACGCCGAGAATCGAACCCCAAATGTCTTCCGTGTAAAGCCGAGGAGTGAACAACATACGGCCGTGATCACTCTCTTGAATCTCGGCAACTCGCTCGTATTGACCTGTCGACCACCAGACGTTCTCCGATTACATGTATTCTGAAGATCCTTGACAGACCGCGAGGACATTTCGGTCAACTCACCTGACTGGTAGCTCATGGCGATGGCCATCTGCTCCATGAAGAACTCCTTGTACTCCTGCGTCAAGCTGCACAGCAGCAGCTTGGCCAGCTGAGACGGACACATCATTGGGAACCTAGTTAAATCTTCTAATATTAAGTTTAAATAAATATCCGAAATACTTAATAAGAAATGTCTGTAATCCTGTCATCTGTCAATATGACCACAGATATCGCTTAAAGGTATAAATTAACTAATTCCCGTTTCTAAGCTAAAGAAGGTTTAACGTAATGTTATGCTAATTGTGCATATTTCACTGATTTTGATATAGTTCAAAAAGAGGCACCCTAAAAATTAAAAGGGTAAATTTCAGAGGGAATAATATTAATTGTTTTGGGTTAAAAAACATAGACAAATAGGGAAAGTCCATTCAAAAGTACATAATATGTACCTAATGTGTGAAAAGACGGTGGTAACTAGTGTCTCCCAATGCTGTTTCCATTCACAGGCATTTTCCTCCGAGTGACTAAATCTTTGTTTCTGCCGGTGCAGCCAGTCCACTGTAAACCTAGAAGACAAAATTATTCACGCAATAGCTCTGTCAAGATATTATAGTAATGTCAGCTAATTGTGTTGCTGAGAAATTTTTTTCATAGATTAGATATATTGTATGCAATTTTACTTAAAAAAGATACCAAAACATATTCTTTTCTTGAGGCCTATGTGCACTCATTAACCTGTAAGACTTGACTTGTGCCAAGTAAACTTTTTAAATTTCTTTTTGATCCTTACCGATACAAACTGCATTCATTATGCAAAACTAGATCACTCTGCTGTAGTAGAAGCAGCAAGGTTTCATCCTCCAGCTCTGAAAGATCTGCATGAGACCACACCCATTCCATGTTCCATTTCACAAAATTTTGACATGCCTGAAAAGCAAATTATTAAAATTGTTTTGAACTCATGGAAATAATAATAATAATCTAAAAATCCAAACACAACACACCTTAGCAACATTGGTATGTCCGCACGCCATAGTGTACTGCATCCAATTGATCACTTGTCCCTTCTTGGCAGCCAATGCTATGTGTTGGGACATGTACTCCAAACATAGTGACACTAAGTCCTAAAATTACAAGGTTAAAAATTTTCAAATTGTTTGTTTGTCAGTGCTTAAAAACAGCCAATTTATAATCTTTTCATGGTACACATTTACACACCTAACAATATACCTACCTTAACATTATATTTGTCTGCCAAAGACAGAACAGGTAATACTGTGTTGTAAGAAATTTTTATTTGTCCTGTATAGAAATACCTGTAATATAAATTTAATTAGATATGAAAGAATATAATAAAGCCTGACTGACATAGTGACTAATCAATGATGTATTATTTAGGATTTTTTCCTAAACAATTATAACACGATTACAACTTCAGAACTGAGACATCAGAAATTGATATTTAATAATAGAATATTGCTATATCTTATAGTTATATTCCAACACTCTAATTTATTTTTCAGTGGAATAAGCCACAACAATTTTAAAATTACTTGAGAAAGTGTGGGAAGACTGATGCAGCTGTGGGTGTCTCCTGCAATACTATCTTGCTTTCACGCCACTCATTCCATTCTCTGTTCATTAACATTACCTTTAACAAATAAAAATGTGTTTATGGTTTTGTTGGTCTTTCAAATACTACAGTAAATCTATCTTATATTTTAACTTATTTAGTTTTTATGATTGTGGCTAAATTTTAAAGTTCTGGGGCCACAACGACACAAGCTCAAGAAAAGTAAACAATATAATAACAAATATTCAACTTAATCCTAATTGATCCCATTATTTGAAATGTTTTTCCTACATGTTACAGTTAAAAATTGGACAGATCATTGTTTTAAATTAATCAAGATATTATGAAAATATACTACTGTTCTACTTAATGGAGGTACACAACGTTTACCTGAAAGACTTCACTACTAGCACACAATATCAGCCTATGAGCTGAATAATCAACACCTCCCACTTCAAGTACTAAATCACTCATTAACTGCTCAGCATACAAATTAGCAATCTTGAGTAAAACACTCTGTGAATTATCCACCTGAAAGATTACTTGTCATAATTGTAAAAATATAGCACAATTATCGTAAATATATCTTATGGACAATTAAGTCCTCAAGTACCTCAAGATCCTCATTTTCTATATAATCACTTTTTTCCGAACTGGTGGAAGGTTTCGGTCCATCCACAGTGAGAAAACTCATATTTATAATTTGTTTTGAATCATACTCAACTAAAGATTTCTAATTGTTATACCGAAGTATGTCTAAAATAAATATGAAAATGATAATTGATTAACCAGAATTGACTGAAGCTCCATTCAAGTAATAAAATAATATATTTTATTGTTTTCTTTTTATAGCTCGTCGACTCGTAAATCGTTATATTAATTCAATTGTCAAATGACAAATCTGAAATCTTAATGTTCTAAATTCTAATGACTAATCTCAACTTCACTTCACTTCACTTCACTTTATTTATAATGGAGACATCTGTGTAAATCACAATTCCGCCAATGTCACGTTCTAAGTCTTCACACAGTGAGGATAGATTTGATAATTTTGATAGATTGAATTTTATCTAAGCAGAGTTACCCAAAACAAAAATGACATCACAATAAATACAACACACACAGACATCTAATAATATATACAAGAGGTTAACATTTTACTACAAGGTATGAAGGGGAGAATCTTATTTATAACTTTAATTTATTAACAGAAATAAATTTCCCTAATATTTTGACGATAGAGCTGGATGGGAGGGAAAGTAGGGAGTTAAGGTTACATGGACGAGGGAAATCTGGAGAAAGATGGTCAAATAACGAGTCATTAATTAAAGAACAGTTAAAAAATATATGGTCTGTCGAGCCCTCGTCCATACCACACTCACAGAGAGAACTGTCTTTTATTTTAATTTTGGCTAGATGAACGGGAGTACAAGCGTGCCCTATACGAAGACGGCAGATTATAGACGTGACCTTTTTGTTAAAAAACTTATATTTAAAAAACCACGGCGAAGAAGGGATTGAATACTGAATATTAGCATAGTGCCTGCCAGTTTTTTTCTTTAGAAGATTGCCAATCAATAGTCCAGGATTTTAAAAGGTGGGAGTACGCAAGAGCTGATAGGTCTTGGGCCGAGATGTTGGGATGCTGACAAGATCCGCAGAAAATAGCACCTTTTGCACAAGAGTCAGCAGTTTCATTACCCGCTATACCACAATGACTAGGTATCCACAAAAGTACAATATGAATATCTTTTTTACTACACCTAAACAAAGCTTCTCTTATTTTTAGAATCGTATTATGTTTTTTTTAGACCTGAATGGATTGGAAAGAATTGCCTGTAAACAGCTGCGAGAATCGGAAAAAATTGTAACTTTATTTAGGTTGTGGGACTCAGCATACAAAACCGCTTCTAGGATTGCAAAAGCTTCACCTGAAAAAACGGAGGTCAATGGAGGAAGTTTAAAGCTCAATACTGTTTTGAATGAAGGGACCCATACAGCCGCACCGATGCACTCATTATTGGGAATCTTGGAAGCATCAGTATACATCGGTAACCAACCCTGCCAGTCTTTTGAAATTTTTTCCAGAAAACAAGTGGAAGCTTGGGTGGATTTTTTTTCAATTCCAAAGTTTAAAATTATTTTAGGATCAAAAATGAGGGATTCATAACTATTTAAAAACAAGGGATTACTAGGGAAACTTTCAACAGGATTAGGAAGACGAGAAAGTTTATTAAAACTGTGTAACAGGCATGGAACATTACCTGTACTAGATGGCATCGTGAGATTAGATAAGCGACGTAATTTGGACAAGATGGAATGTGAAGAGTATTGAAGGACTTTGATGAAGAAGCGGTCACTTAAAAATTGTCTACGTAAATACAGGGGGGGGTCAACACATTCTATTTGGAGAGCATTGATGGGAGAGGATTTCATAGCACCAAGGATGATGCGTAAAGATTTCGATTGAATTTTGGAAATTTTATCAAGGGCTTGCTTGTTGCCAGGATCTAAAAGGAAGGTGCCATAATCAAAATGACTTCGTACCACAGCATTGTATAAAAGCTTTTGAGTAGGGGTGTGCTCCCCACCTCACACCAGATAATGAACGTAGAACATTAACACCCTTCTCACTTTTTTAATCACATGGTTAAAATGAGGAACACCGTTTAACTTTGAGTCTAAAATAAGGCCTAAAAATTTTACTTGCTTACAACACGATACCAAGGACCCTTTATATGAAATGTTACACCGTGGAACCTTGTATTTTGTAGTAAACGTGACCGCCGAACATTTGGGCACAGAAATAGAGAGACCATGATCATTTAACCAATCACCAAAATAATCCAAAGCCGAATTTAGGCGTGATGATGCCTCTTCAATAGAATTTGATGAAAAGTATAAGGCTACATCGTCCGCGTATTGAAGAATCTGACAGAAGGAATTCACAACAAGCTCCAGGTCATAGGTGTAAATGTTGTACAGAAGAGGACTCAAAACAGAACCTTGAGGTAAGCCCCTCCAAATAGATCTAGGAGACAGCTCCGTATTTTGAGATCTTATAATAATATAACGATTCGAAACTGCATTGCAAACAAAACGTACCAACTTCTCAGGAATACTCAGCTGAAGCATTTTTTTGCCTGAGCACCGGAACCAGCACGTGGTCATACGCAGATGCGATATCCAAGAAAACACCCACCAGGAACTGTTTCTTTTTAAAAGCAATGCGAATGTCGGTCGTTATTATACTTAGGCTATCCATCGTACTTAAGCCTTTCCTGAAACCAAACTGGGATTTTGCAAAGATATTGTTATTTTCACAAAACCATTCTAAACGAATTTTAATCAAATGTTCCATGATTTTTAAAAGGGTAGAAGACAAAGCAATAGGTCTGTATGAAGAGAAATCTGATGGATCTTTGCCAGGTTTTAGAAGCGGAATGACGATTTGTCTGTTCCACGATTCAGGAATAATTCCAAGATCGAAAAAACAGTTTACTAAATCTAGAAAGTACCTCTTAGTGCCTAATGAAGAATTTATGAGGAATGAGTAAGGGATTCCATCTTCTCCAGGGGAAGAGTCAGAGAGACCATTTAATGCTTTGTTAAGTTCTTCCAAGGAGAATTGACAATCTAGACTGTTTGAAGAGGGGATGTAAGAATTATACTTATAAGGAAGACAATCATAAAAAGGGACTGATGGAGGAGCCAATTTGTCGGCAAAGGAGGTAATCCAGCTAGACGGATCATTAAATGGGACATCATAAGAATTGAGGGAACAACGGAATCTTCTGATCTGCCTCCAAACAACAGACGAAGGGGTACCAGGGCACATGCTCTCACAGAACTTATGCCAACCAAGACGTTTCTTATTATTTAGAAGTCTGCGAGCAGCTGCAGAAGCTTGTTGGTAGACTAAAAAAATTTCCAAGGTCATGCAAAGACTGTATGACCTTTCTGCCGTTTTTCTTTTTCGAATCATCTCAGTACATTCGGAATCCAACCAAGGAGGAGAAATTTTCCTTTGTGTAGAAGATTTGAGTGGAATATGTAAACTGGCAGATGAGGTGAGGGAGTTGACAAAATCATTGTATGAAGATAGGCAGTTTTCAGCAGAGACTGCGGGGAGCGCAGCTATCTTAGAGTCAATAGAAGATGAAAAGTCTGACCAATTGGCCTGATTCAGTTTAAATTTTAAAAGAGGGGAAGGGCGAGTAACGCTCCTTAAATTGGTTGGGAGATCAATTAAAATGGGGAAGTGGTCACTCCCACAAGTGCTCTTAAAAACACGCCAGGATAGAAAAGGGAAAAGATCAGGAGAACAAAGTGATAAATCCACTGCGTTAGCGGGATTCTGAGATGGAAGACTCCTTCTCGTAGGACAACCATTATTCAAGACACTTATGTTTATATCATCGAGTAAATCTAGTAGAAGGGACCCAAAAGAATCTGAGGAATGACAACCCCAAGAAACATGGTGGGCATTGAAATCACCCAACATGACAACAGGAGAAGGAACCGAAAGGATAATAGAACGTATATCAGAAATGAGGTCGAAATGGGGGTGGGGAATATAAACAGAAATAAACGAGATATTAAAAGCTTTCATAGCAACAGCATTAATACCATCACAATGAGAAAGAGATAATGCGTGGAAGGTGAGGGATCGGCTGACCAAAAAGGCACAGCCAGCATAGCCATCATCCCTGTCATCTCGGAGACACCGGTACCCAGAAACCCTAAAGCGGGAACCCGGCAATAACCAAGTCTCCGAAATGGCTAGAATAGATGGAGCGAATTTATTGATAAGAAAGGTTAATTCTGATTTTTTACTGCGAATACTGTTACAGTTCCACTGAATTAGCAGATTCGCCATTTTTGGTGACGAATGAGTGGAGCAAATTAATTTTTTGGGCAACGTGGGACGGTATGGGGATGTCATCATACTTGGATAGCATATTACAAATGACTGCCCATAAGCAGTCAAGAAGATTTTCATTTGGGGAGACTTCATTGTTGATAAGGGAAGGGGAGCTTACGGTACAACCATTGGGTAAAGAGGAGGGTAAATTGGAAGTAATGGCCTCATGGGCCGCCTTATCAAAGGATTTTCCTGATGTTGGTCTAGAGCGAAGAGGGAGAAATACAGTTTTCCTGTAAGATGTAGTCTGACGGGAAACTTGGGAAGGTAAAGTAATGGGCTGGGATAAAGAGGAGGGGGTTGTTTTTACAGAATCTGCAAAAGTTTTGCCACTGATAGGTCTAAACCGAGCCGATGCTTCGAGATAAGAAATGCTCTCTTTATATTTTTTTGTCGATTATGTTCAGGGCAAGCTTTGTTGGTCGCAAAATGTGAGGCAGTACAAAATAAACATAATGACTCTGTTTCAGGGATATTACACTCATCACCAGAATGGGCTAGACTACAACGAAAACACCTAGGCTTCGATCGGCATTGTGACTTTACGTGACCAAACCTACAACAGTTAAGGCACTGAATTGTAGGGAGTTGGTACGTTTCAACGCGGAGGGAACTATGACAAGAGAATATTCTCTCAGGAAGGGTTTGACCTTGAAAAGTTAGAACAACGGTTTGTGTTGGGATCCAATTAATTTGACCATCGGAGTTCGTCTTGCGGTTTAGGCGTCTGGCCTTGAGGACTATACCTTCGGGAATTTCCAAAGTTTCGACAAATTCCTGCATCGACCAATCAGCTGGGACACCTCTCACAAGGCCCATACGGGAAACATTATAGTTAGGAATCGTAACAGAATAGTTGCTGGAAGGTACAATGGGATTAGACACAAAATTATTCGCATCTAAGCCCGACTTAAACTCAACAGATATTCTATTACGTCCCACTCTCTTAACACCATCTCGAACAATGTTGGGTATTTTATTTTTTACCAAGAAGTGACCAAATTTAATTGGGCGGATTGATGTACCAGCGGATGGGTCAGATTCAGGGCAAGAAACATGGACTAAAAAAGGGCCCTTGTCATTGACAAGGTATGACTTGGGAGAGCCAGTGAGAGATGGATGGGAGTAAAATCCTGGGTTGACGTCATCAACAGATGACCGGACATCGGTCATTGGTTTTTTGGAAGGTTCCACTAAAGATTCATTGACAGTATCAAGTCTGCGCTTGACACCAGGTTGGGACAACAGTGGGGTGGATAAATCCATTGATTCCACCGGAGAAGAGACCCTATCCGGAGGATCAGGGGGGTCTGGAGGGCGTTTCTCTATTATAGACTACCAAAAATATAACAAAGTAAAGGGAGAAATATAACAAATAAATAAAAATAACTTACGTAATTAGTTGATGTTATTAATTAACCACCACCAATAGGATAAGTCAACTTATATTCATTAAACTACGAGAAAAAATAGAAAATACTAAATAATGATATCCGAAACACGTGTAAACACTTATACCCGCAACGACCATGACTAATCTCAACTTATACGTCATAACTCACAAGTCTACTTGCGCGGCATCTGACATCTGACAGTCGTATTTATCTCTTCATCATTATATGGTGAGTTTCACAAACGAAATATTTCGCGAACTATGAACATATCGACGTAGGAAAGCACATTTGCTGTAAGTAGACATATTGCAATTGTTCACCAGAGCCAAAAAACTTTATTAATTTCGGAAAAAAATTAATAGTGTCTGACCTATCCATGATATTGCTACCATTTTTGAAACATATATTTATTTAACTGCCAGTCACCATTTGCAATGTAAACTTTTTATCCAAAGTTACTATAAGTACGTGTTTGGCTAGTTACAGCAAACAGTTTTTTAAATCACAAACCTTTAAAACGCTGTAACTAAGGAAAAAAATGTACGCGCGGAAATATTATCAATTTACAGGCGGTAAATATGCTGTATGCAGGAAATTTATGTATTTGGGTACTTTTAATTGCAATTCAAGATGTAAGATTAGTTTATAATTATGATAAGATCTAGAAATGCAGTGGGTCATTTGGTAATGTAATGTTTGGTTGAAATAAAATGTCGTAAATGGTAAAAAAAAACCAAAACTGTAGGTTCCCTAAACTTGCTGTAAGTAAACGAATGTAAAAATCACACGCCGCTGAACTGCTGTAAGTAGCGTTAAGTTTTTAAATGGGAAGAAGTAAGTATTTGTAAAGAAAAAAATGCAGATTTTCTTTTGCTGTAAGTGCAAAATGTCTGAAATGACTAGATTTTGGTCTACATACAGCATTTAATCTTGCTAAAAATAATATAAGTACGGGCGTTTTCAACGGCGTATGTAATTTTTTTTTCATCGTAGAGACACAGGAGCCAGGTCATTCGATGCGGCTTTTTTTCTGATTCTAATGGCAGGAAAAAGTCACTTTAGGTATTTTGTCTACTTACAGCAAATATGCTTTCCTACGTCGATATGTCAAAATCTAATGCATTGTGATTTGTGACGTATCTACGCGACGATTTGTGAATTGTGACGTCTAGCTTTAAGTCATGTAACCAGTTTCTGAATCTTTATCCCCCCAAGTATCCTGATGCATTGGGGGTTTGTAGGAGGTACATTTCTTTAGGGGGCTACTTTATACAAAATATTTATTATATTTTCTTTAAAAACGCACGATTCTATACGGGTTGGGTCAGTTTTAAATGTCACCGTAACACAAAAACTTTTGGGCTTTTTAATCGAAATTTAGGGTATTTAAAATTGGTACTAGGGGTAACATTCTGTAGAAGTTGGCAGTTGGCACCACTGCTATAGAATTAATAATACTTTTGATAATTGATTATTGATTCAAAAAGTAAAAACAAATAATACTATCATACCTCTTATGGAATAAACGTGATATTTCTGAGATTTTAGAAATAATAGTGATTGACAACATTATTTGCCTTAGACTTAAAGTTTGTTTTTTCGTAGTTCCGTAACATGAATAGAATGTTGACATTAAAGAAGAAAAATGTGTTGTTGTTATCTGCGTTGTCGGCAAGCAGCTTCATAATTTACCAATTGTATTTTTTTCTAGCAATATCTTCCGATAAAAGCTTTAATAATAAGATTATTCCAGTTATGGACCACGAAAGTGTTAAACAATTAATACATGTGCGCTCAGATCAAGATAAATATGTAAATGAACACGGCGTGTTAAGAGGTGTATATTTTACTCAAGTTAAGGACTACAGGCCTAACTCAAAAAATCAGTTTAAATGCCGTAACACAGGACAATATGTACCATTTGAAAACGTTAATGATGACTTCTGTGATTGTGATGATGGAACAGATGAACCCAGTACGAGTGCTTGTCCTATGGGAACTTTTTATTGTGATACTCAATTTCCAAAATCTTCAATAAATTCTATACCTTCTGGAAAACTTAATGATGGAATTTGTGATTGTTGTGATGGCTCTGATGAATGGTTATTAGTAAAAAATCATAAGTTAGTTAGTCAAAGTCAGTCAAACAATTTAAGACATTATGTGAAACTTTGTCCCAATTTATGTATAACAATTAGATAACACAATAATGAATTAGAATCACTTATTAGATATAAACAGATCTCCCTAAAATATTTCATACAAACAAAACGGGATAGCTGATAATGTAGTGTTATCGTTATTATGTAATGGAACTGTTATCATTTTGTAAATAAAATGATATTTAAAGACTGATTGTATATTAGAACATATGTGATGAAAAGTAAAACAATGTTATCAAATAATTTTTTATTTAATTACAGTTAAATATTTTTTTGCTGTTTAAAAAACCCAATCTACTATTTATAATTAATCTGGTATGTTCTTTTCTATAAAAAGCAAAATGATCAAGATTTTATTTAAGGCAGTGAATTAGACATGTTTGTTAGAAGTAGCTTATTACTCCTATCTTATCTTAAAATGCCATACTCTCTTAACTAGCACATGAAGAGTTAAGTGTGCTCTTCCTACATGTTCAAAAACGAATGGGATGTGGTTAAACTTAGTTACGTTATGTTGTTAATAGCAGTTGCCTGTTTATATCATATATATTTAGTTATTAAACTTCCAATTGCAAAATTGGATTTCACCAATGTCTCTTGGTGATCCACGGACTACATTACTATTATTAGTATTAAATATTAATTATTAAACTAGCAGTTAGTACGGGAGAACCATACGGTATTTTGTGTTCTGTGTCATGTGACATGTACATCAAGTGACGAATCGCAAATCGTAAGTGTCAATTGTCGCGCTAGAGTTTTCCAGAAATATTTATGCTAATGTTCTTTATTCTTAAGCGCATTGCGCATTGAATTAAATTTTCTTTGACTCTATTAAATTATTAATTATAATTATTAAGAACACGTGCTACAGAGCTTTAGATTTGCAGTTATAATATAAAATTTTAGCATACAACAATCATGACTGTTGACGAAGGAATCGATATAACTAAAGCCGGCGATCGCGGAGTTCTAAAAAGAATTATTAAAGAGGGCGAGGGAACTGATACGCCAGGTGCAGGGTGCCAGGTGACCGTACATTATACTGGAACTTTATTGGATGGTTCTAAATTCGATTCGAGTAAAGACCGCAACGAACCTTTTGAATTTAACCTAGGAAAAGGTAAACAAACCTAAGCTGTTCTGGAGGTTATGTAGTTATTTTGTATTCTTTTACTATACTAGCATGTCCTCTAACCTTCTATATTACTAACCTATTTAAGACATGTTAATATATTGTCCAGATAAAAAATATTATTATAATTTCACTTACGAAGCAAATTGTAATTCATTTAGTCCAACTGACTGACTATTGGTCATCTAATAATTTTGACTTTTATGTTATTTTTGGAAAACTCTGTGTGAATTATCAGTTATGACCTTTATAAAGTACTAACTCTTATATTAAGAGAGTAATAATCCAAATCTATTTGTGGTGCTAAAAAGTCAGGCTTTCAAAATTGTATAACATCATAAGATAATTTGTTTGATATTATTGTTTAATCTAACTACAGTGGCTCCTTACATGTATCTTGTAAACTAAGGCAGTTGGTGATTAAAAATATTAGTTGAGTTTCTTGACAGTTCAAATTAGTTCTAAGCTTATGATTTGGGAACTGGCAGCAAATTTATTTAGAGTATTTTAATAAGTATAAGGATGGGGGCCTCATAGCCTAGCGGTCTTATTAAGTGGCAGCTAGGTGAGGGGTACCGGGTTCGATTCCCGGTTCGACGGCAAGTTTTAATTTAATTTAAATTTGTTTTCGGACTTTGGGAGGGTTGTGCGGTACCGGGCGAGTGCCTAAACCGTACATGGAGGACATGGTCGAATTTCTAAGGCAAAAATGCACGAATTATAAAAATCTTATACTCGACGCTGGCTAATGCACACCGTGCCAGAGCCATAAAAAAAAAAAGTATAAGGATATTTGTAGTTTGATCATCTTCAAAAACCTAACCAACCAACCCAACCTATTCCAAATACCCTTATATACCAAAATTATGGTAGATAATAATAACTTTTAAGTTTTATTCCGAAGATTGAAAAGGAGTTGTATGTGAAATATTAATTTTTAGTGTGTAGGGTGTACATACAAAAAATGTCTATACCGGTTATACCTATAAAAATCCATGTAAGTATATCTATATGGTTATCACTTATGTTAAACCACTTCCTCTTATCATATGTTTATAAATTGTGGGAACAAACTATTTTCATTATATTAAATTGTAATGAAAATTATAAATAGTCATAAATTTTTTTTTGTAAATTGAATAAAATTAATTAAGAATGTAATACACTTGGCACAATTACCACATCCATACTTACCTCTACACAATCTGAAGATTTTTATAAAATCTAAAATGTTTAATTTCTAGGAACTGTTATAAAAGCATGGGACATTGGTGTAGCTACTATGAAAAAGGGTGAAGTTTGTGTTTTGACATGTGCCTCCGAATATGCCTATGGTGCCCAAGGAAGTCCACCTAAAATACCGCCAAATTCGACTCTGCAGTTTGAGGTACATTTGCAATTGAAATTGTTATTGACAGAAAATCTATTTATTTTACAATCAGCGGCTAGTTTAATGTGTCAACCCAAGGTTTCTTACTTTATTATTTATATATTATATAATATCATGAAATAAATTACATCCAATTCCTATGTTTGTAACAGATTGAGATGATTGATTGGAAGGCAGAAGACTTAAGTCCCGCCAAGAATAAAGGTATTCTCCGGCACATTATAGAGCAGGGCTCTGGCTCAGATTATCCCAACGATGGATCCCAAGTATCAGGTACATTATGGTAGTAAAAGAACTACAATTATATAAAGACTTAGGGATGTGACGATTATTTTTTTAGCATGAATAATCGATTAATAAATAATCGATTTTTTCCTAATTTTTGAATTAATTTCAAAATAAACACCCTAAATATTTTATTTTTCATGGTTTTTTAAATTAAAAATAAACAATAGAAATTAACTTAATCCCGTTTTGATAGATTTTAGGTGAAATTTGATAAATGCTGAGTGTATGCCTTTTCAATAGCACATTGCAGTATTATTGTTGTCTTTTTAATTGTATGTATTCTTGTGCTGGTGAATAAATTTATTTTACTTTTAAATTATAGTGTTCCATTCAAACTTGAGTTTTTGTAAAATTAACTGCTTTTATCATCCTTTTGATGTTTTACAAAAAAACATCAATGTATCGAGTATATCAATAGATCTTCAAAGAATCGGATTCAATGTATCGCATTGTAAACATCGTTGTGTATCGAATATCCCTAATAGTTCGAGGTCCGGGTTATAGAAGACCAGACATAATGTCGGGAGGTGGCAGATAAAAAATCGATTAAGATTGATTTTCAATTATAAAAATAATCGATTATTTTAAATATAAAAATCGCGTAAAAAATCGATTATTTTTTCACATCCCTATATAATAGAGTATTTAATTAAAGTTTTTTGGTCTATCAATTTCTTAATTTCTCTAAAATTCTCTTTAATAATATATTGCCTGTGGTGTATAATTTTAACTCTATTAAACATTCATTCATTTCAGTGGAACTCGAGGGAAAGTATGGTGATAAAGTTTTCGATACTCGTACAGTTACATTTACACTAGGTGAAGGCACAGAACACAATGTGTGCGAGGGAATCGAACGGGCACTCGAAAAGTTCCTCAAAGATGAGAAATCACGCTTGATAATACAACCAAAGTATGCCTTCAAATCGGAAGGAAATAAAGAGATGGGAGTGCCTCCAAACACACCGGTGGAATACGTGGTGAAGTTACTCAGTTTTGAAAAGGCCAAAGAATCCTGGTCTATGGACGGCGACGAGAAGTTGGAGCAGGCTAAGCTTGCGAAGGAAAAGGGGACGGAGTACTTTAAAGGAAATAAGTATATGCTGGCCGTTAAGAAATATAAGAAGGTGGTGTCGCTCGTAGAAGGTAATCCGAGGAATAAAAAATATCTACTTGTTAGAATTGTGTAGTTTTACACAATTAGATCTAATTTTGTGTGTCAAGTCCTACGGGGCAAAGATATCTATCGGTTCTCCGCGAAGTTTGACGATCTAAAAAGCAGTATTTCGAATTTAATTCCCAGATATGCCGGAAGACACATCCGAATCCGAGGAAAACAAATCTCAAGCGAAAGAACTACTCATATCGGCGCATTTGAACCTGGCCTTGGTCCACCTGAAGGTGTCTCCTCCGCATCACTACGAGGCCAAGGACCACGCGACTAAGGCCCTTAAATTGGACGAAAAGAATGTGAAGGGTCTCTTCAGAAGGGGTCAGGCTCTGTTGGGCATCGGAGAGGCGGAGCGGGCGATCGAAGACTTCCGGGCGATCGTCGAGATGGAACCGGAAAACAAGGTGACGTACCGAAAGTCCTGGATTATAACCTGTCCTAACGGGATTTATTATATATTTATATTTCGTCAGGCCGCAGTCAAGCAAGTGCTGCTTTGCCGAAATACCCTGCAGAAGCAGAAGCAGCGCGAGAAGCAGATGTACGCCAACATGTTCGACAAATTCGCGAAACACGACACGCAGGTATATACTTGTGACATAGTATTGTTTTCTTTTTAAATGTATCTTCTAGCACATGATAACATATAACACTCAGGTGGAGAAGGAACGCGCCGAAGCGGAAGTGGACGTGATAGGGGAGAAGGTGGGTGAGTGGGGAAAAGGGGAAGGGGAGTGGACGGACGAGATGAGGGACCGGAAGCCCACCGACTTCGAGAAGGAGAACCCCAACATCCTCCTGCTGGACAAGGTTCCTTCTCGTTTCTTTCTATTCTTAAAGCTGAATAATCTCCTCCCGTTCTATTGGCACTCGAGACGCGTCTAGAGTACGAGGAAGTTTCTTTAATGGAACTGTTCACTTTCAGGATGGGCAATTCGAGAACATGTGAAGTGTCGGAGAGGACGGTCGACGAAAGTGAAGTGTCATTCGAAAAGTGCAATTATTGTTAGTAGAAGAAGCACGAACCTTTACCAAAACTTTTGTTATTGTTTACTTTATTTTTTGCATCTAATGCATTTCCCACTCCACCTTAAAGCGTTAGTTGACAAAGTGTGTCTTTTAGTGAAGCTAGTGTTAGTGTGTAGTCAATGGGTTTGTGGTGAAATTTGACTCGATACTGTTTGTTTAAAATGTTTAATTCCTCACTGGAATCCTCTGCGCTGTGCTAATGTAATGAATATCGGTTGAGAAATAGCTGTGTAAGTTTGTACAAGTTCTCGGTGAAATGGATTTCAATAAAATGCTGATAGCGTTTCTTTTATTTTTGAATGAAAAGCGATTTAGCCAGATCGTTTAATAAAATTCAAACATTCACTTTATCGTAGACGTCGAAGTGCACGAAAGGCGCCGAACACTTCTACGGAAAAATCAAAACATGCATAACCTACGGCCTTACTTTAAATGCTCGAAAACGTACAAAATGTTACAAAAAGTAAATCAATAGCAGCTGATACTGCGGAGGTAGGTCGGTTTAAAAAACTAATATTTAGGGGCAACTTTTAATTCTTACGTCGGTTTATAGAGATTCTAAGATATTATGCCGTGCGAGTCTACCTTTTCTATATTTCCAGGGAATCATTAGTATATAGCATATTGTAGAAGCGAAGAGAAGTTGCCGCTAAACCACCAGTCGTGTAACGTGGATCTTATACTACGGACTATAAATAGTATTCGGGTTGATTAACTTGCATTTGTCTCACTTATGTAAGTCGATTATACTGAAAACGTATTATTATGATTTCGAGAACGATGGCACTAACATAATCTTGAAAATGAAACGGTTCAAAAAAATTTGTTTCACGTCACCGCTTATAAAATTTTAAAATTACAAATTGTGGTCTTATTTCATACATAGACATAAATCGTAGAAAAAATAATTTAAATCGTCGACACAAAATAGGTAAAAATAGCGAAACTTCGCAAAAAAAGCATTTAGCGTCTTAAATATAGCTTAACTTAATCCCGCATTGAAGATATCATTCGGTGTAACTCGACTCACGAAAGCAGCTTCGATTAAATATTATCAGACGGTTACGAAAATTATATATTTACACGTTTTGTCCTTTGACGCCCTAATGGTTGTTTATCGTTGATTTATTTTTTTAGTAAGACTCGCGTCAAACGGACGTTTTGAGTTAATTTGAAATGTATTTCAGTAAAATATCACTTAATAAACTTGATGAAACGGTATTTCATAAAACTGCTTCGACGATAAACAACCAAAACAATGACAAAATTACATCCGACAAGTGAATACCTATAGAAGAACTACTTATTATGCGATAATTTTGAAATCCTAAACGAATATTATTTGAAAGTAATTCGCTAATGTACAAACAGAGACCGATTTCGTGTCCGTAACGTTTCATGATCAAGGTATTTTTTAGCTTTTTCCTGCAATTCATTAAAACGGAACACACGAACCCGGCTCACCTTAGGTTACGACAGACTGAGATGGGCCTAAATACACGTATCGGGTATTGTGACCGTTCGTCGGGCATCGAGGCTCCCCTTAAAATAGAACCACAATACCCTGTGCTCGACTCTAACCTAGGACCTAACAGCTAAGGACATTTATGGTCGCAAAGGTTACAATTTCCCAACAATTTTCCTAAATTTGATAGCTAGCCTCGAGATAGACTTCGGTAGACAAATGTGCCTGTTCAGCTTAGTGTTTACAGAAAAAGTTACAACAGATATGGTCTTATCATAAAACGCCGACTGAAGCACGACTATTGTTACCGTGAATTTAAACCACGTTTCATAATAGAACCCTTAGTTTAGACTAGATTACGATAAATACTAACAATATTCAACTTAACACTTCACACAACAAGTATCAAAAATATATTTTATATTAAGTTCATAGAAAAATTCTTATACCCTTGTTTCCTTTGCGACAAAATACATATAAAAAGGGTTATGACAATATAATAACATAGTTTTGAATAAGAACTATTACATTGAGGTACAACTAACAGTGTATGTAAGCTATTTGGTCTCTTCCACACTCGGCAAACAGTTCGTGACTTCATTTAACATTTTTTCGATGACATTGCTACATACCTGAAAAGACTTCCAGATTTAGTGAAAGTGAGTAAAGTTGCTCAAACATTTTCTTTCCAGCCTCGAACTGTCTGTCGAGTGAGAACGACCTTGAACTGTCGTGACGGACAAAATAGACTGGGACACAGACTTCTTGCAACGGGCAATCGTTGGCATATTTCAAAGTATCCCTCGCAGCGTCTGATGATCCCAGTGCACTTTGCAGCTAAGCCAACAGCGCTGCGCTCTCATGGAAATGATGAGCGCAGTTTTGGATACCTCTCAGTTTCGACAACCGAGTTTTGGAGGCATAAAATTTTGTACTTTGGAAGCATGGCGTTCGGCTCATGCGTTTCCGAATCGAATTCACCAGATATATTTGTTTTATCTCAGGCCAAATTGTTCGTGTGTGGATTGGGTCGCTTCGCACAACTCGCGCGAACAAAAGACAGTTTGTTCTTTTCGAAGCCAAGTTTCAAGATACATCGTGTGGATATATTTCGCACGTCTGACTCGTTTTCACCCCGATTTTTACTAAGTTCACGGAACTTATAAATACATCACAGTCTTTGGATTATATTACCTAAGACTCGACCTTTGTAAATAATCACTCTCTCGAAAATATTTCGGAGTTAAATTCCTTTTCTTTTAATATAATTTTTACTTCATGGTATCTCTGCCGGGCAGGTTTAAATGCTATCATTATTTTCAGAAATTTTGAACGCATATGGACCATCCACATTTTTATTTGACGGCGGGATGCCGGCCAAAGTGAGACCGCGGTGGGCCAATTCGTACTCCATATGCGTTGGGATTAGTTAGAATGCGTCCTGTGGAAATGTGTCCCGCGGGATTTCGGAGCGGACGCGATACTGCAGTATCGTCGTTATCATAATTTGTACTCGTTCGTTACTCACCCTACGCTTAAACTCTAAATATCACACAGCACTATCGATTCACTTACACTAACATCGCGACGCTTGGCATCGCGACTTCATAAAAAATATAATAAAAAGGAATCGAGATTAAAATGCACGGAATCGCCATCGCCGCTTCGGTGCGTATCGAGCGAAGTGAACTTCAGCGTCAGGTAATTTGAGGGTTGGAGCTGTCCTGCGACGTGTTGCGTAAGTAAATAATATTCTCGTTCGATCGGTCCGGCGATGGATTCTCTCAAATAAATCAAGAACCAAAATACAACGTGCCGTCGATGTACCAAATATATAGAAAAGCTTTTTCGCAAAAGACTTAGCCTAAACACTTGGAAATTATGCGATTGACGCTCGGGGACAGTTCGTTCTGTGCCAATTTTAAAAACCTTTTTCTATTCTTTTTTGTGAATTGCTATCTTCCGACGTTTTTTGGTTAATTAACGACGTTATTTTTGGCACAGAGCGCGTCTCGTCGAGCGAAAACGATTAAACAACTCAAAAACAAAGCACTCACAAATATTAGTGTTTTTTAAAGTGCAAGCGATATACTTATCTAAAATGAGGTAGCGTTATACTATATTGTATATATATGTCTTAATTTGGTGGGATATATGTTAAAAGTGTAAAAAATACAATAATACATACATTAGTGAGGTAAGACGTTACTGAGGTAGCTAAATCGGTTTGAAATGATCTTTGAGTTTGTATAAAATATAGTACGGCTAGTTTAATCAGTGGACTTTCCCGACTCGCGTAGACGGTTTCACGATGTCTTTATGATCGGCCGGTCGCGAGGCGCGTCCGTCGCCATGGCGACCGATCGAAAGACATCGTCTATATATAACGTCAAAGACCACTTCGTACAACTTTTTTAAAATATATCCGTTTTGGCAGATAAACGGTTGTGTTCTTCGTACTCGTCGTAGTAGTGCGAGTATATTTTGGCGATGAGGGGAGGAGCCCACGACTCGGCGAGAGAGAACTCGTTCTCGTCGGGAATGTGTTGGGTCGGCGCGGGGTCCGGGCGGTCGGGGATGGCATCCGTCAGTATCGTGAGCAGGGGGTCAATGTGCGGAAGAATATAGTCGTCCACCCCGGGAGACACGATCTCCGGGCCGTACTCTAGGGGAACGGAGTCCGTTGTGAAATTTCCTATGTCTGAAAGTGACAATACGAAAAATAAAGTGTTATGGTCACGTGACACGAATTGGCCACAGATTAGTCGAGTTGAACTCGTAGCATGCTTCTAAATAATATGTCCTAATCTAATCCTAGTCTTATCCCATTTTTTAATAAAACAGGGGGCAAACGCGCAAGAGGCTGATGTTAAGTGATACCACCGCCGACCGTGGACACTCTCAATGCAGGAGGGCTCGCGAGTGCGTTGCCGTCCTTTAAAATATTTGTATAATTCTTTGTTTGAAGGACTCTAAGTCGAATTTGTTCGGAAATACTTCAGTGGGTAGCTGGTACCACATAGGTGGTGCGCGGGAAAACCTGGCTTAAAAACGCTCAGTTGTGGAACGACGGACGTCGAGGTGATACGGGTGGAATTTCGTATTCTACCTCGACGACGTCCGATGATGAAACTCAGCTGCAGGTATTAATTCGAGCAACTCCTCTAAACACTCTAAATGGTACATGTGTTAGAAGATGCAGGGAGACCCCACATCTCTACGCAACCCCGGATCAAGCCGCTCGGAAAGTGATTGGTCGTCGATGATTCGAATTTCTCTTCGAGAGACTAGAATACTCGAGTCCCTGAAGGGAGGCGGGCCGATCTCTCACTAAATCTGGCAATGGAGCGTTTAAGTATTACCCCCCCCTGCATCGTAACGTTTTACAAGAGGAGCCCCCGCACTTTGCCCTAGCCATAGCCATCTCCTATTAGAAGGATCAGAGATATGTACTTTTTTAAGTTCGCTGGTATTAGCATCACGAGATGTCGCCTCTTCGTCTCTTGATGAATGATCCAAAGAACCCAAAGGTGGATCGACGGAGACTTGATAGTTCTGTGGATGTGAGGTCAGCAGAAGGTACAATAAAGATGGGTTGCGACATCTGGTATTCACGTAATTGCGGTGACCATTTGTGTCACGTCCTATGCCAAAGCAAAGTGGTATCTGAGCCGAGCAAGTCGGCACAGTGGGCGTTAAAGTCACCAATTATCAAGATTCCCGGACGGAATCTTTTCGAGCAGGAAATCTGTAGACATTTCGATGTGCTCAATGAGTCGGTCAGTGTCGGCATAAGTGTGTTGGAGTTTAATCGTCGAAAACTGTTTTTGATCGAAATATATCATAATATATGTGCTTAGTTTAAGATAAAATTAAATTTTTTTAACACATACAATTTGTTTAAGTGTTTACGTCTGCACGCTTAATGCTGTCTTTACTGACAAAAGTAATTTAAAAAACTCACCAGACAAAGAGCTCGAGGCGATTCCGAAGCACTTTTCTTTAAAAATAACTTTAAAATCATTTGCATCTTCGTTTTGGTGTCCGAACACTTCTCTGACGACCTCCATGCGTTCGATCTCCGTCTTGGCTCTGTCTTGGCTCTCGAACAGTCGGGATTCCTTCTCTATCACCGCTTCGTCGATGACGTTGGTCTCCATCTCTCCGTTTAGGTAAACGTACCAATCTTTGTTTTGCGAAGTGTCCGTTTTAGAATTTTCAATTTTGGGATCGGTTTCCGCATCGTCGCGAGCGTCCCGGATCACTAATCGGTTTGAATTTACGCAGTGAACTCTGTTTTGATGTTTCGACAGATTGGGCGAGCAAGAGAACCTCTTTTCGCACACGACGCACAGGAAATCTCTCTCCTTATTGTGAATGTTGAGATGCTGCAGCAGATGGGATTTCTTAGCGAAAGTTTTGGGGCATCGCGAACAGCTGTGAACTTTGACTTCGTGGTGAGTCTTCTGATGCTCGAGGAGCCTTCGCTTCGCATCGTAAATTTTTCCACAGATCTGAAAATTAAATATTAAATAATATTTTATATAATAATACTAAGAAGTATCTAAACGAAAAGAGTCTCACCCACCTTGCACACGTGTAGCACGGCTCTAAAGTGAGTGGGGATATGTTTGAGAAGGTAGGACCTTTCGGCGTAAGACTTGCTGCAGAGAGGGCACGCGAAGAGATACTTCTTGTGGACCTCGAGGTGACGCGCGCAGGAAGGCAGCGAAGCGAAGTCCTGCCCGCAAATGCGGCACCAGCTCTGAACGCGGTCGTCGTGATGCCGAGAGTGCAGCAGCAGGTCTCGCCGTTTGTCGAATCTGAAATGATTTTATTTACTGATGTTTCCAACGCACCTCCGGCACGGAGCAGACGCATTTGTCTTTTCAGAATCTTCTAGATTTGACATTAATTCGAAATAAATACTCTTAAAATGTTTATCACTAAATTAGACTCACATCTGTTCACATCCAGGTTCCCGGCAACGTAAATCGAATCCATTGTGTGAATCGGTGATGTGTTTCAGGAGCGAGTGCTCGAGGAGATATCTATTGCCACAGTGGAAACATATGTACGGTTTATGTTTTTTGTAATCTTGACTGCATTCACACACGTGCCACACGAGCTCAGAGAGATTCGGGAATGTTTTGTCGCATGTATCACATCTGAAAAGAATTTCATCATGGAGTAGCCGATGTCAGAATTTATTGTTTATCAACAATAATATGTTTACTCACAGAAATTGGCCATCAGTATAATGGCGATTGACGTGCGTGTGGAATGCGGAATGTTTAAAAAACTGTTTGCCACACAAAATGCAGGAGTAAAACACATCTTTGCCAGCATGATCGCAAAAAAAATGGGCGTCAAACTCTTCGCGATTTGGGCAAATTATTGAACATAATCCACAAGCTATAGCAGTCAGCTGATTAATTATTCCTTCGTAGTTGTTTTCATCAAAATCGTTTTTCCAAAAGTGTTTCTTTAAATGATCAGCAGACATATTCTTATGGAGAATTGTTTCTTGACAAATTGGGCATGTGTAGACTTGTGACAGGTGCAAATCTATGTGCTGTTTACATGCTTCCACAGTAAGTATCTCCTTTTGACATACTTGACAGGAGTTGTCGGCCATACTTTCATTGTGGTAGACGATTTGATGTAGATGCAATTCTTTCTTAGATGGAAATCTATAAATTAAAACAATCAGATTGATAAAAAAAACACTTATATTTAAAAAGTGATGTTTCTTTTCTATGACTTTTTAAGAATTCAATAAAATATATGTCATATATCTCAATATACAACTTACTTTTGCATGCACGCTTTACATTGCGGCCCATGAACCAATTCAATGTGTTGCTGTAGATTGTATTGTTTGGAAAAGAATTTGTCACATTGTGTACATCTAGAAAAAGTATTTATTTATGAGTTACACAATAATGACCAAGTAAAAACTATAAATATGTATAAATTACTATAAGCTAATGCCAAGCCATCTAATATATATTATATATTGAGTAAAAGCTAGAACTATATAATAACCATAACTGCTTAATAACTGCTGCTAAAAGTTCATTAAGGAATGTTTTATTTTACTTACACATATCTATTTTTGATGACATGATTAGTGTAGCAGTGGCCACGGAATGCTGAGTACCTTTCAAATTCTTTGCTACAAACAACACATTGGTACAAAACTTCTTTATTCCCAGTGTGATTTGTATAGTGAGTGTCAAAATCTGCTTTATTTTTAAATATCTTTTTGCATAAATTGCAACTAATACCACCAACTTTTTCCACTGTGGTTAATGGTTTTTGAAGAATTTGTAAAGCCTCCCTTGAAGTCATCTTGAGGTGGGTTATGTGCAATCCATTTATTTAAATTTTAACTTCGCCATAGTGACAATGATTTATAGTTGTGGGCTATTGTTGCATTTTGGCATCATTTGAAATCTACATCTTGCAGAAAATCCTATTACCTGTAAACAGGAAGTCTCCAATAAAGGAATCGAATTAAAAGAAATGTTGTTTCAGTAAGTATTACTGTAGATATATTTTGGCGACCTTGATAGTCTTCTAATATCACCTCAGATAAACTACTAAAAATTTGAATAAAGTATTCAGGTAACAAACCCATCAGACAAGTTATAATTTACAAGGAACTTCAAATATAAATGAAACAATGTATCACGCTCTTTAGAGGATTTCGATTTGTAAACACCTGTAAACTACATAAGAAGATATTGATAGTTTAATTGGTATACTTACAGAACTTATAAATAATTTACATTGGTCACAAATTTGGTGTCACATGTTACTAAGAAAGCTGATAATTTTTTGCAAGCTGTATTTTATAAAACGCCGACAAACACGAATCTTTTACAATGCCAAGAAAATGGTGTGAAATCTGAAACCAAAGATAACAAATAAGTCCAGAGATACAACATAGAGCGATCAGCGAGTGTGTAACAATATTATCGTAGACAGAATTGAGTGCGTTTTCCAATTACAGAGCATAATGCGACTCAGTGCCGCACAATGCCGCATTATGCTGAAGCTTAATTGGAACGTGAATTAGTTTTCAAATGCATCAGCAGAGTGCGCTAAGTCAGTGTTGAAAAAAAAAATGTCCTGAATAGAGTTAGCAACCTCATTAATGTATAAATAATGTGGTAAACAATAATAATTGGATGAAAACTATTTACGCTTATTTTAAGTAAAATGGGATTTTGATTATTTCATTAACATTTTTTTACTGAAATAAGAGAAAACCTTTAAAGAATATAAGGTTTTATCAAGCTAAATTAGCAGTAAAATATTTAGTTTCATGTAAGAAGTTTACATCATTTACGTTTTTGAGTAATTTTTTAAATGATTTCTAAAAAAATTATATACTTTTTCAAAAGTATAATCCTGTAAAATAAATTTGTTTACAGATCCGAATTTTAAAATGAAATTGTATTCATATTTTAAATGTGGAATATAAAAAAAGTAACTATTTATAGTTTATACCTTCATCCATACTAATATTTATTTTTTTAGCAGTTTGAAATAACTTTAATTATTTTCAAAATCTACGACGAAACGAAAGCCTTACAAATTTTTCAACAATAAATAATATTTACTAACGAAAATTTCGATAAATGCCAACTTAAAGAAAAATACTGGTCAATTTTCTGTCACTGTGTTGGTATTGTTTGCGAGAGCATTCGTTTTGAGAGTGCTCAATTGTGCGAAGCGTTGCTGTAGTTGGAACATTCAACGTTAAGCATTATGCCGCATAATGCGCTCAAGTGCTGTAATTGGAAAACGCACATTATTATACAGAAATTTGTATGGTCACAGAATACTAATTAAAACAGAGATGGCATATTATGTACGGTGAATCTTTATTAATTGGCATATGACAGCAGACACTTCAAAATTTAAAAAATGTCAATATTAAATTGTGTATACAATATACATAATTGATAAAAAATAATAAAATAAGTTAGAGGTAGACGAATTACTTTAAAATATGGTTTTATTTGGTAATTAGAAACCTTGTTGCCAATTAATAACAAAAAAAACGTATGAATAATATATGCCATTATAATATAAGTTTGGAGAATAGGGCAATGTATTGAATAAAAATAAACATTTTCATCAAAAGGGAAGTTTCGGCTCTGTTTGTGCAGTAAGTATATTATAACATATATTAGGGCAGCTTTTCTTCTAAAAAATTAAAATTCTCCTCGTTTTTTTTGATATTCCCTTCGTTGTCTTAAAATCTACACAACAAACTTTAACTGCTGGTCATTACGTTTGAAGTGCATATTTTGCAATGATACTGGACAAACTGGCACATTGCCAATTAAATTCCAGAAATAACATATTTCTTACGCGTCTGTAGTGGAATGTTTATTAACCTGCGTATTACGATCGATCTACTAAAAGTGTAACGTTAAAATGGACCGTCAAAACATTCATTCTAGTGTCCATAGCTCTTTCAGAAGTCGGGATTCTACTTCTTCCACGAGAAGTGATCCTCGGGAAAAGATTAAGGATTGCCTTCGAAAATTTATAGCGTTTATGTTCACCCAAGTGGGTGTTGGCGCACTTGTTGTTTGCTATGCGATACTAGGAGCTGCTGGCTTCATGCACATAGAAAAAGATAGCCCAGATGAGCAATTAGAAAATGTGAAACAGTGGAGGCAAAGTTGTGTTGAGCAGCTCTGGAATATCACCAACAGATATAATGTTCTTAACCAAACACAATGGATGTACAACAGCAACCATGTCCTTAAAATATTCCAAAACAATATTTCGAATGCTATTCATCAAGGTTACACTGGACGCACACCAGAAGACATTTGGTCTTTCCCTGCAGCCCTTATGTACTCCCTATCTGTTTTTACAATGATTGGGTATGGGAATGTAGTGCCAAAAACTGCTTGGGGCAAAGTCAGCACAATCGCATATGCCTGTTTTGGAATACCAATTTATATACTTTATTTCTGCAATATGGGAAAGGTCTTAGCTCAGTCATTTAAATGGTTATACATCACAGCTCACGAGTGTAGCCGGCGAGAAGATGTATTGATTGAGGATGGAGAAATGCAACCAATTAAAAGAAAAGTCACCGTTCCTTCCACAGCATGCTTGTGGGTTATATCATTTTATATATTATCAGGAACAATAATGTTTGGAGCCTGGGAGAAGTGGAACTATTTAGATTCAACATATTTCTGTGTTATAAGTCTGTGTAAAATTGGATTTGGTGATTTTGTACCTGGTGCAAATATTGCAGATTCTGCTGAAGGGTCACACTTGAAGCTTGTTATTAACTTCATATATGTTCTTCTTGGCATGGGGCTAGTGGCGATGTGCTACAACTTAATGTGTGAGGATGTACAGGTCAAAGTGCGAGAACTACGAGAAGAATTAAAGAACTGCTTGGACGATATAACTCTTAAGATTACTGTGTGTATGAATGACACTAAGTATTATCATCAACGTCAAACAAGAAATGTTAAATGAGCCTGTTAAAGTATTTCATTTGGTTTAATAACAATAATATTCTAAAATTATTTATAAACAGGCATCTGAAGTATAACTGCAGTGAAGGTAAGGGAGTTGCACAATGTTGTTATAAGTTATAACAAAAGAAGTATAGTTTTAGTTTCCATTTTTTAATACCAATTATTGTCAATGTGTTTTTGGGAGGGAACTGCCTTCCTTAACACAGGAATTTTTTAAGGTCGAGGCTCTCATTCATGTATCAACATCATTCATATAAATTATTTTATGCTAGTTCATGTAAGTTAACTATTTATAAATATTTTTATTAAAGGACTAATTAAATAGATGTTTCTTTTGATTGGCTTTCTCTTATCACAAACAAAACTACATATTTTATATATGGGCAAAGTATGAGCCCATTATTAATAAAACATAAATGATTTATGTTTTACACATAATTCCTGTCTGTTTTCGTCACAGCGTCAACAGAAATTGAAAGAAAGTTACGGAGGACGAGTACTTTACTTAAAAGAGTGCAATTAGACTGATTTATTTTTTATACATAATTTCCTTAGTTTTCAAATTGGAGGTTTGAAATTGCAATTCTTAGCTTTAGAGGCCATTACGGGATTAAAGCTGGTTAATCTTAACTTGAAGTTAAAATTATAAATTTGTTTTCGTTATACTGGGCACTGGTTTATATATGTGATTTTTTCTAAGTTTAAGTTTTAACGCCTAAACAGATCAGAATGAATTTCGGTATGGTGGAAGGTGTCTTTTTGAAAAAGCCAGAATAATAGTGATTATGTCATGCAAATTGCTGCAGATATGCAGCTAGGCAAGTAGGCGGTGCCGCGATGTTGCCTCTTCGGCTGCGTCGCGTAAGTGGACACGAGGGCCGCGAGAATGACATATTGTTCCACCCGCCACGGTCGAAGCCACCGACGCCTGAAACGTTGGTGTTTTTCGGTGGAGATGTGCAGGTAACTAAAAAGGGCAACGCCGCGGCTCTGTGTAACCGCGATAAGGATTTTTTTTGTATTTTCAATAACATCTTTGAAGATATTCTATAGCCTGGGTTCATTTACGGTGGTAAAGTAGTTTTGGAGCTTATTCTATGCGAAGAAAAAAAAAACAATCAAATCTTTTCTATGGTTAATCTCAGTACAGTTAAAGGAGTGTTACGTCACGCAATTTTTGGAGATTATTGACCCCCCCACCCCCCATGTAACGCGCCGTAACGTTTTTCTGTACCCAAGTACAGTACTGTTCCCAAGTATAGTCAAACTAGTGGCTCTTTATACCTAGAAGTTACCAATATGTGGTGTAAAGTACTGGAAAGTCGAAAATAATATTAACAATAACACGTAATTCAATCCCCGCCCCGCATCGTAACGTTTTAGAAAAAGACCCCTCCCCCCCTCCCCATATTCGTTACGTAATACTTGAACGCTCCCTAAGTAAAAGTGACTTCTTGATTATCTTGATGTGCTTTGCTCTAAACAATGTTTGAAGTTAACTATTCTAGTACCTATTGAAAGGTAAAAAATGATAACTTTAGCGTAACCTGGATGACCTTCCTTTAAAGTCCACTCGTTCGCTGAACTAACTGGTTTTAACCCCGTCCCAATTATGATTAATCGAACAGGATTACGAGGAGGTTATGCAAGCCCACCGTGATAATAAGAATTACGTGAGATGGAGTCTCGAGAACACGGCGCGTCTGCTGAGCGAACACTTCCCGACCAAACACATCGTAGTCGTGAGACCGGCTCGGTAAGTGTATACGAACCCGTGACTTAGAAGCCGTATCGAGATTAATAGCGGTGTACTAGAGAAAAAGTTTCCTTTCACATTACCAGCATAGAGTACAAAAGCTTCAGCTGCTACGACAACTTCGTCCCCAGCAGCAACGCCGGAGTGCCCGAACACACGCCGACTCACAGTGCGCTGCACCACCTCGAGAAGTGAGTGAACGTATATCATATTTCAATAGACTCACTCTCGACCTCATTCTCAGTCCTGTATGAAGTTTGACACATGTAATAACATTAAAGACGAGAACGCGACTTAGAATAGCCTATCGGGGCTCGATGGATTGTGACATTTATATGTGCCTTTTAGATATTTTACCACGCAAATGTAGTCGAGGCAAAAGGTTGTAATTAGAATAAGAGAATGTCGATCGATTGACAGATTGCTCCAAGAGGTGGGCAGCAGGGTAAAAGCGATGCCGGTCAGACAGTTGTGTGACGCTGTGGTGTCTCTCTTCTCGGATGATGTCGAACAGGTAACGAATAACTCACAAACCTTAAAACTGTCATTTAAATGTTTTATAGGTAGAACTGGAATAAAGAAAAATAAGTAGCGCTCCCTATTAAATCCTAATTCTTGCATCTGAATGGAATTGACAAAATTATGTCCGTAATTATAATTAAGTGCCGAAGTTAATTTTTTTCCAGTTAGGTCAACTAACTAAATGGTATTCTTTCAGAGTTGTAGTCGGAAAGATAGCGACTCAAACGGCGCGACTAAATGTGATGCAGTTAAAGGAGAGAGCGACGACGATGACACGCAGTGAGTAGGTTTTGTTCCAATGGATGTCGTCTTCTAATTAATTTACTCTTTAAGTATTAGGATAGCGATAGAGAGAAAGCGGGACCGCAAGGTGCTTTAACTAATAAGAAAAAAGGTATCAGTCGGGCGTTTGCTTTTTATTATATCCAATCGAAACAATCTAACACAAAAAAAGTCCCTTTTATAGTCAGAAGTAAATTTGTCATTACGAAGGTCTTTTAGTAAAAAGTAGAATACGTAAACGCGACTAAAACGAACACACGGACAGAGCCTCCGCAGCCATGAGATGGCGCGAGTGTCTCCTCTTGGGCGAGAGCAAGGTGTCGGTGATGGGCTTCAGCAAGGGCTGCGTGGTGCTGAACCAGTTCATCTACGAGTTCCACTACGCTAAGACCCTCACGCCCTGGGACAAGCACATGTGCAGGTACCGCCAATTTAGATTATCTCTATACATTTCCAGGAAGAGCCGGATGTGATACTTTTAGATATCATTAATGCCTCGCAGCGAGTGGGTCTGGTCTGTTAAGACTGTTTGTTGGCAGACAATTGGGTATATACTTATAACTGTCATCAGTAATATAAACAAAAAGGAAATTTATTATTTTAGGCTCTGCATTTTATATTGAGTTATCCACAATTAAGAATGTTAACTAATTTTGAATATTAGCTCTCCATATTCTCTGTCAAAAATAAAAAAATACTAGTGAAAAAATGACTTCGATACGTCAATTATTTTTCGATTCATAGAAGTAAACGCGCAATGCGGACTCGTAGTTCGTACTCGATGATGTGACGGTGTGACGTCACCGCACAACAATCGCTCAGTCCGCTCTCAGTGTCATGTTTCGTCGACGTCGTCCAAAGGAACGTCCAAATGCGAAAGAAATGAATAAAAGCTATGAAGAACTCTTCTTCATTCTCTAAAAGGGCCGTCGGTCGCCCGAACACTTTCGATACGTAATTATTTTGACAGGTTCATAGAGCGCATCCAATCCATGTGGTGGCTGGACGGAGGTCACGCCGGAGGGAAGAACACCTGGATCACGGCTCGCAGTCTGCTGGAGACGCTGGCGCGACTCGGTACGTTTGTCTCTGAATTGCACTTCTCGTAGGGATCAAATCGTCAAACCTAGGACTTCCAGCCGTTCGTTTCGTTTGTGCCGGACGGAGTCATAAAAATACTTTACTATTACAAGTGAGCGTCAATAGCGATAGGAATAGAGATTCCACTATATTAATTAAGGTGCAAATGAAACAAAATGGCCGCGAAAGTCTTCCACATTGAGTCCACCTTTCAGACGTAAACGTCTACGTGCACGTCAGTCCGTATCAAGTCAACGACGAAGGCCGACCTTGGATTGGAAGAGAAGAGAAGACTTTCAGCTCCTTACTTCACAGGCTCGGGGCTAAGGTCGGTTTCAAACAATCCTTTGACAATAATATTTAAGCGCGTGACGCGTGACGTGGCACTTTCGCCACAAGACAAACTTTACGTAATTTATTTTAGTATTCAGATTATTTCGGTGTTTTGGTATTTGGTTATCGGCGGCTGTATTGTAAGTTTTGCACTCTCGCCCTTTCCAACTATTCTTTTTTTACTTTTGTTGTCTACTATCGAGCTCGCTATAATTGTTACTTAATATGAATCGATTATTCGACGGATTGCTTTATGGCTATCTTAAATGAGACTTCTCGCCTTAAAATGTGTACGCAGATCGAGCGGTACGTGCACGCAGAAGGCAGCACCCGTTACTCGCTGAATACGCACTTCAACGTGCTCGCAAACTTCAAAGAGGTGCAGGACTCGCGCTCGCCGGACCCCCACAACGTGTCCGACGACGATAACTAATTTTAAAAGATATTTCAGAAAATTCTTCGAGAGATTTATCAATATAATTTCTCCGATGTGGGCCCGGCTTCACGAAAGATATATATAATTACAAAAGTAACGTTTTCAAAAAGATTGTATATTTTAGCAAAATTATATTTTCAGAGTTTAGAAACGGTCTCGAGATATATTTTCTTAAGAGTGTTCAAACTTATCTTTAATATGTATGAAAAAAATGATACTCTTCGTAGGTTGGACCGAAACGTCTGAAGCCGAGCTATTCCGATTACCGTAAGTTTCGTTAGCAATTACAAACAAACTTTAAATTATTAGTCAATAATTTTATTGAATTAAATCATATCGTTAAAACTGATCTCATTTACTCGAATGTAATAATTTATTAAAAATAAAGATGATATTTTGAACGTAACATTGGTTTTCATTTGGTACTTTGGAGGTGAAAGGAACTCAATTAAAATGAAATAACAGCTTGGCTTGATGTAGTTTTTATTATCATCAAATACGCACCTTACGAACTAATCATAAATGTATTTAGCTAAACGGGTTCACATAAACTATCTTTGTCGAAACGGAAGTAAAGTATTTAGTTGAAATTCAGTAAAATCAGTTCTAAGGCATTAAACGTGCAAATTTAATTTTGAATTTAATTGAATTCGGCGAAGCGAGGCGACTTCTCGTAACCGAAAATGAACTTATTTTGCGGGAAGCGTATTTGCCGAAGCATTCCTAAAAGCCAGTACTGTATGAGTATTCAGGAAATGCATTGTTTTTGATGTACATGAGCCAATTGAAACCCTCGCTTATCCGACGATCTGACTAGACGTAAAAAATTAGACATAGCTCAATATGTCGGCCTCTTTTACTCCGATACGTTGTGTCCTTACACTATTATGAAAATATACAAATATGCGTAACGGTAACCTCGACTCGGTCGACGAAGCGAACTATTTACATTCGTGGAGTTTAACATTTTGCCGGATTAAGTTCACCTTACGCCGCAAAACTGTTACGCTTACGAATTACCGAATACGACTTACGACCCCCTCCTAGGGGGGCGAATCACTAATTGAATAAATGCAACAGATATACAAATATAAATTTAAGAAATCGACAGATAAGATTATTCCGTGTCGACGGTAACGATGAAGCCTATTCTAAATGCGTGGTCTTCGTCGTCGTCCGCGGCGACCGTGTGTTATGTATGTATGTATGTATTGCACAAAAACCGTCGTCCGCGTCGACGCGTTCAAGACGTCACTTGTCCGCTCGGTTTTCTCGGTCCCTTGGCGAAAGCCGGTCTCTTGAGGGCTCCGACGGGCTTCGCGGCCGGAGTCGACTTGGGCCTCGGGCTGGGTATTTGCGACACTCTGATGCCTATCGCGGTCTTCTGTTTCGTCGCCGTGGAGATCGCCCGCTCGGGTCGGCCCTCGAAAGTGGAGCTTCTTATCAGTTTCGGCGCTTCGGTCTCGTCGCTCTCGATCCAAACCTTCCTGTCGCTCCTCGCGGGCAACTTGCGCGTCTGTTCCGCTCTCCTCCAGAGATTGGCTATTTTGCTCTCGACGTCCTTCTGTTTCGGCGAAGGAATCGAATGAACGCTCGAGGCGCTACCCTGTCGAGAGCCTCGAGCCAAGACGACGGTCTTCCCGCTGTCGTTGCTCTGTAGGCTCTGGCTGGACGGGGAATTTTTCAGTGCGGTTTCGTTGCGTCTGGCCGAAGTCTTGGTCTGTTTGGGTTGGGGTGTCGCTTTAGAAGTCTGCGCTCGAGGGCGATTGAACTGAGGAAGCCTCGAAGGAGACGTGTTGGCCGAGGGTTTCATCGGAGACGTCGCGATTCTTGCGCTCGGGGTGGTCTTCGCTTCGGGTATCGGAAGATTCTTAGGTGGAACCGAACTCTCTTCCTTAGTGAAAGTTCCCTGTCGAACCAGAGGCGCGGACTTCCCGGCGGAGGGTGCGGCCGAAGACTTTTGTGCCGTTTTGGTGAGAGATTTACTCGGAACTGACTTTTTAGGGGAAGAATTAGTACTCGGGACTTTCGGCGGAGTTTTAATCGGTTTGGAAATTAAGTTTGCTTTGGGAGACATGGACGCTTTTGGAGTGTTCGTCTTCGGCACGCACTTCGCTTGGGAGGTCGCGGCTTTCTTGGGCGCCGGCGTGTTTCTCCGATACGGAGAGACATAGGCGGCTTTCTTCCTCCCTCTGACGGGCTTCGGACTCTCTCGCTCTCTATCACCCGAGTCGTTGGAGTCCAAACTTTGGTCCCTTCGAAATTCCGGTTTGACTATTTTGGGTTTCGGTGCATTCGAGTTCACCTCTGCGTCCGATTCGGATCGAGCTCTGCCTTCGGAATTCGTGTCGCCTTCGAGACTCGCGAAGTCGCTAGTGCTCGGATTTAGATTTTTATCTCTTTGAGACGCTCGCCGATACGACGCCGTCATTTCAATATTTTTCAAATTGTTGACCACACACAAGTCCTCCGAGGCCGGACTCTCTACGACCGGTAGATAATTTCTAAAACTTTTGGTGCACGTCTCCAAGTGAGCAGAATTTAACTCGAAGTCGTCTTCGTTGTGTCCGCTGTCGACGTCTCTAAAGACGTCGTCTAATATTTGTTGATGATTCGGTTCGTTCGAGGATAAGCTGTCGTAGCCGGTCGTAGTTTCGACGTTTTCAAAATTGGCGTCCTTGGTGACGAACGTAGGGGAGGGCGGGATCTCTTCGCTGAGCGTTCTAGTTCTGTACCTCTCGGCGTCTTCTATACGCTTCTGTTTGATCGTCTTCTTCGCGGCCAATCGTCGCTTCAAACTTTCTATTTCGGGATCGACTCCCTTCGGTCGGCCGACCGCGGCGGCTTCGGGCGCGAACACGTCGCGAACGTCGACCGTCTGAGTCTGGTACCTAGCTCTGTCCTCCAGACGTCGTTGCTTCGCGCTCACTCGCCTCTTCGACTGAGGTTCGGAATTGGCGGTCACGTATTCCTCGGATCTGTCGCTCTCGGATTTAGTCCAAGTGAGATATTCTTCCGGTTCCTCGGTCTCCAGAGAGAACTCGTTCTGCGAAACGGAATCTTTTATCGTGTAAGTTTGATATCTATCGTTAGATACTTTTCGTTTTTCTTTCGGCGTCAAGTACGCGGCGTCCCTCAGTCTCTTCGGAGTCGATTCGACGCTGCCGAAGTCGGAAGGCAGAGGGGTGCAGTCGTCCGAACCGGAGGGGATGTCGGTGACGACGTTCAACGTGGACTCGCAGTCTTCGAAGACGCGTTGCGCGGTCGTCTGCTCCAGTTCCAGAGTGGACTCCGCCATCTCGTCGAACAGAGAGGGCGGGTTGACTTTGTCCAGGTCGTGGAACGCGCCGGACAGGGCGGGACCGAGAGGAAAATCTCGCACGGGCTGTCCGAAGTCAAAGACGATCTGCGGCCTATCTTTCGGATCGGCAACTTCCGAGACGATGCTGGACACGGATATCATGCTCCCTTCCATGTCGACGTTCTCCATCTCGGAAGGCGGTTTGACGTTATCTAGAAAGGTGACGTGGGGGGCGTCTAGGTGTTCGGAACTGCCCAAATGATGGGAGTTACTCAGCGCCCGCTTCACCATCGACGCGACCGGGAGGGACTTCTTCCTCGTCTTCAGGTTCCTCTTGGGCGTCTGCGCGGACGCGTCCTCCCACTGCCCGGACGCACTCAGCGAGAGCAGACTTCCCAAGTTCGAGGGCGGATTCACGCGATCTAGATCGATGGAGGCCGAAGTCGACGTCGCGCCGTTCTCCAGAGACAGCTTCAACTGCGCCGCCAGCCGGGCCGCCTCCTTTTCTATCGCGGCCGCCATCAACGAGTCGAACTTCTGCTCGCCGTCTTCCACGAGCGACGAGTAGCTGGGCTCCGGCACGTCTTCCAGGAGCGGTCTCTCCTCTTCTTTCGCGTCGCCGAGTTTGTCAGTCAGATCGGGCCTTAGAAATATGCGACGAGCGTCGCTCTTCTCGAGCAGGTCGGGAAGGGCGGAGGCCGGGTCTCCCGATTCGCTCCCGACGGACGACGCCAAGTGAACCGATCCGCTCACGGTCGGGAAGGTGACGTCGTCGGGACAGGTGTTCTCGTTCCACGTGTCGTGCTTGGAGACGTCGTCGGTCCACCGGAACTGGCGCCCGCTCTTGAGAGTCGGCGTCCCCGCGTCCCCGGGCCCCGGCCGGGGGGACCCGTCGCTCCAGGAGCCCTCCAACACGTCCGCGTACGACTCGTTGGATCTGTCGAGCTCGCCCTTCTCCGACTCGAAGGTCGCGTCGGCGGACTCGGGGGCGAGGCACTCGTTGGATCTATTTATTTCGGCCTCGACGGCCTCGAAGGCGGCCTCCGAGTCGTCCGCGGGACGCTCGTTCGGTCTAAAAAAGATGATGGAGTGCGATCGGACGTCGAAGTCGGTCGGGTCAGAGCCAGTTTCTCGCGCGGGATCGGCGCGCGCGCCTGCGACCGCGAGAAGCGCAGGCGGCGCCGGAACGTTTTTTGACTTCGGCTCCTCGTCGGGGCTCCGCGGCCGTCCGCGGCGCTCGCCGGCCCCCCGGGCGATCGCCTCCTCGAGGACGGCTCGGTCCCTGGAGTACTCCTCGCCGACCATCCTGTCGAGGGCTCCGCGCGTCCCGTCCTTCTTGCGGCGCCGCGGCTCTCGCGCCTCCAGGCGGTCGTCGCTGCGGCCGCGCCTCTCGACCGGCTTCGCCATGCCCATGCGCACGCACTTCTCGAACACCTCCTTGTCGGTGGAGCCGAAGGAGTCGTTGCTGTGCGAGCTCGGCGAGTCGCTCCGGTCCCGCCCGCGGTCGATCCCGGGCGGGAGACCGGGAGGGCAGCCGTCGCGGGGCCGGCCGACCCTCCGCGCGGCCCGGGCCGACCCCTCCGGCCTCGCTCCCTTCGCCGCGTCGGCCCTCGACCGGCGATCGAAGTCGAGGTCCCGGAGCCGAAGCTCGAGCTGAGTGATTTTGTCGCTTCGGTCCAGGGACTTGTGACGCCTA